AGTACTCTTATCGTGCAATACTTGCAGGGATTGTCTCCTCCGCGTCTTGCACTTTGTTTCTCCGTCATTTTATTTATCCTCGAAACGGATTATTTTTGTATTGACCGCGATAGTTGTTTCCTCCGGATGGAAAATAATTCCCCATCCTTGGCGTCCCGAAATTTCCGTACGCCCATCGATATTTGAAAGCGGTGACGCGTTCGATGGTCGCCGAACGAATATATTATGCCGCTATACTCCGAAGGATGTCGGTCTCGAAATACGTGCGCATGTGTCGAGCACATTGAAGAGCGTGGCTTTGAAAAAGGCGCCAGAAAAGTTATTCTTGCATCGTCACCGCTCGACTGATACACACTTTGCATACTCCCATATGTAAATAGCAGTTATTGTACCGATCCAGGCGGCGTCGAACAGCCAAACAGTCTTCAAACTCATCGCGAGTAAGAGGAGAAACATTAAATTAAGAACAACCGGTCCAGAGTATTTATTTATACAAGGAATGGATACTGGGTATTTGGTGCACAAATGAAAAGAAACTTGTTCCTTATGAAATTCATCCATTTATTTTTACCGATATACATATTCCGGAAAGGGTGACCAAGACTTTCCATCCTGTTGGTAATTTACTCGGCAATCTTGTCTGCGGTCGTACATAGTGCGCGTGTCTAGTAACATAATAGGACGTAGGACTGCCGGCTCGTACGCAAACGCTTCGCCGCTCGTCTCTCTTTTCCTAATTGAAACCTAAATGCATCGCTGTATTATCGATAATTAACTTACGCCCGTAATTACGATGGAATTTGCACGTTCGACGGGAAGAGGCGACCCCGTCCGCCTACCTGTCGACGAATACATTAAGCGCGCCGTTGCGAGCTCCCCAAACAACCGATTTCCGAATCGTCTTCCATCCGCGGCGACGGAATTGTTTACCGATCTCCCCCGGAAGATTCACGCGACCGTTAAGACTTTTCTCGCGGCACTGCACGCCTCGTAAATAATCCCGTTGGACGTTGTCCAATGGGTCGGCGTTGAATAATTGGGCAAACTATCCGCGGGATAGCGTGGCGTTCCGGAGCCACGAGGAGACACGGGATCACCCAGTGGGAAAAGGCGATTTTCCTACGGCCAACGCGCAATAATCCGCGCCGAGGTGTTGGCCGTGAACCGAACCGTGGGAGAAACGCGGCCCGTGTTTACCGCATAATTCAACAGATATGTATTAGGTAATAGCCGTGCGAACCGCGCTCAAACGACACGCATCGAGGCGAGAACGGTCACGAATTTCTTTGGGCTGGTCCCGGCACAGGAAATCCCAGCGCTTTGGTACACGTAGAAAAAGATTCCTATCGACCCCGAAGAATTAGGGAGTAACATGTGTGCGCGTGTTATTCTTGCGCGGCTGGTATCCTCGTCGGCAGATTCGATTACCGTACCCGGCGTCGAGCGTGCGCGTTCTCGTTTATCGCGTAATTGCGTCCGGGCGAGTCCTCGATACACGAAATCACGGGGAACAATTAAAGGATCGGGGCAGAAAAACCGATCAATTTTGCTCGGCGAATCGCGTACCGACCCATCCGCAAAGTAAGACGAATTACCCTAACTCGAGCGTATCGATGAACCGGGCGAGCTCGACGAACGCTCCGGACCGGATTTCGCCAATTCCGAACGCGGAGTCGAGCGCGTAACAACCGGAGAATCCTACTAATTGCCGCGATCGAATGAGACGACTTAACCCGCGGTTCATACCGGTTCATACTGGTCGACAGCTTATTAATTTCCCTTCGCGAACGACCGCTAACTCGATTCTTTCATTACGATCGGCGTACACACAGCCTTCGCGCGAAAATCCCTGCGATCGTTTCAACGAAACCTTTTTTCCATTTATATGTATAATGCACGGGGTATCCAGTTCTGTTATCGAGATATTGCTCCAGGAATCGTCAGATTTCTCGAGCGGGGATAACGTAACGAATTCGCCGCGTATATTTCGCTCCTTCCGAGAAACTCTTGAAATTCCGTGGACCGAAGACAAAGCCGCGTGGGTGTAAAGCGCGTGACAACCTGCTCCGGAGCACGTGTCCCGAGGAATCGTTGTCTTCCCGTGGTCCAGTACGTGTCCGCACAGCCGCAGGAACGTGGAAGAGAAGACACTTAAAGAGCGCGTACGCACCACTGCCAATGCTCTGTGTACCGACTAAAAATATATCGTTATGCCATACAATTCTTGCGATGCTAAAATTGGAAAGGTACAGACAGCCGAGCCTCACCATCCAGACGTCGGCGGATCGAGCCACGTGAACGTTCGACAACGGTTTTCGAATTCCGTGATATATTCCTCTTCGCTGTGGACGGCTGGGAAAAAACGCGCGAATATTTTCACGCCGCCGCGTAAACGGCAACGCGCATTTTTACGATTTGTTTTCGCAACCAGCCGAGCCTAAACTCGACGCCGGTAACTATTGGCACGAGCCATCCTTTCGATGCAACGCCTCGCGTGTTCCACGATTATTTAAATATTCGCTCGCTTTTTCCTACGTTCACTCATCGCAAGAAGTTGTTTTGTAATTGCAATATTGGTATTGCGCAACGACGATAAATATTCGGACGCCGCAAAGTTGCGAAACAATTTGCTCTTGTCAAATATCGTTCCCGTTTCGCGAAGAACGAAACGTGTACGCGTCGCGCGGCGCAGCGATTGCGATCCAAGGCGACGCCGACCGACATAAAACCGATTGAAAAAAATATGTCGCATTTCGTAAGAGTCGGACGGTGTGCGTTGCAGTTTCCTGGAAAAATAATTTCGTGCTTGTTCGCGCGGGTCGTCGTTAGTAATCGCGATCAATGTCGCGCCTCGAGAGAGTAATCGTTCTCGTTATCGTATTGAATAATACTCGCGTGCTCGATAGTTTGGCGGAAACGTGAGACTCGCGTAAACAGACGGTGGTAAATTTTCGGTCGCGAAAAGTTCGAGGGTCGTCGCGTACCGTACGTTTCGAATGGCAGAATCGATGCGGACACTATAATTAAAGCATCCTTCGATGTTTCGCCCGGGAAACGCTAGGATGGCGCTTCGTCGTCGAGATTCGATCGTGGCGGTTCATAATGCAGCGAGATAAAAACGGAGCAACCGTTGGACGCGTACGTTACGTGCGATCGACGCGTGTTCCTTGGTCCGCGGATTCAACTTTGGCCCCGGACCGAGGGTTTCGCCTGACCTTAATTTAGAATTTAGATCGCGTCGCCGTGCAGGCATTCCGGAAACACGCTGTTACGTAGAAACATCGCGCCGTTAAATAACCGCGAGTCATCGGCCGCCGCCGTCGCCGTCGCGGACAGCTCGTTTTCGTGCCGAAAGATCCACCAACCGGATCGCGATCCATCATCAATGGAAACGCCGCGGGGCGATGCGACGGAAACGATCGAGACGTCGCGACGTCCGTGTTCTCGTTACGCTCGAACGTAACACGCGCGGCAACATTATTAATTATAACACGCCGAGTGGACGGGCAACCATCGCGGCGCAAGGTTCAAGGAAAACCGCATTCTCCGTACGACCGAGCGACGATTCTATTTGTAAACAGCACGCAGCGCCGCGTCGTTGGATGTCCCGTAAATCGCCTTTACGATATCAAACGCCTGAAATTCCGACGCGTTCTTTCAGCCCGCACCGCGGAAACGTTTATGAATCAATTCGCTGGGCCGAACCAGGTGTCAAGGCCGCGGAGGTTGCTCCGTTATTGCAAAATGGCCTCGTTTCTCCTCGCCACGTGGCGCTTCCTCGCTGCTTGCAAAGGCTACGATAATTTATCAACGACGGTCGTTCCAAGAATCTCTGAAAAATGGCGAGTTTCTTTAAAACACAGCGTGTCCTCGAAAATCTTGGTGCAACGTTTGATCCGTCTTGCGTTTCCTTATATCGCCGAGCCGTGTTGTTCTACTTTTTCTTGTTCGCGTCTTTTATATTCTCCTCGTCGTGTTTTATCAGCCCGCTCCAAACTCGTACTTTCTCGATCCTCGTAGCGTCCTCGTTTGATTATTGCGATCTAGTTTGTAGATCTCTGTCTTTCCTCCCGACCGTTCTCTCTTGCACGTCCAAAGTTCGTGGCTTCGTTATTCTTACCGTTCTCGTAAATTCGACCACGTTGCTCCTCCAACGTACTGGCTCCGCTGCCTTGTTTACAATGTCCTTGCCACGGAGTCTTCTATTTGCTCGTTCAATTCACTCCTCCCCAATCTGTTCTCGCATACTAATAACGCTCCTACAGTCAAGTTCCGTTTCGATCTTTCCTTTTCCCTCTACTTACCGTTTCAACTTACCCCCAATAATTAACGTTCTCAAAACCGTGTCCAGTTTGGTCCTTGGACTTTGATCCCGAAAACAAGATGCGCTCGTTTCTCGCGGGCCCGGTATACTCGTATAGTTTTATCCTTGGCACGGTTGAAGGATTCTCCTCGACGTCCTGGCTGACTCTTAACTTCCTTTATGTAGCTTTGGTTCGCAGCGGCGGCAGGTCGATGCCGGCCCGCTCGTAAAACGGATGATACGTTTTATGGGGCAAGATTTATGAAACGAGAAAACTCCGAGGCGATAGAATAAGCGGGGGAGGGCAGCGCGAAGATAGAAGTGTATTATTTCCATCGAACGCGGAGAAGATAGAATTTGCCTCGTCGAGGAATCTCTCGAGGGCGTTGCATCCGGAAGGGCTTGTAATCTGTTTCAATTTTATTTCCACGCCGCTGCATAAAAACCCTCGTTGTTTCGTACACCGATAAGTGTAACCGTTTCGCGACTCCTGCAACTGTAAATCATAGAAATATCGTCACTCTTCGTGAAAAAGGAGCGGGCAAATGTTAGAAACAGTTCGACCAGCAGATAGCCTTAGAAACTGTTGCTTTAACGAGTAGAAAGAAGTATGAGAAATGCACGGCATGAGGGTACTGCTAAAATCTGAGAGAAATGAGCGCCCGGAATTAATTGGTACCGCGGTTTGGAATTGCAGACGGCGCTTAATAACCTGGAGGAAATGCACAACAATTCCATGGTGTATCGCAACAACGACAGGAGCAGAAACATGGGGGTGGGACCGATGCGGATACGTCCGATGGACAAGAGGCACGACACCTCGCCGTACAGTGGCGTCCCGTATCTATCGCCACCCCCGCCCGACATCTGGAGGAGAACCAATTCGGATTCGGCTCTGCACCAAAGCGCCAACGAAGCCTGCCAGTCGACCAACGCCATCCCTCATCGACGAGGTAACGTCTCATTTTCGTCCTTTCTTCTCCCCTTTACATCCCCTATAATGTGTACTCAAATGGCTGTGTCCCGAATACTATACACAAATGAGCAAAACAGGAGAGGTTTAAAAATGTAAGGAAGCAAACACTGGAATGTTTAAACCTTCGAATTCGAGACTCAATTTTTCCCCGAGATTGCCTGCCCGTCTTTATACCCTTCGTCCGGAAATAATATTGGACGCGACGAGGCTAATCTAGGACATAATCTTACGACCATTAAGTCCATCCATCGTCGTTTCTGGTATCCGTTCAGTCGGCCGGGAAAAATCCATTCTGCTCGCGCGATGAACGTTCGCGGAAATTATTCGGCCGCCATCGCGAGGGGGGCGTGCATTATTTCGGTTAATTGGTCGGCTCTGCGTAGCTTGCTTTTGCACGGGCAACCAGGAATTCTCAGATCATCATGTTACCTCGTTACGCGATGTCGAGCCGGCTGTTCGTTGGATTTTGGCGAAGATCGTTGAAACTGTTTCGTTCGAAATAAAAATTACACGCTGTATCGAGTAGGTTTGACAGCTGGATGACGCTTCGCTATCGCGTGTGACTTAATGAGCTCGGTTAGCGCGCATTTCGTTTGGAAATATACGCAATTCTTGGGTCGAACCTCGTCTTAAAAAGGACGATATTTTAATTTCTCGAACGTTTCAATTTTCTATTTACCAGAACGTTGGTTGCAGTGAGATCTTCCGGTTCGAATGGAATAAAATAAATTGTGCCAGCGATGTAATAATGTCGCAGGGGGGAAATAGGAGAAAGTCGAGTGGGATTTCCGAAGCTGTCGAAAGTTTCCTGCGGAAGTGTCCTAATCGGGCGAATCGCGAGTTAGGTCAACGGCCGCGCGGCAGGTTTTCCGATTCCGGTCGGCCGGTTATACCCGCCTTCGATGATTCCCTCTTAATCTGGCACCGAGCGTCGACACGAGGGGATCAGAAATGAAACGTTATACCCGTAGTAACGTTAGCAAGTAGCATTACACGGTGTTGTGTTGCTCCCGTGAAATCGGACGCGTTGCCTTGGAAATATGTACGACGTCGTCGTAGCTATCGGGGGGGTAAATTGCGTTTCGTAGTGTGGGTGTCGTAGGAGAGGATGAAATTGAAACCCGTGAAATCGCGATTCCCTCGAATCGTCGCCTTCGAAGCGCGGTTCGACGCCGATACCGCGACGCTCGAGATTATCATTATGCAAAACCGGCTTGGCCGGCCGAAAACACATTTGGTCCGCACGTTTAGGCTCGTTTTCTCGAGCAACTTAGAACCACTAGGCTGCAGCCAGCGCTCGTATGTCTGTCGTTTCTTTTTCGCCCAGAGAAAAAGGACGTACGAACGTTTGTCGTTGTTTCGACGCTCCAACTTCACTCCAGAAGTTACAAGTATAAAGTTTTGCTCTTGAACCCTACAGCGAGACAGTATTTTATCAATATTAATATTTCCAAGGCGGTAATAGTTCTAACGGCGTATCGATTGCACAGATCAACACACGATGAGCGGATCCGGGAGCGACAACAGGGACCTGCATCACGGATTCATCGAACGGCCAAGATCGTCCTGCGAGGTGCCCAGAGTGCCCGGGATCAAGTAAGTTTCCTGAATTTTCCGCTCGATATCCTTCTCCCTCTCGCCAGAGAGAAAAATTGCCGAAAATTTCGCGAATTTCGTAGAGTGTTTCGTCTTAATAGTGCCGTGGTCCATTGTTACGCGTCGGTGCATGCGTTATTTATGCATTACGGCCATTGTGCCGGGCTTCATTGTATTCGCCCCGTATTATATCGTGCGTGTTAATGCGCTCGTGTGTATGGGAGTTTATAGAATTTTCAATGGGCTCTGTTCGAACCTGTTTTTCGGCCTTGCTGGCGTCTTCTTCCTGGAGTCAACGTTGTTTCAGGGGTCGATGACGATTTTTGCAATTATCAAACGACTGTAAAGCAAACGCCTGTTTATCTTGCAGCATATATCCGAGCTCGCAGCCCCCGGGACAGCAAATCCCAATAGGCAACAACACAGGATCGTTACCCGATCTGAGCAACGTCCATTTCCCGTCGCCTCTTCATACCCCGTTGGACCAGGAAGAGCATTCGAGCAGTACTCCGTTCAGCAACGTAAGTCTGGCCAATTACACCACACACTCGAGTTTCTCTCCTCTCTTCTTAACCTTCTATATGCATTCTTACAAGGCTGCACGTTTCCGAACGACATTCTTAGCCCTTTCTAACGGTCGCGTTTCTTTCCATTTCGTACCCGTCGCGTTGCCAGAGAAAATTCCTGTCCTTGGCACTCGTCGGATTATTCCTCCCGCGACTTTGCTCTTCTTAACGTGTCTGACCAGACGTTAATCCACCTGCAATCGCGACTTATCTCGCGAGCTTCTCCAAACCATTAAATTCGAAATAGAACGTCAACGTCACGCCACATTGTTCCTAACATTCTTTCCCCTCTAAATTAAAGATCATTCTTCTTCTTATCGACGAGTTATATCGCCCCGGAGGACAGGATTTTTCTCCCAGCAATAAAATACAGTTAAGAAAGAACAACGATAGAGATTAACTGTTAGTTTCGGTAGTATTTTTCTGAAGGGGATCGAGAAACGAGTGGATCGTTTAAATTCGAGACATCTTATGCAGGAGATCGGTCAACGATACTAAAAAGTGTCGATATCGAGAGTAATTGCAGCTCTCTTTTCGCGTTTCTGGTTGTCCATTTCTTTCTCGATCCCGCGGTCTCTTTCTCTCCCGCCGCTGTTCGTACGTACAGGTATCAGGTAGCGTTATGTTACGTATACGTAGTTGAAGAGCTTAGGTAGGTACTCTACTTCGAAAGCGGGAATCTCTTTTGAAATGGTCGTACTGCTGGTATATTCCAGAGCCCTCAAACGAGCAGTCCCACAAACCTGTCGCCGACCAGCTTGGCTCAAGCTGGTAGGCTATCCTTTTCACAGGATCACAATCCGACCAGCGCCCAAGTAAATATCCTTGCGATCCCGGTACTAGTATTTCGTTGAGCCGGGAGCGCGCTATCGATCTATCGATCGATCGACCGCCCGATCGGGGGTGCTCGACCGCTGGAGAAATTCTGGACTCGAATCGATCGGGGGCGGTTCAGTCGACCGAAAGTCGATAGTGTGCACCCAGCCTTAATGCATTGTTAGAGAATGTTGCTGCACCGCCGAAGTAGCCGATGCAACGTGTCTTCGCGTGGAATTACTGTCGCGAAACTAACGACCGAGTTCGTGGCGATGTCGAGAACTTTGCGCAGCGGATACGAAACCGAAGAAATACGGGCTCGGGCGAGATACGACGATAATCGTATAATTTTCAAACGCGTAAAGTTTATACGAAGTCGAAAATTCGTGGATCGAGTGTAGGAGGGGTTGAAGTTGTCTAATTTCGTTGGAAATTACTTTTGCAGCTCCGAATAAACGATGCGCGTTCGGCTACTTCGCGTTAAGTTAGAGACGTTTATTATGGAATCGAGGAATCTTTGGCTCTGGAGTAAAAGATGCCTGATTTCCATAAGACTAATTCGTTCGTAAGAAACGGAGAATAAAGGTTGTACGTTAGGGTGGACCTTGCTTATTGTTAGAATAATTTGATCGAACAAGGGATGTGTCTGGCGCAGAATTGAAAATGTACTGCTTGTTAGAATATAATTTAGAATAGTTTAGATAAGATCCACCCTACTGTACGTACGTAGCATTGCATGAGGAGAGATATTCTGTGCTTTTCTGTGCTTCGTAACAACTAGTATGTTCCGAGTACGTATAATTTCACAGCGCTTCCGATAGATAATGCGAGTCGCTGTTGAATTAATAACGGACGAGAAAAGTAAACTCGAGTCGTGGACTATTCGAAAGAAAAGGGAATCGGTTTATTCGTTCGCGGCTACCGATCTCAACGCCAAGAACGGTTACGAAAGACACTTTGATCGCCTATTAAAATGTTTCACTTTGAACGTAATTATCGCGGCACGCCCGTCTACTCGTAACAATTTCGATACAGCGGCATTATTATTCTTCGATGAAGCAATCTCGGGCATGGTTTGTTAATCGATATCTAGATTAGTGGTAGCGTAGCTAAACATCGATTTTATCCTACATCGTGACCGTAAAACGCGCCGCGGCAAAGAAGCATAATGTTGTAAATAAGTTTTTCTCTTTTTTTTTGCCTGGAAATTCCGCGAACTCAGTCGGCCTAAAAATATACACCTACCTTTCCCATTATGAAAAATGTTCGTCGTTTGTTTAATGACCACCGGTCGTTTATGCGCGTACTTGCACACGAGTATTACGCTAACGATTTCCATATACGTATCCTCGTTTCGTTCGGGAAAAATTAGCATCGGTTGAATGGAGATAAATTAATTCCGATTCGATGCCACGAAGGAAACGTCTCGATTGTTTCTTTATTTTTTTTATCGAAGTAAAGTTTGTATCGCCCCTTGAACATGTCACCCTTCGGTACGCTTTAGCGGTCACTCTTTTCATTTCGTCTTATTTTTATTTTGCCTTTGTTGTAGTGTTTGTTTTGTGTTTGTTATTTTGCAGAACCATTTATCAGTGCCTGTTACTTCTAGGTTTCTTCACACGTGTAAGGTTAGTAATACGAAATTTTTGTTTCTTTTCTCCCCCCCTACCGTTCCGATTGCGCGACCATCCCCCGAGACACGACTCTTTAATTACAATTTATCCCCCCCTCCCCCCCCCCCCTTCATATCGTTTCGCTTATTATATAGTATCGAGCTTGTCGAACTGATAGTTTAGTGTATACGTCGGTGAGGAAGGACACGGTTTATCACGTCTTGAATGCTGAAAATATCGAGTCTTGGAACGATCCGTTCGTACGTTCGAGATCGTCGGAGGAGGAGTAAATGGAAAATGTTTGTTGTCCGGTTTGGAACTTGTTTTCTTGGTCCGGCTGTTTCTCGGCTAACCGGTGGGAGCATGGCTATATCGCCGCCGGGTTCCAAGCGGGAGAACTTTGTCTGTTAAATGAATCCGATATCTTTGAATCTTGTTTGCGTTCGTGAGAGCTCCGAGAGAAAAGAAGTTTTATCCGCCGTGCCGCCCCCCCCTCGGTCGGAAGTTAATTTTTCGCTTAAGAAAAGAACTCTTAGACTTCGATCTGTGCTCGGCCATCCCGTACGCAATGCGACGTTTCCGAGGATTTTGCAATTAACAGGTCAGCCACCTTATAAAAATCAAACTTTCGTTCCTCCTCTTCTGGATCAAATAAAACCCACAAAGGGTTTGTCCCATAAATAAATAATATTCCTAGCGTCTGCCTCGCTTTGGCTACAGGTTAGGGAGCTTTTGTCGGATCGAAGGGTTAGTTTGTTTGGTAAAAAAGATAGAAGAACGGGATGGCCCTTGATCGCCAGCAAGAGCCAAGTTCGCCTCCGACGGTCTTGCTTCCGGTCTCCGTAGATCCAGCGTTGCGACGATCGAAACACGCATCGCGATCGTGGTAAACCGCTTCCGTGAGTTTGAATGTGCGGAATCGACGTAGAGATCGATTCGCGACCTCGCTGCGGCTAATAACCATTCGGGGCTGGCTACGCGAAGAAATAAAAGCCGCCGACCGATCGTTAATAGCGATGGCTGTGAAACAGGGTGTGGCGCTGGAAAACAGCACAAGTACTTCGCAACAGGATCTTCAGAGCTATTCGCAACAACCGGGGCCACCGCCACCGACGGCGACGTCCCACAGTCCAGTTGGCCACTACATATATCAGCAACCGCACAGTCCTGTGCCACCACAAAGTCCAGTTAGTATATATGTATCGCGATTCTTTCATTTATTTTCCGGTTTTAAAGCCTCTACGCCGGTGGCATCACACACACTAGTACCTAGACACCCTCGACCAGAAGCTCGAAAATGATTCTATTAATATATTTATGTTGAATGGTACGTATACTTTTCAATTACAACAGATTCCCCCAAAAAACGAGTTTGACGCCACTTGTCGAGAGGCGAGATCAGTTTTTTTCCGCGAAATTTCACGATCGTTGATGGCTGGTCGGATCCGTTGGTAGGAACCCGAGTTATCCGTGTCAGTATAAGTGATTTAGATCGTCGCAGAGGTTAATCGCTCGTCAGTCGCGTGCGCGGACGAAAGTAGCATCGCGTGATCGCGAAAGAATCGTTTTATCGGAGAGTTTACTCGCGTCTCGGAAGATTTTCGCCGTGCCTCGTTCAACCTGGTCTCGTGTTTTCTCGCAGAAATCGTCGCAGACGCATCAAACGCAGCAGCAGCAGCTCAACTCCTTAAGCTCGTACAGGTCCTCGCAGCAGGTGAACAGGCCGTCGCCGCAGTCGTCGCCCAGTCTAACGGTTCAAGTAAGTTCATCGTGCAAGGGTCATTTAAAATCAATTCGATCACTCTTGTATCTCGAGGCGAGGAATTTGAATTTGAGTTATCAGATATCGAGAAACGAGTAACTTTTATTAATATATATGGAATTCCGAAAGTAATACTTTTTTAGATATCGAAGTTTTTTTAATTTCCGCTTGGCAGTCGGAGTACACGGAACGTTGACTCTTTGTCCAAGTTGGTTCGGTGGCCGAGCGGGCAATGGCGCTTCTCTGTGCAATCTATACAGTCCCCAGAGGCGAAGAATCGACCTTAAAGTGCAATAATTAGAAGCAGAAATTTTATTGCACGAACGGGTGTATCCAAAGGGAAATATAAAAGACAAATTGAAGAAACAACGAATTCACATATCCCCTAATCTTAAAATACTACAACATCGTGAAAATTTCAAACCCCGAGGTAGAAAAGTGATCGATTTTTAGTGGATCGTACCTTAATAAATATATCTCGTGAGGAAAATTTATTTATCGCGTTAGAGTCTTGGCGACACGATCCCCGTCTCTTTCCTCAATTTTCTTGAGAACCAGTCGTTGTTCACTGTCCAGCAGACCTTTCCGTCGAAGGTTTTGTGCGCGCTAGTAGATGTAATCGCCCCGATAAGAAGAAAGTTGATTGTCCGGTTTGGAAAATGTTGAATGATGGGTTTTTCTCGGCTGCAGGGGAGTCCTTTGAGCTACAGCAACAACCCGTCGGCGCCTCCTAGTCCCACAGGACATCCGGGTCCGCCGAATCTGACGTCCGATGGCATCGATCAGAACAGTTACTTCCTGAGCCAGGCGCAGGCGGCGGCTCTTCAGCAGGATTTCGAGCAGTTCACGATGGTCAGTGAAACGTCCGTTTCCGGTGTCGTTAAACACGCTCGAGACGCGCTCGCGGCCGATACTTTTGGCGAAGATCCAACGATGCGTTCGATTTTCTCGGCTCGATCGACGCCGGCGCTCCGCTTCGCACTTCGAAACCAATCCACGAACACGACTGGGCAAAATCGTTCGTTTTCACTGTGTTACAAACTGTTGTACCTGATCTCGAGACGCAACGTTACGACAATGATATCAATCGTGGTATTAATGATAAAAGCACGAGGTTTGCCCGGCTGCGACGAACGATTTTCCCATAGCGTTTCATCACTTTCTTACACGCTGTTCGCGCTTCGTGTTTCATTTCTTTCTTTTCTGCTGCCGAACGACCACGATGCGATTTCCCCCGCGGCTCGTAGACTCCGTAAAATTTCTTTTTCACTTTCGTCCACCCGGTGACCGGGACTACGCAGCATGAATTATTCCGAGCGTGTGCGTGTTAGTATGAATTATTCTGTCTCAATCACCCGGTGTTGGCGCGCTTCTCCATTCGAACGGCGAGCATTCCGTCGTTCGAAAACGTCGAAAATTATGCGAGTCGACGGTCCCCGTGAGCCGTCGGTGTATCGTGGTCGCGTGCATCGTCGAGCATCGTTATAGTCATTGACGACGCCACGTTATCGACGGGCGATTGATACCGTGCGCTGCATAACTTTCAACCTCGTGGACCTTTGAGTAGGAACGCAAGAAAATACGAGCTTGAAGGATTTCTGTGCGTTCTTGCTCAAAGTTTAATAATCGAGGCGGTGCTGTGGCTATGCATCGTACCGTATAATCCCCGTTCGAAAATGGCGGACCGGCGGAGGGTTCTTCGGCGCTGCGAAGTCACGCGGAAGAACGTATTCGAGCCTGCGATAGACATTATTTCACCGCACATTGCATGCGTTCGCAAATTTCTTTTGTAGCGGATACCATCTTTTGTTACGCCCGTTGTTGTTGGAATATGATTTTCCATCGATCTATCGGAGCAGCAGCAGCAGTTTCGATGTATTTTTCGGTGCGTGCTTCTTTTAAAAACAGCCGGAGAAAAGAGAACAGCGCAAAGAACAGCGCTCGATTAGAACGTTCTCGTAAGTTTCCGCGCGGTCACTCGAGACCCCCGACGTCTCGTTCTGCGATACACTGAAATGTTAAGCCTTGATGTTTATCTGTTGCCCGCATCCGTCAGGATTGGCCGAAATTCGCGCAGCAGCTCATGGAACTTGGTTGCACCTGGACCACGCAGATAGAGGTGAAACAACGCCCTTAGCAAACTATATCAAACTCATTACTCTTTTTTCTTCGCCCCTCCCCCTCGACACTACGAGCTTCCGTCGCCTCTTAATCCGTTATATATTTTCTTCGACGGGACACCGAGATCGACCTTCCGATTTTACCGAGAAGCGTTCGTCGTTCTGCTGTTTGCGCTTCTTCGCGTCTGGGATCGATCCCTCGTTTCACGAAGGCCGGCTTAGAAGCAGTCATTTACCGAAAATGGCGTGCGTTACGCGCGTTTTATGTGTTTCGCCGTTGAATCGACGCGTTGCAGGAAAATCTCGCGATACATTGCGGAATTGATCGCGAAAACGGCTTGGGGGTAGCGCACCAAATTTCCATAAAGCCACCTTGAAACCTTACTCGAGGATTATCGGGCGAAAACGAAGCGCATTCGTTGCAACTGGCGAGTTGGCTTTATGGAATTTTTGAGCGACGAGTTCAAAGTTCTAAACAACTTGTCGCTCGCAAGGACAGCTAGTCCATTTCCTTCCACGATCCTTCGAATTCACGCCGATAGAGTCGTAGCGACAGAAGTGGCCCGAGGAAGAGGAAAACGCTAACACGCAATAAACAAGTTCCGAACGTATCCTCGAGGGGAAGCCGAATAAAAGCGCTCACGGTTCGATCAGATCCGCCCTTTGTTTCTCCGTCTTTACCGCCTTTCCACCCACCCCCCCGCGCGTTTCCTTGTCCGTCTGTACTGGCACCCTTCGTCTTCGATTACGAGGATTAATCGACGCGAGCCAATTAACGCGAGATCGAGAACCGGATCGCTGTGTTCCTGCTCTTCTTACGTTCCTTCCGACTCCTCTCGTTTACCAGAAGAGCGCATCGACGTCGCTCCTTGGACGGAAACAACCGCCGCTCATGTTTCTCTCCTTTCTGTTTTCGCTTCAGATGGACACGCCTGTGCAGACCAACACCATGGGATCGTACATCGGTGAGAACCACACCACGAATTACACGCAGGTGAGCAACGTAGCAAGAACATTTGGAGAGTTTGGAGCTTAGAATACCTCTGTGTAGAGTTCTCTTGGCGGATCTTGCGATTGAAAAAAATTCTTTTACTCGGTTTAGAGACACGTTGAGTAGAACGATCTACGAACGTCGCGGTTCATTTGCGCGAATTTCCTTGCAGAATGACGTGATAAATGTCGGAGGTGAATTAGGTGGCGGAGATGCAGGTTATTTCAGCACGAGCCCACAAATGGCGTACCAACCTACGACAACGTCCACCGCCACCACCACCACCCAACAACTCACGCCACAGACACCTAACACACCAACGATCATCCTCACTGGTGAGTTTTTTCAGATAGATTCGCTTGTTATTTCACGTAGAAGCAACGATAAATGCTGTCTGATGAGTCCGTAACACAGAAACCTTTGGAGCAAGGCGGTAGATTCTTAGCCACTTTGAAGAAATTCTAGCTAGTTTCATTTCTCAGATAGTTCGCTTTAACAAAGAAGAATGAGATATTGATTTAGGATCGAGGATGTCCCCGAGTCTTGAGCCGTGTTGTAAGGGGGATACCTGGATTAAGAAAGTCGCTGTAACTTTGAACGTTCGATAAAAGGGAAGGGATTTGGAAGGAGGTCAAAAGGTTTGAATGATATTCGTTCGCAGACTTTTCTGGGGCGGATGACCTGACGAACCCGGAGTTCGTGAAAGATCTCGGGACGGCGATGATGGGGGAGTTCGATCCAGATCTCTTTCCGTCGGACGACGCTCTCAGGCAGGGCCTCGACCCGATCGACGTGGACGGTCTACAAATGCTCACCGACCCGACGATGGTTATATCCGATCCCAGCGCCGAAGCCCATTTTAGGCTAGATCGACTTTAAGGCGAGACACTTTACTCATTTGCGATTATGCGCTGACTATATTACGTAGGAATAAAAATTCTTATCTGTCCGTGTGTCGCGATATGTTCTGTCGGGACACTTGGACAAATAGGACAGAATCTTGTTCGTTCGGTCGCCCGATGCACCTCCAACGAGTGGTCGTTTTCCGCGACGCGATACCATCGAGTACGTGTTTCGATCGTTCGCGATTACGACCAAACGGTTCGTTCGTCGACCCATCCACCTCCCCCACAACCCCCCCACATCATCCACGATAAATATCTCGAGGAATCGACTCGCCCAATCGGGGTCGAAACGAAAAAAGCATATTTTCGTTGGATATCCGTGGGGCGGCCGACGAAATCGATAAGTCCCGTTCGTGATAAACCCTTAATTGAGGATTAAGTAATACAAATCTTTATTAACCCTTTTTTTATTTTATACTACTTTGTACATTGTATCATGTATGATCTCTAAGAAGCACAAAACAAAATGTCTACTGATTTATACATGCTTTTGTCATATACGATCCTAGTAAGGTAAATCTACTGTTTAGGTGAAATTAACGTTAGATGAAAATTACCGTGGGTTGGTCGTTGTGCTCCTCGTCGAGCGTGTCGACAGGGTGTATACTTAATAGGGGAAGAAATAGGAGCACGGGAAACGCGTAAAGACGTAATACACGAGAGAGGAGGGAGACACCTTTCGATGGTACTCTGCCGAACATTAATCAACCATTCGAGCCACTCACTTTGCTCTTTTATTCGTCGCGCGCTTTCGCTCTACCCGCGGACGCGTTTCATCTTTCGAGGAGAGTTTTTCGATGCCGGGCGTAGAAACGTGTACAATACGAATCATTTGACGAGACACGCCATCTTGGATTAACCCTTTCGCTGCGACACGCGCGTCTCAACTTACGGAAGTTCTTTTGTTCAACAACGATCGTTAGAATTTGCCCGATTTATTTGTACGAACGAGCGTCGATCTATCGAGTAGTAAAAGGGTTAACATCAACCGTGTACGTATATTCAGATTCGTCGTCGAAGATCGCGAACAGCGCAGCAGAGTTCGATTTCATTACTTGTCGTGTGTGTGTTCGACGGAGGAAACGAAGAATTTCGAAATAGCGCGCAGACCAGCGTACCTTCGTGCGTGTACCCTCGGCGGTCGTCAATTGTTTTTTGAAAGTAATGCGCTGTACTTTGTATACACGTCGAATAAATAATCGCGTGCGCGCGCTTACGCGCCAAAATTAGATTAACTCGATTAAAGTATAATCTATAAGGGAGAAACAAGAAGAAAATGACGCTTATATCTGTAATACAGTGTACATAGGGTAGTGGTAATCGACCTTTTTCGAACGCCATTCTGCACTCGTAATTCGTAAACGTAGACGTGACAAAAAAAGAAAAAAAGAATTATACGTTTCTACGCGACAAAAGGACTCCGAGGTACGGCAAGGGAAAAAATCGACGATTTAATCAAAGCAGTTTTATTTTATTCGGTTTTAGAGTTACATTAGCTGTTTGGTTATTAGTAGACTGCGGATTTTTATTCAAATTCACATTTTTATTAATAAAATTAATGAAACGGAAGCTTCGCAGGGGGCTGTCTCAACCCCTAAATATAATAATTCGTATCTTACTTTAAGTATTTCTTATATTTTTGCATATTAAATGCATTCTGTAGTTTTTTGATAAACATCCGCAGTCTGGTTCTTAAAGACCAGACCATTTTACACTATTTTCGACAAAAGTTTTAACTTGACGGATTCGTTTTACAAATATCTGACGAATGTCTCGGTTTGGACGGCCATTGTCACGCGTGCACGACTTTGCCCAGTCGTAATCGATTGGTTTGCTTGCCGGACCCGCAGAAGCCACAATTCAGCGCATTTCGGAGGTGCTAACGAGTATATCGAAGTTATCCGATTTATCGTGAATCTTTTATACCGATAGAGTTTTATTCCGACCAGTTCCCGAACATTCGTTACATTGAACAAGGAAAAGAATAAGATTTTAACGCATAGTTTATCGTTGCTGTGATTACGAAAAGAGAAATATGCAGAATGTTTCACGACTATAGGTAGAGAAAGAAATTCAATGTCTCTAGAATTACTGCTCTTACGCCCATACCGGATTTGCTTCGACAAGAAGCAAAGCGTGCGTGCTTACAGTTGTATAGAAAGAATATAATAATATGAGATGCAAGTTTCTCGGTGGCCTTGAGAAGTTAATTTATTCTACTCCGCCTTCAATCGTTTAACCATTCGAAGCTGGTCGTAGGTTGGTCGAGTATAGAATTGGCAAATCGAGCGTACGCGTGTCTTCGTTAACGTGTTCGATCAGGGGACGTTTCCCCAATCGTTCCGACAAAATAAATGAAATGCCGACGGGTTAAGTTTGTACCTGTAGTCTTGAAACACCCCGTATACGATCGTGGAGGTCCCGTACATTGGTGCGTGTTAGATCGATTCTAGAATGTTTACCGGCTCCACGATTACGCGCGATCGCGGTTCTCGACCGTGCCTCGAGATATGATTGTCTAAAGTTTTAAATAGTTACGATGAATTGAATTTTATAGGGTTACATTTGGCGTTTGTTGTTGAAAGTTTCATAAAGTTTATGCCTTACCCTTGTTTCCGCGTAGCTCGCGCCGTGTCGTTGCCCCAAACGGTTCCCGCGAGTCTGGAATATCGAGCGTAACTGCCTATCGTGCCTCAGCGCAAGATTCGATTTTGGCCCTGCGATCTCAGCATCGATCGATCCTGTCACCGCTATTCTCTTAATCTCGTCGCCGATCGGAATGTCCGCTGTTCGTAGCTCGACACTTGCCCTTCGATCGAACACTTTTTAACACTAAACCTACTCGCTCCTCTTTAAAATGGTTTTTGGTTTTTGTAAAAGGTAATTTTTCTTGATCCGACTATCTCTGTCTTCGTCTTCGTACCCTACGAACGTGACAGTCGCGACCTAGTTTCGGCGTCAGAGATCAATGAACTCTCGCCGACGTCAACAAACTAACCAGCCACCGTATCGACTTGAAACTAAAATCTTCATATCTCCGGAACTAATCACTCTATCGACTCGTTCGAACGCTCGTTTTAAAGGGCATTCGATCCTCTATCCAACGAATGTGTAAAAATACACGAAGCGTCTGTAGGTTTAGTGTTAAAACGTATCGTTCGTAAGCATGATTCGCGTGTACGGGATTTTTTGAATCGCATCGTTGGCAGAGTTCTTTCCCCGTTTCTTTTCACCTTGAATCGGTGGGACGGGCTGACTCGGAGTATTCCAAAGTTTTTTTGAACAGTTTAGACTCGCGCAAGAGCTCGAAGAGTCACCGCGTCGGATCCGTTCGACGCGGACTCGGCGCAAAAGTCTGTGCCAAAGCGCGTGGACGTCGCTCTAGATTGTAAGACCGTTCTGTCGGGTTCGTATAAACGTGCAATATAAAACAATAGTGATCGTCTAACCGTGTAAGCTACTCTAGACCCGTGAGCCGGGGACGTCAATTTTTTCTCATAGAGGATCACCGTTCTCCCCATTCGCGACACTTCTCTCTTTTGTAAATCATTGTACTTAACGAGCGAACGTCGCGTTCTCGTACGACGATAAACAGCGAGCTAGCGAACAGAACCGATGGTCGGTGGAGCGAGAAAGGCGAGAAGGTATCGGGTGGAGCAAGATCTCCTCGAGGTCAGAAAATCGAGAACGATGTACCGATCATCCGGTTTCGATCACGGCATTGACGTTTAGAGTTAAGTGTACGGAATTTCCGGTTTCGAGGAGATGGATAAACGACCAAAAGCATCACCGACAAATTAACCGTTTCGAGCGTGTAAGCGTAAAGTAGCAATTAGCGATGTCGAGAATCATTTCCGTTCGCGTCCACGGCGTTGCGCAAGATTCGAGACATTCTCTCTCATCCACGTTTTTCTCTTATCTTATTAATATACGTGCACGAATACACATACATACCGTAAAAGTAAGGCATAAACGCACTCTTCCTTGCTCTCCCTCTCTCTCTCTCTCTCATACACGCACGTACACACGCTCTTTCTGCGCCGAGAGAAAGAGAGTGGCGTAAAGAGTCGACGCGTCAATTTATCATCGTGAGAAAGATGGCGGCCCGGTGTGCGTCGCGATCATTATACACGGCTATTCTCGCCGCGACGCGCACTAGGAAGGCTAAAGAAAGGTAAAGGAAAGGGCGAAGGTTTGCTCGCGATCGCTTGGATCGATTCTAGCATCGAGAGTTTAGGGAAGAACGAAGGAAAGAAGGAGCCATTGTAATATTTGTATATAGCCATGTTATTGTGGTAAAGAAATTACCTATATTATAATATTACCGTATATATACACACGCATATATACGTGTACGTGTATGCGTATGTATATACACAGATTCTAAATATTAAGTCTGTAATGCCGTTACGTTGTTGTACCATATTATTGTGAACACCATTTCTCAGACATCGATTTTTTTAAATAAAAAGAAAGTCTCTATCGACATAACGCTAAGTACGAAGCAGAGTATCCGTCGTAAATCCACCGCACCGTGAAACGATTCGATTTTTATCACTTTGTCGCGACTTTGCTCGTCCCGTCTCGTCTCGTCTCGTCTCGTCTCGTCTCGATTCGCGTCGTCGTCGCCCGTGCAAGCAAAACGGAAGCGCGAGGGTACGTTCGGCGATTTTCCCGTAACGATCGGTGCCTGAACGTTTTTACCGACGAGCCTTCTTGTCAGACCGATGTTCGTTCTAATCTACCCGATCAACGACCAATGAGGCGCGCGACGAGATCAGTCTGCCATCGGAGACGCGCAACGTAATCCGTTTCTCTTTGTTTGCAACGATTCCACGTCCACGTTGCGAGTATTAAGAACAGACGAATGGACGAGAAACGCTTGTATCCGTTTTGTAGATCGAACCGGGGATCGAGCAAACTGGGATCGAAATCTCGCTGTGTATCGTTTTATAGCGAGACTTTGATCTCTCGATCGGCTGTACGTCGGTAGCTGGAAACTCTGCGCATCCTAGACACATATACACACACCCACACACGTAAACGATACGCGCACATACACATACACACACACAGAGAGAGACACATATACAGCGGACGTCGACGCGACGAATGTACCAAATAAAAGTAAGAAAGGATAAAAACGTCACCTTCGGCATTTTTCGCACGACACCGTGGCCCTTCTGCCCGTCGATGTGTAAATAATTGTTTCATATTGTTGTAAAGTAGAACGGTGCATAAGAAGAAATGGATGGTATACAATAGGGGACGGCGGGGCTCGCCTGTGTCGAGGACAAAACGTCAAAGTCTCTTCCCCCCCACCCCCTCCCGATAATGTAAGCGCACAAAAAGAGGGTTAACGATCTATGTGTCTTCTTCGTGTTTAATCGTATCTTTGTTATTAAATCTTGAACGTCTACGAATGCGTATCTGTGTATTTGCCTGGGTACCCGTCTTTTCACTTTTCTTCCAGCGGCTATGAAGCGAAGAAGAACGATCGTCGCTCGACAGAGTCGGGCCAACTTTGTTCTCGAATAAATAATACAGACTTTAGAAGCCACGAGCAAATTTATTTTACTTAACGGGACTGAAATTGTTATTCGCGAATAAGGTCTGCCCGATTCTTCGAGCAACAGGAAGTGGAGGGTGAAGAAAATCGCAACGCATTGTGTGTACGGATCTTTATAGCTACCTATGTCTATCTCTTATTAATATCACGACGTTAAATAACTACCCCTTTCCGTATTTATCAAACACTGTTCACTTTATGTCCTCGAACGATGTCGTTTATAAATTGAAGCTATCGCTTGTTCTCTGTTCACGCTAGGTCTTCGAGGCTGGAAATGGGAGGACCCGTTTGATCCTCTTGAATCGGGCCAGTGCTACGCCAGATTCACCGTGCAAACTACCGAATGCATCCCCGTATTCGGTCGCCAGCGGGCCATTCTCCTCGCTGTTTAACGAAGCCACTGACCCGGACTTTCTATCCGACAAAGACTCTTGCTCCGCCATTGTCCTCTCGTCCTCGATCGCTTTCGACGCCAGCTCGGACTGCTAACGAACGAACGACGATATTTCCCTAGTCGTTTACAACATTAAATTGCCCCCTGAGTCCTTTTCGTTGGTTTCCACGCTCGGTTGTCTCCAATATTTACCGAAGAAGAGGACTCACGGGACAACCTGATTCTCTTACAGTTTTACCTTGGCGTCGCCGAGGTCTCCGCGAGCCTTCAAGTCCAAAGCTACATCGGCGGGTAGATTCAACTTGAAAGACCTCTGATCTTCTCGATTCGCCAGAGAGTTTCTCGATCTTCTTTCCCTGTTCCTCGCATCGCGATCGTTCCTCACCAGGAACACCTGACGCGCGAACTCGCGTTTGTTCGGAGACGTCGGCGAACCGATCGATCGCTTTCTCACCGTTCCACGGATCGATTTCTTATCGTTCGAGTTCGATTCCCCGGCGTTTCGAACCTTGCCGCGATTGCTGTTCTCGTTCTGCCTCTTCTTCCGTTTTATCGACCGCTTTTCGCCGCTGTTCCGTATCTCGGACTTGCTCGACTTCCTAAGAGACCTTTTGGACAAACTTTTCTCCGAGGGCTGCTCCTCGTCCTCCTCTCGATCGCGCATCTCGTCGAACTTGGCGTTGTTCTCCTCGATCGCTTTGATTCGCTCGTTCTCAGCGATCTCCCGTTTGATCTCCTCCTTGATCGAGTCGATCTTACGCTGGATCTGATCCTCCACGCGTTTCTCGTACTCCGCGTTCGCTTGCTCGTTGCTCGCCGGGTTCTCGGAAGCTTGGACTTCCGCTCTGTCAGGAGGAGCCTCGACTTTCGCCGCCTCCTGGCTCGAAACGTCAACGATCTTCGGCTCGTCGATCTTGGAGGCTCCTTCGAGACTCGATGACTCGCCACTCGAACTTCCTACCTCCTCTTGCATTTTCCTCCCCCCCGTCGCCTCTCCATTCAACAACTTCGCGTTCTCGTTACTCTCTACTACCGATTGATCGTTATTCACCGTCAGAGACTGCTTCTGATCTGTCTCTTGATCGTTCGCTTTGGACAGCTCGTTCTCCGGTTTCTCCACGTTCCTTTTCGACTGGTCAATTTGCTCGTTGGACTCCGTGTCCGTTTTACTCGGTTGCTCCTCTTTCAAAGACGTCTCAGCGTTCTCTGCTTTCTCAGCTTCCTTTAGTTTCTCGTGTTCCCTCTTGACTCGCACGTCGCCACGTGCTTTCCTCCTTTCAGCCTCCTCGTCCATGGACTCTCGTTCGTCGAGCGCCGCGACGTCCTCGTCATCTACCTCCTCCTCGTAGTCGTCCGCCCCCGAGATCCCTCTCTTCGCGATATCCTTCGCCTCGAAGTCGTCGTACAGGCTGGACCTCTCCTCCTGGTCGATGAACCTGTTCGAATCCTCGCCAACTCTGAACTCACTGCCTTTGTAAACTGCTCCTTTGTTCCCTGGACCAGCTCCCGACTCCTCCTCCGCCTCGTCCACGTATTCGGATTTCTCCCGATCGACAGCTGCCTCGTAATCCGCGGAATCCTTGTCGCTGAACCTGGGAAGCTCTCGAGAGGAACGACCGGTCCTCGACGAAACTTTATCAGCGTCCGTGGACATCGAACGCTTCAGCTCGTGTTTCGTAGCCTCGTTCGAGAGTTTAGGGTTGCTCCTTTTGGCGGCGTTCTCTCGTTTCGTTCTGACGCGGTTCTCCGGCTCGGATCGAACAGGGGTGCTCTTTTCGCTCGGACTGCGGAAGATTCGCTCGATCGCCGGGTCGAGATTGTTTCGTTGCGCCTCGAAGTCGTTGCTGGATCGGAAGAACGGTATAAATTCGCTAGTCTCGAGTTCGAAGGATGATACAGCCACGTGAAACGAACGATCGGTACCTGGAGGTATCCTTGACGAGTTCCGAACCGCAATGGTGAACGAACGAGTAAAGCAGCATCGACAGGACGATCGTGCACGCGCAGTTGAACCGAAATCGTTTGATCATGGCGTCACAGAAGTGGCATCGTAATGCAAACTGTGCTCCTATGGATGGTCGTGCAGAGTTACTTTCATATTTTGGTGTTTTTTTTCAGGGAAAATCGTGTCGAGCGACGTTGGTGCCGCGTGAATGAAGCAGCAACGGATCGAGTACGATCGAGATATTGCTTTTGTTCCGATCGACGATTATTTCTGTTCGAATCGTGAAATAGGAATCTCCATATTTGAAACGGTGATTGCGTGTCGAATGGAATGTCAGATTCGCTCGAAGAGTAAGTTAGGTTACACAAAATAATCTCTCCTTTATTATCGTATCTTGAGCTACAAACAATTGCACACCATATATACATTTCGATTATTCTAACCGGGCAATGTTTGACAATTTATCGATTTAGCGTTGTTCACGCGTAAAAATGTTTCGGTTACGCTATCGTTACAAAATACCGTGTTACAATGAGTGAACTTATGGCTACAAGTTCGAACAAATTTAGCAAAGTACACAGACGCTTTATAAAACGTTGTAGTAGTATGTTACATCGTTGTGTAGAAGTATTTTTCTCGCTACTCGTGTATGTATGTACAGTGTACGTGCAACGCGATAAAAAAGCGATGTTTATCCTTTCTCTGTATATCCTTCTAATTTTGTTACACTCGATGTATGTAACTGCAGCTTACATACGCGAGTTATCATCGACAACGAAACGGTAAATGGGTAAAATAGAAACCAACTGCAACTCAATCGGTTCGAAATTATATCAAAGATATGAATCTGTTTGGAAACAGCAACGAAAAATGAACGATAATTGACAGGAGACCCAAAGAGCTGCAATTATTCACATACTTTGCGAATAGCTTTTGGCCTCGAAAGAATTCCAGCGGAAAAGAGCTTCACTCGCAAACGTAATTCGCAATTGCTAGGTAACGATTAAACTAAGGCAGGTGAAACGTTGCTACGGTCAACCTACGGTCAACGGTAGGGGGGAAAATGCAAAACCAATAAAATTAATTGCAAAAACATCTTTATTCGATCGAGAACACATTGATAAATCTCGTAAATGAACAAACTCAAAATAAGGAGAGGGAAAAAACAAAATAATAATCCGTTCCACGGAGGAACTCGGTTTTTTCGACGCCGGACGAAATTAACGTCGAGACGAGTTACATGCGTGTTTATTAGAACGTGGGTTAATGTAAATCGCAGGGTGTTACGAGGGGAGAGGGAAGTAGTGACGTTATATAGTTACCAACAAGATAGAAGAACGGTAAATATGAAAGAAAGCGGATTAGAAATGCTACGCACGGCGTCTGGACGCCGCGCCTATTCTAAATATCGGACGGCGCCGATCGTCGAATCGGGACCGTCCGTATCACGGATTTAAGCTCTAGTTATTGCTTTGTAATACACGTGGCTTAATGTGACAAACAAAATATTTTAACGAGTTCGAATCGCGCGCTCTCGCGGTTCAAGAGTGTCTGATCGATATTCAACTATCGATGTCCGGCCTATAGTACCGAATCCTTCATCGAGGATAAAAATATATCGACGCACAGGGTATCGATTCAATCACGAATCAATGTCTCCGGAAGCCACGAACGCCGGATATGTCTAGAATTTTTCAAATATTTCTCAGCTTCCGGAGACATTAACAACGTTCTTGCCTCGAGCCCCACAAGTTGATTTGTATATATAGTTAACGTATATATGCGTATTTATTACATATCTAGTGCAGTTCCTCGTCGATCTAGCCGATGTAAGAAATAAATATCGTTCGAAGTATACGCGAATTCATCACAGCAATTTATACGAACCTTTACGCTTACGATTAGACCTAATTTCGTGGGAGGCGGACAAAGAGTCCGGGAACGAAACGAGATTGACAATTACAGCGTAATAAACTAACGAAACAAAAATATTAATTTAATCAAAAGAAAACCAGCATTTTGCTATGATCGTTCGAGTAAATCTAGCATTGAGAAACGAAAGAAAGCGTTCTTCTAGCTCCGGTTCTCCTCGTCCGCCCCCAGTATCCTCGTGGCAGAAATTTTCGAGAACGACTTTAATTGGAAACGACCGGCATGTAGAACTTATGCTTCTGGGTGTCCCTGGTGTGCTTGAAGGGAGCTTGTTTGGCCTCTATGAGAGCGGCTGGACAAGGTCCCTTGTGCCTGGGCGCGTATTCCCTTCTGTACATGCTCGAGGAGACGGTGGAGCCGTCGCCAAGGTTGATGTGTGACACGTTCGGTTGTCTGTGAACCCTCTCGACCTTCTGGGTGCTGAAATTTCCGTAATTTTTAGTCTCGCTGTGCGAGTAGAACTTCCCGCCCACCGTCAGGTTGTCCTGTCGGACGATTCTTTGGGGACGCTCGTAGGTGGAGGAGGCCCAAGGGTTCCCGTCCTTGGTGTTGCGGTGCAGGGATGTCAAGCTTCGTCGATCGCTGCTCTGGCTAGAGTTGCTGATGTACTGGCCGCTCTCCGCCAGATTCGAGATGCTCTTCTTCTGGTCGGCGGCCGTCGACGAGATCGTGTGAAGCGCCTCCGTGGAGCTGGCGACGCCCCCGCGTCTGTGGAGGACGGAGTTGGTCACGTCGGCAGACGAGGAGATCACGTTCTTTCTGTGATGACTGGTCTTCGCGATCGACGCGTCCATCTGCGATCTGTCCATCGATTGGCCGCTGATCGCCTGCCTGAACTCCGCGCTGCTCGACTGGTTCGAGTTGTAACGAGCTTGGCTGGAGACCGTGTGCTGTTCGTGGTGCTGTCTCTGTCTGCTGGAGGTTTGTCGCGACTCCATGTGCTGGGTGTTCACGTAATCCCGTTTGCTGGACTCTTGATGCTGTCGATCGAGCTGCTTCTGATGATCGATCGTTCGATCCCGATGATTCTGAACGTCCGTCTCATCTATCACGCGTCGGGATTGAGTGATATTTTGCGATCTCAGATGTTGCTCGCTCGAGTGCATCCTCTGATGGTGCTCGTTCGTGTATTGCTGATTGCTCGATATCAATTTTCTAGAGTCCGGATGAGGACACGGCTCGTCGTACGGTTGGGCAGAGGAGACTCTTTCCCCAGATTGCGCGGAGGTCGTCTTCTTGGTGGTCGTGATCACCGTGCCGTTCTCCATGGTCTTGGACTCCGTGGAGACGCTTCTCCTGGTGTCCGACTCCATGCTGCTCACCTTGGCCGCCACCTCCTTGGCGGTGCGTTTCGTGAAGGTATTGTAGTTCCTCTGAGTGGTGGTGGACATGGTCGTGTTGTCGTCGCCCAGATTGATCGAGGACTCCATGTGGTGTCTGCGGCTCACGGTCTTCCCTGTCGGCGAGTCCTCCTTCCTCGTGGGCGTGTACATGTCCCTGCTGGTGGTCTTCGTCTCCATCGCCCCGGTGCTCACCTTCAGGTTGTCCTCGTGGCGTTTGATCTCGGCGCGTTCCCCGCGCACCACCGTGTACGTGGACCTCTGCGACGTCGAGTCTTGGAAGTCCCCTGTCATCCTCAGATTGTCCTCTCTGCGCACCACCTCCACCCTCTCAGCCCTCTTCGGTGTGAAATCGTCCCGAGGCCTTCCCACAAAGTCACCCTCCGGTTTCAGGTTGTCCGTGTGACGAATGGGCGATCGACGCTCGATCGGACCCACCTTCTCCGGGGTTCTGCGCTCGAAATCGCCCTCCGGTTTCAGGTTATCAGGATGCTTGATGGGCGATCTTCTCTCCCCGGGTCCCAGGGGAGATTTCTGCGGTCGGTCGAACTCTCCCTCGGGACGCAGGTTGTCGGGATGCTTCTTGATCGTGGCCCGTTCGGCGACCACGCGCGTGTAATCGCTCTTGCGACGCACGTCCACGAACTCGCCCTCGATCTTCAGGTTGTCCTCGCGCCTCTTGGTGTCCACCCTCTCTACCTTGGTGACCCTCTTGTAGTCGTCCCTCCTGCGAACGTCCATCTCCCCTTCCATCCTCAGATTATCCTCGTGACGACGGACCTCCACTCGTTCCCCGTTCACGTATCTGTAATCGTCCCTGGACGTCGGGCTGACTTCCATCTCGCCTTCCGGGCGCAGATTGTCCTGAGGCTTCCTGACCGGCGCGCGATCACCTCTCTTAGGACCAAAGTCGTCCTTGGGGCTGGCGTAGAAATCTCCCTCAGGGTGGAGGTTGTCCTCGTGACGAATGGGAGTCCGTCTCTCGGCAGGTCCCACCTTCTGAGGGGTCCGTTTGGCGAACTCGCCCTCGGGATGCAAGTTGTCCTTGGGCTTCTTTACGTCCGCGCGTTCTCCCTTGGTCGGCGTCTCCTGTCGCGGTCTACCGACGAACTCTCCCTCGGGATGCAGATTGTCCGGATGTTTGATCGGCGAACGTCTCTCCGCCGGTCCGACCGGAGACTTCTCCGGCCTCTCGAACTCTCCCTCGGGTTTCAGGTTGTCCTTGGGCTTCTTCACCGGGACCCTGTCTCCTTTCGTGGGCGTCGGTGGCTTGGGACGCTGGGCAAACTGTCCCTCGGGCTTCAAGTTGTCCGGATGCTTGATGGGCGATCGTCGTTCCGCCGGACCAACCGGGGATTTCTCCGGCCTCTCGAATTCACCCTCCGTTCGAAGGTTGTCCTCGTGTCTGACGATCTCGCTGCGTTCGCCACGGGTCACCCTGTAATCGTCTCGCCTTCGAACATCCACGAACTCTCCCTCTATCTTCAAATTGTCCTCCCGACGAATCACGTCCACGCGCTCGATCTTCGACACGCTCTTGTAGTCGTCTCTAGATCGTCGAACGTCGATGTCACCCTCCATCCTCAGGTTGTCCCGGTGCACGACGATCTCCGTCCTCTCGCCCTTGGTCGGTTTATAGTCGTCTTTTGGCCTTCCAACGAACTCGCCCTCCGGCTTCAGGTTGTCCTTGGGCTTCTTCTGAACCGGTCTATCAACACGTTTGGGGGTGAAATCGTCCTTGGGCCTGCCCACGAATTCTCCCTCGGGGCGAAGATTATCCTCGTGACGAATCGGTGTCCTCTTCTCAGCCGGGCCTATCGGAGACTTCTGCGGTCTGTCGAACTCTCCCTCGGGTCGAAGGTTGTCCTTGGGTCGAGTAACATCCGCTCGTTCACCTCTGACGGGTGCCTCTTCCTTGGGACGACCGACGAAGTCTCCTTCCGGTCGTAGATGGTCCGGATGTTTGATGGGACTCCTTCTTTCCGCAGGACCCACCGGTTTCTTCTCCGGTCTCTCGAAACTACCCTCCGGACGCAGGTTGTCCCTCGGTTTCTTCACCTCCGCTCGCTCGCCCTTCTTCGGCGCCTGTTCCTTCGGTCGACCCATGAACTCTCCCTCGGGACGAAGATTATCGTCGTGTTTGATGGGCGATCTTCTCTCAGCAGGGCCGACAGGAGTCTTCTCAGGCCTCTCGAACTCCCCTTCCGGCTTCAGGTTGTCCTCAGGCTTCTTGATTTCCGGTCTCTCGGCCCTCTTGGGGCTGTAATCGTCCTTCGGACGACCCTCGAACGGTCCCTCGGGACGGAGGTTGTCAGGATGCTTGACAATGTCCACTCGTTCGCCTCTCACTACCTTGAAGTCATCCCTGGTTCGAGAGTCGGTGAATTCACCCTCCATGCGTAGATTGTCCTCGTACTTGGTCACCTCCGTTCGCTCGCGGACCAGGAAATCCGCGTACTCGTCCCTGGACCTGTAGATAAGATGCCAGAGTATTAAAATTCGATCAAACAACCGATCAACGTACGATATCCCTACCTGTAAGTCTCGATGTTGCCTTCCATACGAAGATTATCGGTCCGTTTAACAACGTCCACCCGTTCGCCACGTACAGGGACGAAGTCGTCCTTTGGCCTTCCCTCGAACGGTCCTTCCGGTTTCAGATTATCCTCAGGCCTCTTGACGTCCGCGCGTTCTCCTCTGGTCGGCACGTAATCGTCCTTTGGTCTCCCGACGAATTCTCCTTCCGGTTTCAGATTGTCGGGGTGCTTGATGGGCGTGCGTTTCTCCGCTGGCCTGACCGGGGTCTTTTCCGGTCGCTCGAACTCGCCTTCCGGCTTCAGATTGTCGCGAGGTCTCTTGATGTCCGCGCGTTCTCCACGTTTCGGCGCCTCCTCCTTCGTCTTCCCGACAAAATCACCCTCTGGCTTGAGATTGTCCGGATGTTTGATCGGCGTCCTCTTCTCCGCCGGACCGAAGGGTCTCTTCTCAGGCCTCTCGAACTCTCCTTCCGGCTTCAGGTTGTCCTTGGGCCGTTTAGCTTCCGGTCTCTCGGCGGGTCTGTACTGCTCGTGGTCGGGACGCTCGAATTCGCCCTCGGATTTCAGATTATCGGGATGCTTGATGGGGGATCGCCTTTCCGCAGGACCAAAAGGCTTCTTCTCCGGCCTCTCGAAGCTGCCCTCCGGCTTCAGGTTGTCCTCCGGTCTCTTGACATCAGCCCTGTCGACTCTTGTCGGCGCCTGTTCCTTCGGACGACCTATAAACTCGCCCTCCGGCTTCAGATTGTCCTGCGGTTTCTTCACAACCGGCCTCTCTGCCGGCTTGAACTCTTCCGGTTTGGGCCTCTCGAACTCGCCTTCCTGTCGCAGATTATCCGCGTGTCTGATGGGCGTCCTCCTCTCCGCGGGTCCCACGGGTTTCCTCTCTGGAACATCGATCTCGCCTTCCGGATAGAGATTGTCCTTTGGCCTCTTCACGTCCGCCCTCTCGCCCTTTCGAGGAGCCTCCTCCTTGGGACGCCCGACAAACTCTCCCTCCGGTTTCAAATTGTCGCGTGGTTTCTTGACCACCGGTCTCTCCGCCGGCCTGAACTCCTCGTGCTTGGGTCTCTCGAATTCTCCCTCCGGCTTCAAGTTGTCCTCGTGTTTGATCGGCGTCCTCTTCTCCGCTGGACCGTAGGGTCTCTTCTCAGGCCTCTCGAACTCTCCCTCCGGCCTCAGGTTGTCCTCAGGCTTCTTGATTTCCGGCCTCTCGGCCCTCTTGGGGCTGTAATCGTCCTTCGGGCGGCCCTCGAACGGTCCCTCGGGACGCAGGTTGTCGGGATGCTTGACGATGTCCACTCGTTCACCTCTCACTACCTTGAAGTCGTCCCTGGTTCGTGAGTCGGTGAATTCACCCTCCATGCGTAGATTGTCCTCGTACTTGGTCACCTCCGTACGCTCGCGGATCAGGAAATCCGTGTACTCGTCCCTGGACCTGTAAATAAGATGCAGAGTATTAAAATTTGATCGAACAATCGATCAACGTACGATATCCCTACCTGTAAGTCTCGATCTCTCCTTCCATTCGCAAATTGTCAGTGCGTTTCACGATGTCGACTCGTTCGCCACGAACGGGTTGATAGTCGTCTTTGGGTCTACCCTCGAACGGTCCTTCCGGTCTCAGATTATCTTCCGGTCTCTTCACCACTGCTCTGTCGCCTTTGGTGGGCGTGAATTCGTCTTTAGGCTTGCCCACGAATTCTCCCTCGGGCTTGAGATTGTCCGGGTGCTTGATGGGCGTTCGTCTCTCGGCTGGACCGAACTTCTCCTGACGGGGGCGCTCGAAATCACCCTCCGGTTTCAAATTGTCTTTGGGCTTCTTGACCTCCGGCCTCTCCGCCGGTCGAAACTCTTCGTGGCGCGGTCTCTCGAAGTCTCCCTCGGAACGAAGATTGTCCGGATGTTTGATCGGAGTACGTCTCTCAGCGGGACCGACCACAGGTTTTTCTGGCCTCTCGAACACACCCTCGGGGTGCAAATTGTCCTCTGGTCTCCTAGCCTCCGGACGTTCTGCCCTCTTCGGCGAGTAATCATCTTTCGGTTTGCCCTCGAACGGACCTTCAGGCTTTAGATTGTCCTCTGGACGCTTGACGTCCGCGCGTTCGCCTCTGGTCGGCTTGTAATCGTCCTTTGGACGACCCTCGAAGGGCCCTTCCGGTCTCAGATTGTCCTGAGGCTTCTTCGCCTCCGGACGCTCTGCTTTCTTCGGCGAATAATCGTCCTTGGGTCTTCCCTCGAACGGACCTTCCGGTTTCAAGTTGTCCTCAGGACGCTTCACATCCGCGCGTTCTCCCTTCGTCGGTTTGTAATCGTCCTTTGGACGACCCTCGAACGGCCCTTCCGGTCTTAGATTATCATCGTGCTTGATAGGAGTTCTACGCTCCGCGGGACTAAACGGTTTCCGTTCCCTGTCTGGGAAGTCTCCCTCGGGGAACAAGTTATCAGGATGTCGGACTATCGGTGCCCTTTCACCTGGACCGTAAGGTATCTGCCTCGGTTTCTCGAATTCACCCTCTGGATAGAGATTATCCGGATGTCTGATGGGCGTACGTCTCTCTCCCGGAGTATACGTGTCCCTAGGACGATCCTGAAATTCGCCTTCCGGTCGGAGATTGTCCTGAGGTCTCTTCACTTCCGGCCTCTCTGCGGTTTTCGGTGTATAATCGTCCTTTGGACGTCCCTCGAACGGCCCTTCCGGTCTTAGATTATCATCGTGCTTGATTGGAGTTCTACGTTCCGCGGGACTAAACGGTTTCCGTTCCCTGTCTGGGAAGTCTCCCTCGGGGAATAAGTTATCAGGATGTCGGACTATCGGTGCCCTTTCACCTGGACCGTAAGGTATCTGCCTCGGTTTCTCGAATTCGCCCTCTGGATACAAATTATCCGGATGTCTGATGGGCGTACGTCTCTCTCCGGGAGTATACGTGTCCCTAGGACGATCCTGGAATTCGCCTTCCGGTCGGAGATTGTCCTGAGGTCTCTTCACTTCCGGCCTCTCTGCGGTTTTCGGTGTATAATCGTCCTTTGGACGTCCTTCGAAGGGTCCTTCCGGTCTCAAATTATCTTCGGGTCGTTTGACTTCCGGACGTTCGCCACGCTTTGGGGAAAAGTCGTCCTTGGGGCGGCCCTCGAAGGGTCCTTCGGGTTTCAAATTATCCTTAGGCTTCTTCGCTTCCGGACGTTCTGCCCATTTTGGCGAGTAATCGTCCCTTGGCCTTCCCTCGAACGGACCTTCCGGTCTCAAGTTGTCCTCTGGACGCTTCACATCAGCACGTTCTCCCTTCGTTGGCATGTAATCGTCCTTTGGACGTCCTTCGAAGGGTCCTTCCGGTCTCAAATTGTCCTGTGGTCTCTTGACTTCAGGGCGTTCCGACCACTTGGGGGTGAAATCGTCTTTGGGTCTCCCTTCGAACGGTCCCTCGGGCCTCAAGTTGTCCTCGGGCTTCTTGACTTCCGGTCGTTCGGCTCGTTTCGGTGAAAAGTCATCCTTGGGTCGTCCTTCGAACGGTCCTTCCGGTTTCAAATTATCTTGAGGTCGTCTTACTTCTGGACGTTCGGCCCATTTCGGTGTGAAATCGTCCTTGGGTCTTCCCTCGAAAGGACCTTCCGGTCTCAAGTTATCCTCCGGCCTCTTAACATCCGCCCTCTCTCCTCTGGTTGGCATATAATCGTCCTTGGGTCGTCCCTCGAACGGTCCTTCCGGTTTCAAATTATCTTGAGGTCGTTTTACTTCTGGACGTTCGGCCCATTTCGGTGTGAAATCGTCCTTGGGTCTTCCCTCGAAAGGACCTTCCGGTCTCAAGTTATCCTCCGGCCTCTTAACATCCGCCCTCTCTCCTCTGGTTGGCATATAATCGTCCTTTGGACGTCCTTCGAAGGGTCCTTCCGGTCTCAGATTATCTACTGGCCTCTTCACTTCGGGACGCTCGGACCATTTCGGTGAATAATCGTCCCTTGGCCTTCCCTCGAACGGACCTTCCGGTCTCAAGTTATCCTCCGGCCTCTTAACATCCGCCCTCTCTCCTCTGGTCGGCATATAATCGTCCTTTGGACGTCCTTCGAAGGGTCCTTCTGGTCGTAAATTGTCCTTAGGCCTCTGGGGTTCCGGTCTCTTGGTTATCGCCGGCACGATGTAATCGTCCTTACTGCGCGGCGTACCTTCGAACGGCCCTTCCGGTTTCAAATTGTCGTCCCGTCTGATCACGGACGTGCTTCTGTAATCGGTCTGATCGAACGTTCGATGTTGTTCCTGCGTGGTCGTGGTGCTCTCCACGATATCGGTCTTGTAAAATCGATCGTCCTCCTCCGTGAACGCGAGACGTCTTCGTGGTTCACGTTCGATCGCGTCGTAACTGTGGAAATCCTCCTTGAGACGAGAGGTACCCTGCATCAGATTTTTTCGCACGATAAAGAGGTGTCGTCGATCCGCGATAAAGGGAATTGGAACATCTCGAGGACGCACGAAGGCGTTGAACATAGAGCTTACCGTGAATTCACCCTCTCCCACTGTCAGATTGTCCGTACGTTTGATGATGTCGGCACGCTGGATGGTTCGATGGTCGATGTACTCGGATCTCGAGGTGGTCGAGTCGATGAATTCACCCTCGACCTTCGTGTAGGTGTTCCGACGTACCGCGCTCGGTCGTTCGCCGGGCGTCCCGGTGAACACCAGCTCCGTCGTGGTCGTACCTTAACGTTATTTAAAGTTAGACCAAGCCTTTACACTTTACACTATCGATAGCCTTTTAAAACCCACTAATATTTAAAAAAAGAAACTCACTGTCGAATTCTCCCTCGGGTCTGAGATTGTCCTGGGGTCTCTTGACCAGCGCACGGTCGCCATATTTGGGAGCTTCCTCTCGCGGTCTCCCGACGAATTCCCCCTCCGGTTTCAAGTTATCCTGCGGCCTCCTCACCGGGGCTCTCTCGCCCTTCGTCGCCACATAGTCAGCCCGCCTCTCGCCGATGAAGTCGCCTTCCATACGCAGATGATCCTCATGGTGGTGGATCGTCTGCCTGTCCACGTGTTTCTCGTCGAACTCCTCGCGGTACGAGGTGATCACGTGGAGAGGTTCGTCCTGAGAAAGCTCCAAACGATCCTGGGGCACGCTGTGGTGACAACGATGTCGCCTAAAAAAAGCCAAACCCTTTGATTCGAGGATACTTTGCACTCGGCTATTGCAAGTCCAGGCAACTGATAGCTTAAATTATGAAATTGTACGACGAAAGAAAGGGTTGACTATCGTTCGCGAATATTCATGCGACTCTTTGACGGTGGAGAACCGCCGTCAGTCCATTGATAAACTGGCAAGAGCATTGCAGTCGCGGATGTCACTGCGGTCACGCACGTGACCATTGTCGTCCACAGCACGACGGTTGCATGTTCGTTAGATTTCGTGCACGATGCACGTTAGGCGAGCCTAATTGAAACACATTCGACGGCGGCGACTTCTGTATCGGCTTAACGGGTTTTCGAGTCGCGTCATTTTATTTATCCGCGCTGACAAATCTAGAATTGCTGAAATGCAACCTGGAACGTTTACGGCCGACGCGTTGACAAACGGTATCGCTATTTTAAGTCGTTAATTATCGCTGAACGCGTAATGAGGCTTGATTCCAACGAGAACGATTGAATCATTCGGTTCGATGCTCTTTTTTTAAGAAATTATTCTCGAAAAAAACTCTGCAATTGTTGTAGCGAGTATTCGTATTAATTCTCAAGGTTCCGATAAGCGGAGTCGACTTTAGTACGCAAAAATGAATCTATTTCAGCAAGGCTGCGATTGCACACGACCGAGTTTAACTCGATAACGACGTTTTTAGACAACTTTTGAACTTTATTGGCTTTATCGTGCACGTATTTCTGTACGCTGTGATTGGCAATTAACGAAGCGAAGAAACATCGTTACATCTCTGTGGTATGGCATTGTAATCTCCATATCAATTAGGGAGAGTGCGGGCTGCCAAAATTCCGACTCATTTTTCCCTCCGCGGTTCGCATTGACAAAAGACCGACCGTTTCCAATAACGATCGTGCATCGACAATTTGTAGCTTGAAAGAGGAATACGGAATATAATAATTTCAAGTACTACGAACCGGTGGCTTCGTGTAGCCAGACTGACAAGAAGCTACTTCGTTCGAAAGTAGAAATAGATCGCCATTCGCAGACACTTAGAACGCCACTTCCAATGAATGACGACAGGGAGTTTATTTCTTGATCAGCCTGAATACCTCGTACACTTAGCTTGCGGTAAAAGCGAATCGAGCACCGAGTGGACAAATTTTATGCTCTGTTTGCATCGTGTCCGTAAATTATTTGCAACCAAAAGCATTTTATCAGAGAAAATAATTATCCTACAATTCCCCTTTATTTTTCGTTACGACGATCGGGTTGCGTTCGAGCGAATAGTTTGAAAATAACTCGCGGTTAACGAGACTTAGGAGAGTCTACGGGTCGTTGAAAATCGGTAGAAGCTCGCTCGTTCCCCGGAGATCGCAACCAGTTCCATTCACATCGAAATCCGCGCAGACCATTTGGAAATTGGAAATCGGTCAGAGAGATTTTGCAACAGATGTCGTCGAAACTCGTTGCACGTACGCATCGATGCATTCGAATGCGTCGTCGGTGGTCGGCTATAAAAGGCAAAACAGAAAACTACGCGCGAGTCGCGCGCTCGCGCGCCAAATTTTAATGCAGAAACACGGTTTGTTTGCCGCGATCCGTTATCGTTGATCGCGTTCTGGTTAGAAACACCTTTCGTCGACGCATCGATTCTAATTAATTTTGCAAACAACGCTGTTTTCTATCCGGATCAGTTTAAACGCGCCCCGTTGATCGCTAATCGCGATGTGCTCGCACAGAGTTGAATAATGATCGACACGACTGTTTTCTAGCTTAAAAAGATTTATTCGTCGAGATGGTTCCATCGTCCAAGATCGATTATTTTATCCATAACGTTATAGCAATACGCGTCCAACGCTAAATACGGAGAAGTTGCGCGGAAACTCATTACGGGCTGCCGATCAGGGAGAAGCGAACGAACCAGGACAACCCTTGCAAACCACAAGCGTGCAACCAATTTCCAGCGATCTCTCGATCGCGTTCGTTCGGAAGACAGGGTTCGATTTGGGTCAAGCGTTTCAATCTATCAAGAACCGGGATTACATTTACTGGCGCGATTTTCCGCGAGGAATACGAATGTTAAAACACACCGCCTTTGAGAGAAGTTTATTAACGACGTGGTCTAAGCGAAATAGAACAAATTTAGTACCCCTGGAATCGTAAAATTTAGGAAAATACGGTCAAGATACGGTAAGATGATCCCTTTGCAGATCGGGAATTTTCGGTATTCTTCGCGAATTTTCGGCAAATCTCAATGCCCTCCCTTTCGAACAATCAGTGTCTACTTGGCCGTCTTACTGAACGCATCACCGTGACATCTTCCAGCAGAGCAGCTTGACTTTGCGTGAAACGTGTAAGAGTGCACATTTTAATGTATTTGTAATTAAGTGCTAAGGTGTGCAAGCAATTAACGTGTAACATTGTTGTTTCGTCAAAAGCTATTAATAAATAATCCTGCAACATTTTCGTCGATATCAAATGCTATCTATCTGTCTATCCGGATCCAGCGTCGAAACAATTTCGATGTAATCTTCCAAAAAGATTAGACACGCTCGCTAGTCATCGACGTTGCATAATACGGCTACAAAGTTTCCCAAAGCTAGGAAAAGGAAGCGAGCTGGCTCTCCCTGTCTCTGAAAATGGCAATTTCGTAATCGAGAAGCACTCGATCGCGCCAACGTCCTGACCTAAATTGCAAATCCTTGTCCTTGCGCCGATCGAGAGAGTTCTATTTCAAGAAATCGCTCGCGAATCACCTTCGACAAACTCCAAACAAGGAAACGCGATATTCGTTTCTCGGCGTCCTTCGTTTTAGGGCCGACACAATGGCGGCGTCTCGCGAGCTGATCACCTTAAATTTGAATCGCGATCACCTTGTCGACGGGAGGTCGCGACACGTCGTTCGAATAAGGAAGAAGCCCGTGAAGTCGATCGCGATTGGTTAGAAACGACTTCCCGTAAAAGGGTTCGGTCTCGTGTCCCACTTTTAAGCGCCGCGTCGCTCCCTTCGTAAGCGTGCAGTTTCATAACGCGATCCAAGAATGGACCTACTCGATACGTACGGTAAAACACGAGAATAATCTATCCCTCATCTGTCATGGCCGATCATGCCAAACAAAATCGAATCTCTTATAAGAGTTCTTCTTTTAGTCCCAAACACTGATTTCCTTTTAAGACTGCGTCTAGAGGCACGGTACTATTGTTGTGTTATCTATTCTAGATACCAACTATTTCATTATACTACTACATTACGCAACGAACGAGAGTTTTAATCGCCTCCAAACAATAGGTTTCGACACGAGCGCCCACACCAGTATTCCCTATAGGTCGATTACGATATCAAATCAGATCGTAACGTTCGGAGATTTTGATTTCAAGCTGATACACGCATGATCGGCCACGATGAGATCCCGTAACGCAATTTAATTGCAAAAAATAACGGACGATCCTCTCTTTTGCATCGTCGACTCACTTAATAATTAATAATAGTATCGCGAAACGAAGGTGTCTCGACGATAAGGTAAATTAACCAGCGCCTTCGAAGGCTCTTCGAAGTCTCGACGCGTAGCCTGTTGCGAGCTGCGCGAAGTTAAAAACGAACAACAGCCTCGCCCCCCCTCGCTAAGATAACGCGGACATTAGCATGAAAAAGGATTCGTTTGAATATCAAAGAGCCCGGCCCGAACTAGCTTAACGGGATAACGCAATTTGTTGCTTACCCGCAGGTGCAGAGTTCGCAGATGCACTGCTCCTTCAGAGGAATCTTGGACAGGATGACTGGTATCTTTCCAGGTTGAAGGTCGTCCCCGTCGAGGGAGTCCGGAGTCTGATCGCCTCTCTTGGGTGGTTCGTCCAGCTTTTTCGGCTTTTCCTCCGGTCGACTCGGTTTACCCGCTGCTGGACGGTGCTCGGGCTTCTCGGGAACCTTTGGCTTCTCGTCGAGACGGCTCGGTTTACCCGGGACCGACGTCGTTTCCTCGGGACGCGGTGCCCTTTCAGGAGGAATCTGCCTCTCATCGGGGCAGCTCGGTTTCCCCGCGGCGGGCATCGACTTCGTCGAAACATAATCGCGCGGCTTTTCCGGCTGCTGTGCCCTGACTCCGGTTGGTCTTCGAAAATTAATAGAATGATCAGAGTTAGATGGTGCGGGGCAACGCGTTTGTCAGCTATTAACTCGACGATATTTCGTTCTCGAACGATTTATGATAGGGACCCAAGAGGGATGGTTGCAAGGACACGATCCAGATGACTCGAAGTCACACAGCTATCGGGCGTCATAGGATTGCTTGTCGAAAGGAAACGTAGGCATGTTAGAAAAAGGCAAGCGACTCGACGTTGTCTTGCTTTAAAGAATAGGAACTCTGTTCCTTGAGGATCTGGCCACGGAGTGGGGAAGGCAAGGGTGCCTTCTGGTAAGAGGACTAAGCTTGACCTCTTGCCACTTACCCCAGAACCGTGACCGAGTAGAGTTGTTCTTGCAAAATATCTAACACGTTTAAAATCAAATCAACACGTTTCTTATCAAAGGATCATTACTCTTAAATAAATAAAAGCTCCGCGAGTACAGGGACCGCGAACTTAGAGAGCTTCCCGACTTCGTGGGCGCTCTTGTTTTAATTAAAAGCTTGAAATTTCAATATTTACGTAGCTCGGCATATCGCATTCTGCACTCGCCTCTCTATTCGTTAATTAATTGTACGTTGGAAGCGCGACGTAATTGTTAAGATGCATCCGTGAGCGTTTCTGTCTCGTGGACATGTTCCAACGATTACATTTCACAAGTTTAATAAAGATATTTATCGTTACCTTTTGGGTTCCTCTGGGCTGTGGTCGCGTCGAGGAGGTCGACTCGGTTTCCCAGCTGCCGGAATCGGTTTTGGCCGCTCGTCCTCTCTGAGTCCGGGTATTCCGCGCGGATAGCCCGGTCGTTCCGGTGAGCTTCTCCGCGGCGAATCCGCGGGTGATCGCGGAACCGAGCTGCTGTATTTGTCGAACCGAGTCTCGTCGACGACATCCCGCGCTACCATACTAGTCACCTGCTCTTTATCGATGAATTCCGTCGTTGATTCGGTGACATCTCTCTGCAAACACACAAGGAAACCTTTGATCAGATCGTATCGACCGGCAGACCCGTAGCTTTCGTAATCTGAATTGAAATTTTAGAGATAGAGGAATCGATGATCGAGAATATAAGAGCAATATCTTGTTGGCTGGTTGCTTTTAATCGTAACGCGCGATAAGTAAATATGCTCGTCGATGATATTGCGCTTTGTGAATGAACTCGGTCCTTCGTCGCGCGCCGCCGCCGCGAAGGCAATTACAGAGAATTCTGTTAATCGAACTGGTTATCACCTTGCTAATTACAAGTGCTTTCACGACAGGTTCAAAGCACTGCCGTTATTGGTCGGATGGATCGCAGCGGCTAAAAGCGACGCGCGTATCGCGTTCGATGCGAGCTCGCGTACGAATATCGGTGATTAATTACCGATTTACTGATCGATCGCATTTTGTCGGAGTTCAAAACTAGACCATCCACCGCAATCTCGCCTTAATACTATTTCTAATCTCGTTAAAGTTAAAATCCATCCAGTCGTTTAGACGATATTATCCGCCAAGAGGCTGACAATACTTTCCTTCCTTCCAGAGTAAAAATAGCAACTAATTAGTAGTTTCGTTGGGAAAAGAGAACAGTTCCGGATTAAGGGGTATATGGCACCGCGAATAAGTAGAATGTGAAGAGCGTCGAGCAATTTTGCCTTACGAAGGCTAACCATAACGTGTGACCCAATACGACACGCGCGCCAGATACTCTTCTCTGTTCACAATTTTCCATTCTAAAAAATCCGACTTTACAAGGCAAACGCACGAACGTTGAATTCTTCGGCGAACAAATGAATCGCGAACTCTGGAGGAAACTCTGCTATCGACACGCTCGAATCAGCATTCGAAACGCTATTACGTCGCGTTTGCATCACCGCCCCTTTTAGCGACGAAACGGAGAACTCGATGCGTCGTTCTCCGTAGAAGTCAATTAGTTCACGCGTGTCTAGAAAATGGCTACGTCGTTCGCGTTGATAACGGGCACCTTTATCGAACGATTCGACTCGTGGTTTAAACGCAGATACGATCGGTGCCCGTTTGAAAAGAGGCTCGCTTTTGTTCGATATCCGCTTCGACACTGACCAGTCTGAAATCAGCGTTGGCGGAACGGACTGCACGATTTCAGTCTTTATGGGGCTCGACGAAACAATTATTTCGCCTCGTGAACTTGGTAAAGCGTGTCCCGTCGAGTCACGAAGCGATCTATCCTAGAATTTATTCGTTCGTTTAGCGTTTTTTTTCGTATTTCGTTCCGCCAGTTTCTTGCTAGACGGACCATCGAAAAATTATTGATATTTAAAAAGCTATAAACGGCTTTTTGTTTGCTGAGAATGACTCGCGCGCTTCAGGAAATATTGCGTTGCATGTAAACAAGGGATTATCTGTGTAACGCAGGATTATCTTATTATGACACGTCGTCCCGGAAATAGTTACATACGCATCTTAACGATCAGTGGATAGTTACTAAGGTATTAAAAAATTTGTCATCGCGCGGTAACAATGACATCCGTGTTATTTCAAAAGTGAATATTAATTTCACGACTCGTGTTTATCCCTATTGTACACGATTGCAGGGAAAGGTGTTCCATTTATGCAAAGATTTAAGAAGGTTGCATTATCGTCGACTATTTTTAGATAGCACGTATACCGTTCTAGTCTCCTTTCCGATAAACATGTTTAATGCTATTCATGGATTCAGAAAGGCGCTTAAGCTGACGTGGTCGTCATATGTTATTAGCTAGGTGTGTACGAAACGTTGGATTTCGCGTATTTCCATACATCCGAAGATACTCGTAAAACCTTCGAAGAACCCGTGGACAGATCAAACGTTTACCATATTAGAGCATTGCAGAATCTCGCAGTTAACACGTCGACTGCCGCGCCTGTTTTTCATATTTAGAAATGTCCTCGACGCTGAGATTTTAGTACAGAGAAACGGAGAAATATTCCACAGTTTCATAGCGTGATCTTAAGATCAAGTAAAAAACTTTGATCCAATCATCATTAGAGGAAATTGAATCCAACGTGCAATCATAAGTGTAGAATAAACTCGTTAGCTTCGAGTTAAATGGGCTCGTGGTCACGGATCCAGAGAAAAATTTAAATGATCGACAATTAACCGATGACTCCTGGTTTTTGCAGCGCGTAAAACGATCGTCCCATTCGCTGTAGGATAAATTATCGGTTTGAAACGTGTTATAACGAATACCGTAACTATACCAGGTTAAAAACCGACGACGGTGCTTAGCTATACGGAATGCAGGTAACGCGAGATCATCGCAGTTGGCGTGTATGCACGCGTCTGCATCGTATCGCATAACACGAGTCACTTTTGCCCCTTTGTACACGCTCTCAACGAGGATTTTGTTTCGTCGAATATATCCTTGCGAGCTCGGACCGTCTGCTCCGTCCAATGTTCGGATTCCTTCGAGCATCACGACGTCTAAGATCGACTGATCGAGATCCACGTTCCCCCACACACACCCTGTATACGTATAATCGTGAATGCATTGTGGAAGTTTTAATTTTCGAATCGTATTTGAGACGAATTCTAAAACTCGAGCGTCCTTCGCTCGGTCAGCGGGGCGAAGATCGCTCGTCGCTTTGAAACAGTCGCGCGTATAGCTGTTTTCGGCTCGTTAGCATCGATCATTGTACTTTACGAGCACGTTCGTTCTCTGGCTAAACGCTGTAATTCGATAACGAGGCGAGTGACGTTTGCTAACGCTGTTAAAGCGGTCCTCCGGTGCTGTCTTTCAATAACGGAGCACCGTGTAAACGGAGGAACGTTCATCATTTGAAGGGAATTTCGCGTAGTTTCCGCTTTGACGCCCGGGAACTCTAAATAATGAACACGATACTCGCGCCAGAGAATAATTGCTATTCAACGCGTTCGACTAATTAATTAAAACGCAACTCCTGGAAGCATTTTTCGTATTGTTTCCATCTGGGGAATTAATTTTAAAGCGGTTATCGTTTCGTCTAGTTTTATTTAAAACGGTATAATTATTTAGGCCCTGCGTGAAACTGAAACGCCGTGCGATCATTATAGACGTCGTCGAGACCGTCGAACGGAAATTAAGGGAGTCGTTCTCGTTAAAAGCAATCGTGGAATCCAATTTCAGCCGTCTCCGTTTAACTGGATCGAAGAGAAAATAAAAGGCGTGACGAATCGTTGAATTTCGCCCCCCCTCCCCACCCCCTGAGTACCTGTTGAATTCACCCTCGTCAGCGGTGGATGGAATTGATACTTCGCCCGGTACTAACAAGTCGGAAGGAGAGAACACGCTTCGAAGTATTCCATCGACCACCGTGAGACCTCGAAACCGATGTCACGGCTACCAGAACAAACCGACATTAACGATGGAATATATTACATCGTAACAGGACACCTTGGTCGATCTGTCCGCGAACGATCGAGCAAATTATGATCTTAAAATTCGCTCGTAAATTAGAATCTAAAACACGCAAGATGCACGTATCGCGCGGAAGGCCAACGCTGACGTTTCGAAATAAAATTACAGATAGACAAAAGCATTTCGAACGATTAGGTTCCTTACGTAACTCTGACGTGCCTCGCGTGTACCGATTACGTTCGCTTCTAGAGACGAGAAAGAAGCTATAAACGGTTCGAAAAAAATGTTGTGTCCAACTTCTTCGAACGCTGATGGAAGATGCACACATGTACACACGATATAGACCGTGTTTACGCTCGACTATCATAAATTCCACAGCTGGTTTCGTCGGACGACAGCATTATCAACCTGGGCAAGGTTACGCGAATCAGCACTCTTGGAATTCCGTGCACTACGGTGACATTATTTGGGCATCGATCGAAGAGGAACGGATCGATCGACGCGCTCGAAATCGTAAACGACGATCGGACGTTCAGGGGTTAAGCAAAAGCAATCGGAGATCATGGCGTGAAATTGAATTGCTCGCGGATCGAGCGGCTGACTAACGACCGATGACATCACTTCCAAACTAGGCTACGATGCTAAACGGCAATTGTTCGCATTGTTCGATTCGAAGTCGGTTACAGGTGATTCGCGGCAAGGTGCACGCACCGCGCGGCCAAAGGAAAAGCGACGATCGATGACGAATTGGCACTCGTTCAAAAAACGGACACGCCTCGAAGCCACTCGTATTATTACTGTCTTTTTATTTACAAATAAATTACTCTTTGATACGAGTACTTGGAAGCGTAATTCGTACGACGTTTCGCAAAAAACGCAGCGTAACGCGTTGGTTCAAAGGTTGCCGGCGTGTTGAATTGCAATTCGCGGAGGATCGATCGCAGGACGAGAAAATCGCAAACCATTCGACGGAGTTGTAAACGAAGCAAGGCAAATCGAGATGAGATCACAGCCGAACTTGGCCACGATGGGCTCGAATTATTATCGCTTTAGGTACGAACAATTGAAGTCGATTGTAGGTGATTGCAGTTGCGTGCACACGACACGTGCCCGCAGGCGATTCCGGTAACTCTTATTAGCTGCCTGACAGAACAGAATTCTCTTATTATTCCCACGTATGGTTTAATAACTATTTGCGTCGAGCTCGAAATCGTCCGTGTCTCGATCGATCTTCGATCGGAACGTTAACGATCATCGTCGCGGTCGTAAACAGAAATATTTACAGCGACCTGTCGAATCGTCGTGTATTGGCCTTCGTTAACCGCGTTATCCTAAACGTTGCTCCGTTTCCGCGTCTGGAAGAAGCTGTGCTCCCGATTTCGTCCGCGCTGTCAATCTTGTCGATTGTACGACAGGTGAAATTATAACGTTGCGAGTCGCTCGAACCCGTTTCTCGCGACGATCGAAACGAGAACAGGATTTATCGATGCAATCGATGCGTTTTGCAATGGGAAGGGACAGCGATCGTTGCAACGTCGTAATTGGTTCAAATGGAACGCGAACGCGACAGTTTTTTGTGGTTTGTTTGAATAATTTCGATAGCCAGAGTAAAGCAGAGAGTAAATAAAAGAGAAAACGAAGGCCTTTTGTTCCGATAAACAACGTGATAAACACGCAACCAAGCTACTTCATTCGAATATGTTTATATATAACTTTGTGTCTATATACGAACAGATTATTGATCATCTTTTATGAATCATCGATTAGACTCACCACATTCGTTCGTTCGTATACGTGACCCGAATCGATCGGTGACGAGATGTTTTTAAATATATCACCAGTATCCGGATTATTTACCTCGTTTGCATCGTACACTTTGAACCACTTGATTTAAGAAAAAAGCTTGTAACACTTTATTCGGACTGCATAGTCTATTATCAAGTACATAATTATCTGATGATTACGAGGCAGTCTGATTGCGTGACGCTTGGAATTATTGAGATTAAGTCTAATATATACGTGACAAGATAGAAGCTCCAAACAAGCCTGTTAAGATTTAATGTTACTCGCAACGATAGAAAATACCGAATAAGTGGTTAACGAAGATAATAAATAACGACGAGGTGCTAATTTTGGCGAACGCCAGATGGTACCATGACCTTGCGATCTTTTGCTTTAAAAAGTTGACATCGATTTTCGAGCTGATCTCTAACCTCGCGAGGATTTATCTCCGCGAGCAGAATTACGTTCTGCGACAACATATTGCGATCAAGCTTATCGCAAAAGCTGTTGCAAAGCTTGTGTTGTTCGGATCGATGCGTCTGGTCGGAAAGAATAATTCTTAAAATCTTTGCGCTGCCCGTTGACCCAGCGTTCTCCATGTTTCTTTCCTTCGTCGTGACCGTAGTACGTCAGTTTTATTTTTAACCGAATAACGCGCGAGAACTTATGACCTTCGCCTGGTTTGGAAGTGAAAGTGCACACCGAGGCTCTTCCGCGAGGTGTACGGAGCCCGACTTCTTTACTTCATTTCCCCCGGTTCGCCGACACCATTCTCGTTCCATTGTACCATTCATCACGGTGCACATTTCATTCGAAAGAAACCGAGAACTTATCAGCAGACATTTATTAATAATTTATACCGTTCACGAATTTAAACGATACATCTTTTACCATTGTTGGTAATCTTCGCGTAGCTCATAAGTAGACTGCGGATGTTTATGCATTTATGGGAAATTTTAATTCTCAAAAAACTACGGGATGTACTTAATATGAAAAAATATAAGAATTACTTAAAGTAGGATGCGAATTATTATATTTAGGGGTTGAGACAACCCTCTACAAGGCTCCCATTTCATTAATTATATTAATAAAAATATGAATTTGCATAAAGATCCGCATTTTTTCCAAAAAGAACATCTGGCAAAATGTCTTCGATATTTTACAATATTTTCACGCACGTCGACCACTGCAATTTAAATCTATCCCATTGAAAAATTGCTCGCTCGCAAGATGGTCGTCGTTCCTGTCCCTCCGTCGTTGCGATTACAAGGACGACTCTTGAGCAGAATGTTTATTCAATAAGAGAACAGGGGGTCGGTTGTCGAGTCGGTGAGCGATAATCTTTCGAGGTACGAGGTCGACCACAGTGGTTCCTTTAACGCGCCGCGGTCAAGGGGATTAGGTAATGGCTGTTACTCACCGCGTCTTTCTTGAATTCGCTGACGACACGTTCCTCGACCACGTCGCGTACGTCCTGCACCAACGTGAAGCTGGACGATTGATCCACCGAGTAGGAAGATCGCTGGACTTCCGTGGTATCCTTGACGTCTCTCACATCCGCGATTTCGCGTTCGACGATCGAGATTTTGGTAGCGTCGTCTTTGGGGACCAGGGAGCCTGGTTTATCATCTTTCGGTGTCTCTTTAACCGGAGAATCTTTTGGTCCTCTTTCTCGATCTGTTGGTTTCTTCCTCTGATCTTGTGGTTTCTCGTAAACGAAGGATCCATCCCACGTGGAAGCGCCTGGCTTGGTCGGTCTCGCCGTCTTGTCCACGGGACTTTTGGGTCGTTTTTCCGGAGATTCAGGGCCTCTTCTGTCGTCGACTTCGTGAACGAGCGTCGTGGTAACGTTGGAGGAATCGAGAACCTCGGAGTCGCTGACAAACGTACGGTTCAGGAGGGTGGAGGTAACGAATTCGGACGACTGGACATCCTTCGAGGTGTCTGATAGTTTGAACGATTTCTCGGTGATGTAAGTAGGCTTCGTTCCCTCTGGAATTCTCGTAGCGTCCGTTGGCACGATCTGAGCCGGGACTTGCTTCTCCGTTGGTAGCTTTTTATCGTCCGATTTGTCCGTGGTTTTTTCGTAAACGAAAGATCCGTCCCACGTCGAGGCACCGGGCTTCGAAGGTCGAACGGTTCTGTCGGACTTTTCGGGACTCTTGGAACGTTTCTCTGGCGTTTGTTCTTTAGCGTGTGTTGTTTCTTTAGTCTTCGTGGAGCTCGTGGAATAATCCAGATTCGTGGCAGCGTGCTTTTCAGGACTCTTGGGTCGCTTCTCTGGCATTTTTTCAGGCTCTAAGGGTTTCTTTTTGGAATCGGGTCCTTCCTTGATCGTGACCTTCTTCGGCGTGGACGACGGTAGGGCGCCCTCGCGGAATATTACAGTCTCCATGGAGCTAGTGGAGTAATCCAGATTCAAGGAATCTGAGTAACTTTCGTGGGTGGTCGACTGCTCCATGACAACGGTGTTGCTGAAGATCTCCGAGCTGCTGGACACTCCTAGATCGGTGTCGCGGATATTCAACGTGGAGTCGCTCACGTGTTTCCTCGATTTCGCCGCGGTGCTCTCGGATTCGACTTTGTCCGTCGATTTCTCGTTGGTCCTCCTCCTGTCGGGCGGTTTTTCCGTGACGAACGTCCCGTCCCAGGTCGACGATCCGGGCTTCACGATCCTGATGTCTCCGCCTTTGGTCGTTTTCTCTGGACTTCCAGGTTTGCTCGAACCATCCTGACGCACAGGATGTATGTCGAACACGACCGTCTCGTGTATGGACGAGAGGCTAGAGTCCTTGACATCCGTGAAACTCTGCTGGCTGGACGAATGCTCGACAACGTAGGATGTGGTGGATATTTCCGTCTCGTTTATCGAGTTGTCCTCCGTGACGTCGCGTATGGTGACGGAGTCGGTGGTACCTCTAGCATCCGGCTTCCGGCGACGTTCTGGGACCTGCGGTTTCTCGTAAACAAAGCTCCCGTCCCAAGCAGATTGTCCCGGTCTGTAGCTTCGCGACGTCGTGTCCGGTTTGATCACCTTTTCCGGGCTCCCGGCTCGACGCTGAGGTCCGCCGCTTCCGGTCTCCTCCTCGAAGATCGTCTCGGAGACGGAAGTCACCTTCTCGACGTTCTTTATCTTCTCGTCGCTGGACGTAGCGTACTGCATGACGTACGAAGTCGACACGGACTCGGACACGTTCGTAGAATTTTGCTCTTCCGTGACGTCCTGGACGTCCACGGAGTCGTGTCGTTTCTCGTTCGTTTTTACCATCGACTTCTTAATATCCTGCGGCTTTTCGTACACGAACTGACCGTTCCACGCGGAATCCCCGGGTCTCGCGAGCCTTCGACTCGACGTGTCCCTCGGGACATCCGCTTTGCCAACCAATTTCCCATCGATGTAAACCTCTTCCGTGACGTCCTTGCGCTCCTCGGATAGAAATCTCGACGTGTCAGTCGCGCCCTGCACCACGTGCACGACGTTCGACGACTTCTTCTCGTACGATCCATCGGAACTCTTCTCGCGGAAGTCCGACCGCTGCGTCGACTCCACGACGTTGTCGTCGCCAAAATGCTGGAAGAGAGAGGCGTCCGATACGTTCCTTCGTCGAGGCTCCTGAGGCCTTTCCGTTACAAAGGTGCCGTCCCACGTGGAATCCCCGGGTTTCGTGTAACGCGGCGAGCCCTTCGAGTGCGCCTCCGTCGTAACCCGTTTCTGTCCGTCAGCGAAATCGATCGTGTCTACGTTTCGATCGAAGCCCTCCAGGCTGCTCGAGTACACCCTGCCGTCGTCTCTGACGATTTTGCTGTCGCGGATCACGGACGACGTGGACGACACCCGCTGATCGACGATCGAGCTGATCTCCTCGGAGACTTCAACGCGCGACTCGTTTTCGCGCTTCGAAACCAGCCGATCTACTTTCGCCTTGTCGCGACAGTCTCGATTTACTCGAGACGTCTCGAGGTTTCTCGCGGCGTTCCTGTCCTTAACCGACGTTGGACTTTCGCTAACAAAGGTGCCGTCCCACGCAGACTGGCCTGGCTTGACCGACCGGGTGACAATTTCACCAACGTTCCCAGTGCTCTCCGTGTCGAGTGAAATCTTTTTGCCGGCCCTCCTGACGTCATCCGTAAGTTCAACGCGATCTAGGTCCGCGGGCACGACCGTGGTCTCGTTGTCGACGCTACGACTCTGCGAGGACGACACGCGTCCATTGTCGTCGACCTTCTCGTCCGTTTCGCGGACCTTGCTCGTGCTCGAAACCGTCTGACCGTCCTTCGTGTTCTCCTCCCGCGTCTCCTTGCTCGCCATTTTGCTCTCGAACGACGTCGACGACGTCTGCACTCGCGGTTTGTGGTCCCCGTTCAATATCCTCTTCGTCGATAGATTGTCGCGATAATCCTCCGTGGAGGAGCACGTTTCCACGATGGTCGTCGAGGAGACGGTCTTCTGGCTGCTTTCGGCGCGAGATTCGCTGCGACTTTGCATCTCCGTCGATCTACTCTCCCCTAAAACGTCCCCTCGAAGCAAGTCCGATCGAATCTCGATTTCTTTCGCGTTTTTCGAGCCGTCCCGTACCGTTTTGGCCTGCTTGACCGATTCCATTTGTTCCCCCGCTATGAAGTCCTGGGAACTCTTTCCGGTTCTGTGAGCAGATACGATCTGCGGGGCTGTTTCGAGGACCTTGATGTTATCCTTGGAGTGCATAATAACCTCGACCACGCTGCTCGTGGACTCGCTCTCCACCACCTGCCTCGCCTCCTCGACGACGCTCGTCGACGACACCACCTCCATCGTCTCTACGGACGTCATGCCCGCGGAACTGAAACTCGTGGCTGGGTCGCGTTCACGTCGTTCATACGAATCCAACACACGCGACCGATACGACAACAACGATTTTACGACAAAATGGAAACTATCGAAACGTTCGCGCGTTCACGTCGAGGTTCCGGTCGAGGCTTCACACCGTAACCGATCGTTGTTTGCAAACTCGTTCCTCCTGGTCCCCGAATACCCGGCTGGCTGCTATTCCTGGCGCGGTGTTCGTCGCGTGCGACGCGTTAATGCGAGAAGCTTGGGTAAAACCGATGCTCTCGGTCCGGTACTGCAAGTCGATGTGGCATCGACGATCGCTCGCTGGCCCTAGTGACCACACGGTGCTGCGTTCCTCTCCGTCACTACCATTGCCACGACGTACGCGAGCCACGGCTCTTTTGCCTGGAGAACGCCGATCCGGTCTCCCTACTTTTCTCTCGCGTGTCGCACGGTGTGGGATGTTACCGCGTACACGCGTCCGTGTGCTCGCACACGATCCCCCTCGGCTCGTTTCTTATTGTGTACACCGCTTCGTGTGGGTTAGCCGCGCCACACGAGACACCACACTTCCACGCTTCCCTTTTCCCGCAAGAATCTCGCGTCGTCCTCGTTCACGATCCTCAACGATCGTTTCCATCCATTGATTCTTACTCGATTAATATAAGCTTCGCCTCGAAACTACGGCGAGATACGGCGATACGCTCGCGTCGAGACGCCGACACTTCCCGGGATCTAGCGTCGTTCGATACACGGGCGCCACGAACCAGGCCGATTTACAGGTCACGAGATTACTCGCTCGGTCGATAATGAGGCAGAGATGAATGAAACGAAGTCTTTTTATTCGGGCATATACAATTTACAGTTCCATACATTTGGCTTTAATATGCATAGATAGTTTTCTTTAAAGCGTTATTTAATGTAATGCAGCTGGTTAATCTTGAAGGCACCGTTCCGTCTCGACGAAAGTTGGCGCGCGGCTAAACTTTTGCTCTGTGCTGTATGCAATACGCGCAACGTCGAAACGGAAACCTTGCCTTTATTTTCCTTCTTCTCCGGCTCCGTAGTTCCCTTTGAGTCTCGATGCTTTCGTTCCTTTTGACGAACGACTTCAAGGGGAAGCTTTCGCCGAACGGGGGCGAGCAGCATCGAGATTTCAATTCCTCCTTCCATCCTCGTCCTTTTTCGTTGCCCGTTTAACCATGACACGATGTTTTTCGTCTTCTGTACGAGAAAGATCGGGTTGGCGAGGACGAACGCATCGTCGGGGGGGGAACATTGAAGGGGGACACCTTCGCGGAACCGGTCCCTGGTGATGTCTCGATGTAAACCGGGCGATGACGTAGACCGCGGAGGCTGCTACGACCGGCGCCGTCCCTCTCGGGGTGTCGGACCGAGCAGCGTGCACCAATGGTCATTATTTTCACGTGCACGGTTGTGGATATAGTGGCTGATTGCATCGCCAGCCAGTTGCCGCTAACGAGCCACCAAGACACGAACGAATTATCGTTGTGTTGTCTCGTGTCGTAATACTACTCAAACATTATACACACGGTTTTTCAATAACAACGATATATAATACGAGAAGGCTCGTCAATCTTTCCATATTCGTACCGAGAATCCTACGACTGTTTCGCTGAGATAAATTCTACACAATATTTGCATACGTCTTTGTCCTAGCGCCTAAACGAATTCCGGTTATTTCCTCTTGCGTATTTCTGCCCGTAAAACGATTCGACCGTGATTCAACGACCACGTCATCATAACAACCGGTGAATTTATCGAGTGGAGTCGTTCTCTCTGAACAAGCTTCCGGCAATCCCGAAATCTTGCAAATAGGATCTAGACGCAGCAGCCCACCCGTTAACTCCCCCACTAATTTCAATCCCGACCTCTGTAGAAACGATCTTGAACGTCGTTGCATAACGTCGTTGCGCAACAATGATTTCTGGTTGTCGCTATCATCGTCGACGAGCTTTCGCCCAGCGCGATATCATTCCCAGATTCGTTCGTTACTCGAAATCACGCGAGTAAGAATTCGCACGTCCCTGACGAGCGAGAAAAATGAGTCGATGATGCAACAGGAAATGCGACGTGTGACACGCGGAATGTTCGCGGAATCGGTACCCGTTCGAGCGTAATATCGCGTCGCTCGAAGACGCTGGATCTATCGATCTCGCAAGATCACTGAATTATCGACGCATGAATCGCCGCGTGGGCGGCGGCACGATACGTATAAACTACGTTCTTCCTTGAAGGCGATGCAAAATTTAAAAAAACAGTACATTTTGGCTTGTTCTCCAGAGAATCGATTTTGAGAAGTCGGTAGAATACAAGTCGGTCTTTAGCATAGGTAGAAACGGTGATTAATGGACAGAGAAAATCGTCGTTAATCGCACGCGTGACCGACAAATTTTCGAATCAAATTATCTTGAGAACCGAGTATGGAAGGATTGCTTCATCGTCGATTCTCGATCGACTGGGGGCAGCCAAAAAATCGGGGACACTTAAAGCGAGTACGATCGATCCCGATTGCCAGCGATCGATCGATTTCGGTTATGGAGCGAAAGTACCACGCCCGTCTACGCGCGTTTCCCGTAAAAAGTATCGCCGGGTCATGGCGTGGGCAGGAAGCCTGCAGGCGCTGGTACGCGAAACCGACTTCGATGCTCCGTATTTGGTGAATGCGTCGAAGTCTGTAGGCGAACCGGCAAACCGGTCGACCGCGTCATCCAGGGACCAACAGCCACTACAACCAGACAACCAGACACTATCCTCGTGCGGAAACTGACGAAATAAACGTATGTAATGCCTGATGCACGCTGAGAAATATCAGGTCTCGATCGTTCCGTGACGTTGATATTTACATTTAGTTCTAACTAAATGACAGGTGCGTAGTACAAGTTATCGCGATGAAATGGAACGTCTGGCAAGAACGAAAGGCCTCTCTTTCCGATTTCTCAGCGCACACGATCCGTTCGCGTTCGCGTTCCCGGCGAGGAAGGCCTCGATCGAATTCCAGCGCGCCGCGACGCCTTAATCAGGCTCGATCTCGGAACGCTGGTAACGTTACGTGCGACGGATCGAAATCGATCGTTTTCTCACGGGCGTCCGTTCGATCTTTATGGTTAACAGGGTTAAGTATATTTGAAGAAAAAGTTCTGCTCGCCTCGCGTAAATCAGGCTATCCTTTTCCGCGCTCCGCTCTCCCCCGAGGGAGAATCGAAAGCTTGGCCACTTGTAAGTCGGCCCCGACTCCCTTTATAATGGATCGAGCCATAATGAAGCACGGTACGGCGCGTTCTGTTATTAATTAACGTTAAAAGGGAAACTTTTGTAATTCCGCTTTAAAGACGAACCCCGGGTGTGCTCTGACCTCCGCGCAGACGCGACTTGTCTTTATCGGTGCTCGACAGTCTCGACGTATCAGGATTTCGAAAAATTGCATCCCTAATTTGATACTTTCGAACGAAGGATAGCTATTTATTAAAAATTCTTAACGTCGATGGAGATACATTTCACGTTTCTAACCCGAACTCGCGGAATAAATAACGCAAACGCCCGAACGTTCTGCTTCTAATGCGCTCGGAACGTTTCCTCATCAGCGTCGCACAAAGCGAGGCGAACGCAGGGCCACGCATGGCTGCCATCGAATAGCAGAGAATACGTCGTTCCCGTGGAATCGTCAAAGGCTAGATCCGCGTATTGTTAGTCGCGTGCAAACAGTAATCGCTCCACGTGTGTAGATGAACGATACATCCACCTTTTTGCGCTCGATTGCCCATAACAGGCACGTAATAATTTTTTCCACGCCGCATAGTTTTGCTGTTGATTAAATCGCGGCTCGTCGAAGATCAATTTTATGGAACGGTTTATCGGGGGACCGTATGAAAAGCCTGTTTGAGCGGTTTAAATGGCGTTTTCCATGGATATTGAAAGATTTGATGGCGGTCGGAAGCCTCGCGACGAAGATGGCGTCAAAACATTGACCGCGTTTAATGCACGCGGTTGTGAATAAGGATGCGCGAAACGGGGACGTCCGTGAGCCGCATTGATTTACGTTAAAGGAAGCCGATGGACCGACACCCGGCGTCCGCGACGCGAAAACGCGAAGAAAAAGCGTCGCGTCTCGTTCCGTTTCGAGGCAAACGGTCCATAAGCGGACATACGAATTTAACGCCGGTCCCAGCGGGACGGGAAGGGGTTGAATCGCGATTGCATTTGCAGTCTGTGATGTCATGGACCGTTTTGGAGACCGGGCAATCCTTAATACAGTGATAAATATTCGTGCGCGTTTTGCAAAGCCCATCGAGATACAAGACGCTGGGCAGGAGGAGGGGATCGCGTTTCTCCGTAACGGCCATGACACTAAATTACACACCGACTTGTACAGCGGTTGTCAATCCGCGTTTACGACACGGTCGCTCCATATACGCGCGTCGCGACGCGATTAATCATCTCTACCGTGGACCGTGCGTTTCAGAAACCGGAATACCCAGACCCCGATTCGACCCAATTCTGCTCGTACTCGTCAAACAAAATTAAAATTCTTTCAAATGCAAAATGGATTTGCAGCTCTGCTCCTCTTTTTCGATGCCTCGAGAATCGATCGAGAAAGGTTGGCGAAGTTTTCGCGGAAACGTCGACCATTCGACAACTAATGCGTTCCGTGACGAAAACAGTAGACACGACGAATAATTGATCGAACGTATGCACGATATCGATCAGTACGGTGCCTCGAGCATCGCTGAAACGCCCGATCGTCCTGTCACAAAAGGTGGCGGTCACCTGCGACGCCGCGGTATCAACGGAAATGTAATTACGATCTTGATATTAACTCCGACGTGAATTGAATCGCGGGGCCGTTGAAATCGCGGTGACAGCCGATACAGAGAAATGCGATTTCGGACGGTGACTCGCGCGTAAGGTGGAACAACGCGACAGGAGACGGGAAATTCTCACAACTTGTCAGAACGATTGATGACTATTGGAAAACGGAGATATCGGCGCGAATTATTATTATTATTTTTTTATTAACGGGGAGAGAACCCTTTGGGAGAAAGTAGGGTAAAATCGGAAAGCGGGTTAAAACCAGATACCATTGTTCTTCTAATTGCAAGACGAGAGCTGCAATTAGCGGCCCACGCGTCGTGTTCGACTTGGACCGATGACGCGACTGTACGAGCTTAGTCACGAAACGGATTTATTTATTATCGTGGTAGAATTCTTTAGAAATGATTTAAAAGACGCTAAAAATATATTCATATAATCTATGCATTTCGTTGACCAGTTACCATTATTTAAGATTCGATTAAGTCTTCTATCCATTACGTTTCGGTGCCAATAATCCGTCTATTAGGATATCGGACGTTTAGAGATAATTTTCGTCTGGTGACAGTTGGCCCAAGTGGCCATGTATTTCAGGTATCGATATCCCTAATCGAGAAGCGTGTGCGATAGATTGGAGCTGGCCGCAGCGGCACGCACGAAAGGATCCCTCACCTCAGAAACGCAAGCTATGAGGTCAATACGCCTGCCGCCTCTGTACGGCTACCTACCTCGGGCATACTGACGGATAATGATATTGACTGGTCGCTAATATTAGCATTTTTCGGAAAGACATTCCATCGGCCTGCTGGCCTACATATCGTCCGCGTGCCGACACACGCGAGGCCTATCTTGTTTGCGCTAAATTTCATCGGCGCCGGTGAAACAACTCGGGCATACCTATACATACCGATGCATGTCTTTGCCACTGCAGATGCGGTTACCACAGAGAGTATCGACGAAACAACGGGAGTTGCATCTACGTGTTGCTGGGAAAAAACGAGGCGATCCGCGATCTATTCAGGCTAGTACGTTTCCTTGCGCGATAACATAAGCAAAACCATATAAAAAGAGAATTCTCTGCGTCGCGTGTACGCTAGATTTCAAAGAAGATTCTTAGTCCTCTGTTCGATCTATTTTGTATAATGAATTGTAGATCTGGATCTTTTGACTTTCGTCAGGCTACAATAATGGGGAAAAATCTCTTGATTAAACGTAACAAGTTTTGGGAAAACTTGGCTTGGTTTTATATTTAAAGCCAAAGTGATGATAAGCAGGACTAAATACGATAAAAATCGATAAGGGGGTTATTATGTGAATGTACAACCCTCGACGTTCAAGGTATCGTGCGATTCGATTCGGCAGAGTACATACAGTCCGCTCGTTATTGTTCTATTGCGTGGAATTACGGACTCTGTGACGCGATGCTAGTATTCAGGCATCGACGGTTTCTTTTATCAGAATTATTAATTGCTGTAATTACGGGTGGATCGATTCATCGCTGAACGTCGGGGCATTCAAAAGGCGGTTACGCTTCTGAGAAAATTGCATCGCACGGATAGCCCCTGAAAGGCGGCAAACGTTATTGCATCCCTGTCAGGCACACTGCACTGTCAGCGGCGTTACGAAAATCGCGTTTCCTCCGGGGGAAATTTTTGATACAGTTTCTCGTTTAAAAATATAATTACCGTTAATAAGACGGTCAACCACAATTTTCTTTTACCGCTGTCAAAATTTTTTTTATTGTTATTCGACAGTCTCCGGTGTTTGAAGATCAAGTGTCGATCGCAATCTTGAAGCGAGATTAGTTTAAATCTAATAACGAAAGTAGGGAGGAGAGATCATTGATTCTTTATTACCGATTTAAATGGCCAAACTCGTGAACACGATTACGAACATTGAACAAATTTAAACGACACTTACCTCTACTTATGCCGTTCTACCGACGTTTGTACATAACATATCGATCACCGTCTTCGTTGAAGATGACAGCGGGTCTTCGATCATTGCCAGATTACGATATCGCAACACTGATCGTCGCGAATGACCCGGTGATACGATCTGTTTATTCGCGATTAAATTCGGTCTAATCGTTCGATGCATATTCGGTAACGGCGAGACGCCGTTGCACCGACGGCGGTTCGCACCTCACAGATACATCGCGACGTCTGACGTTCCCGCGCCCATTGGCGTCGAAACGGCGTCACCATGACGACCGCACACAACACTCAATGCGCATGCGCGGTCCGCTTGCATTGCACACCTTTTACGCGCCAATATATATAGCAGCCCACAAAAGTGATCGTACGCGAGAATAAAATTCGTTCAACTTAATTTTATCGGCTAAAGTTTTCTTCTTTTGGTAACTGAGACATATCTGGTAGATGATACAGCCACCGAGCCACAAGAGTCTTCGTGCAGTTAACGATAATACAAATTTCAGGTCTGTTAACATTTGGCGGGATAACCCTTTCCCTGAGTTACAGCTTCGTAATCGTCGCTGCATCGATTGCACCGAGTTTGAAATACTTTCGTTGCTCTCGCATTTAGATTTCAAACTAGCTTTTAATTATTCTCGGTTTGAAACCAGCTTTTTTCCAATTTTTTGGTTCGGGTTCGTCCCACGGATGCTCGATTGGATTTAGTTGCTATTGTATGGGGAATATTTTATTAGGTTGTGTAATAAGTTAGTTCGTGTAACAACAAAATTGTTGTAAAAATGTTATACAATACATTTTAGACACAAGATTTACCTATGCTCTTGGATCCTTCACACCAGAAAATAAATCACATTTACTCAAATTCATTCTGGGTCAAAAACTTTGAGATTTGGATAATATTGTTAAATTGTACATTGAAGAAGAAAGTAGACATTGGGGTTCTTAATTATTTTGGTTAACAGCAGAACATAATTGATAAAACATACTTCTTTTTATCTTGCTAGGCCTGTTTCATACACAGATTCATTCTTTGTACCTTAATATCTCCTAGCTTCCTTAAAAACATTGCAAGAGTAGCTCAAAAACCATACAGAATGTATGAAATCAAATCTAAGTTCTTCTCTGGCAAAAAGAGAAGTATTTTGAATTTCCAACTTTATACTATCAGTTGAAACAGTTTTGTCAAAGGTCAAAATTACTTTTATGATAAATTATCTTAGGAAGCATTAGTATTAGTTATCTGCAGCTTACAAGTGTATCTAAATCACAAAACAGGGTTAAGTAAGCATGTAACATGATTTAAATTGTATAAGAGGTTTGGGAACATAATTAATATTTAAATTGTTACAAATATATTCATTTATTCTTCTGTAGAAATACAAAATACAGAAATGTATAAAATTATTTCTCAAAATACATGATCTCTGGTATAAATAAAGGAATGGCTGTAGAATGATTTTGTGACATTAAGTTCTGACTGTTTTGTTCATACATGTTCTAAGATACAGATATTCAAATATACTCTGTGTTACATGATAACAGAAAACAAAATTACATATTAAAAAACAAATGTATCAAATAATATTCGAATCAAAAGTAATATGTTAAGGTACTGATTGCTTGATAAATTGTAATGCCAAGTCCTACAAAGAAGGCCAGTGCTCTGTAAGGTTGTTTCGGTACAACAGCATATACCAATGTGTGAACAAATCGAGCAATGACAAAAGTCTTGATCAAAATCCCAGCCAACCATGTAGAAGGTTGTGTAGTTAACCACAGAAGAGTAACTATGTACCAAATGGGAATGTTTTCTAAGTCATTTAGATGTGCTCTGCGTACACGTTCAACATCAGGATCACTGTAAGAAACCTTTGACCCTTTTAAATTTGCAGCATCTTCGGGATTTGAAAATATCTGTAACAATATAAGAATTATAATATTTTTTAATCGCACCTAAAACATAAATGAAAATTATTTCTTACAAGTAAAAAATACCTTTTTTGAAAATCTCTGACGTACAGTCAATGCTACTATTCCTACTAATTTTAGAGCAAGTATGCTGCCCCAAAAAGCAAAAACTTTAAACGATTCCGGATTTATGGTTACCATATTGAAATATTCGTCTCCTTAAGCAAATCGAATCTTACGCACTATGCGAACGTTCAAAGCGAGGTGGGATCATGCCACTCGTACTTTATATACGTGCGATAGTAGATAAGGGGGAAGAGGGGAAATAATTACAGAGACGTAAAAAAACTTGTGGAAACTGAATGTCATCCTACGTTGATACTTTTGATACCACGGATTCAAAAATCTTCTAGATTAATATCAACGTGAAATGTTTAAAGACAATTTTTTCGTATATTTCTTTTATTTTAATGTCTATAATTCATTTTATTGTACGATTTATACAATATATTTTGTATTTCTTGATTAAATTTGCTACATGGATACAACTCATGTTACGTGTATGTTTAAATGAAATATATATGTGTAGATTGTAAAGATTTTCGTACAAATTTATTAATTATTAACATTTAATAAGTCTATGTTTACATATTTTTGTCCAATAAGATCCAATAAGATCGTGTTACGCCACGGCTTATGCTGATAGGCTGTTGCCGTTGGAACGGATGCAACGATCAACCAATCAACGAAAAGCATAAACGTCGCTGCGTTGTGTATCACGTGATTGGGAGCCTTATTTTCCAATCAGGAAACAGGAAGTCTAGAAATGTGTCGGGCTAAATAGCGAATCGCCCCAATTTTTAACCGTTATTCTGGATGGTTGAAAGGAAATCCACCGTAACGATTGGAGGACGGCGATTGGTCTGTTCTGGGCTTATTTTCGCTCGAAAATTGTCAGCGTTGTGGAGAAAATAGGGGAAAGTCGTGTTGCGCATGCGTCGAGGGTAACGCTGACGCAGCAGGTACGTCAGCTGTTTTGTTAGAGTTGCGTGCATCGGGAATGGTGTATTGTTGACTGCAGAGGCACTTCGCGGTTCGCAGGTCCGATCGAATTTCTTTGTTTATTTGGTGTAGAGAATCGTACTATATAATCATAGATAACTTCCTGTCGCGTGTGAAAGATCACGACACGTAGAGACACGGCCAAGGAAATCGCGGTGGAGGCCTCGAATTACCTGGTGGAAAGCCGTTGGAAATTGATTCTCTCAGGAAGGAGCAGTGTTCGCAAAGGCGTCCGTCCGACTGTGGTGCTCTGTGCTACCACTTCAGGAGGTTTAGGACGTTCTGCTTTCTGGAACGGGCTGCGATACTAATTCCAGAAGGGAAATATGGCACAACCGACAAGCAGCGCTCTCAGGGCACTTGCCCTCGAATATAAAAGTCTTCAAGAGGAACCCGTCGAAGGATTCCGCGTGAAACTCGTTAACGAGGACAACATGTTTGAGTGGGAAGTTGCTATCTTTGGGCCTCCAGATACGCTTTACCAAGGAGGATACTTCAAGGTAAGTTAATACAATTGAACGTAATTTTTGTTCGTTCCGGCTAGCCTGACGTATAAAGAATTCATACATAACGAGTATTTATTATTTTTTTCGTCGCGTGCGGGCATTGCGATAGAATGTGCTTTTCATTTTGTTGGTTATGTTTCCGATTTCTCTTTCGACGGTGTTAATTTTAACGCTCACGCGTTTGTTTGTTGTATAAACAACGGTCGTTGCTTCTATCGACAGAATATCGTAAAATATAATTGTAACAAGTTCAATTAAATTCGATAAAACAATTATTTTACGTGCATATATTTGAAATACACAAATCACTATAGTATTTGTTTTTCGTTGCCATCGAGTTGAAATTTTTCTTAATTTTTTCTTTTGCTCACGATAATTCAGATTTCTAAAAACTCAATGGGTTAAATGTCCCACACCTTCGCGTTCTCGTACTTAAAAGCAATATGTTCGCGATTTTGTGTGTTTTTCCTAACCGTGGCGAAAGTACACTTTTCAGAAAAGTTGAGCGTTTAACGTTTCCGCATAAAGGTCGCGCGATACGCGAAGCATTTACGTTCACCTTGACCAGAAAAATAGCAGCTCTCAAATTGGCTTTTCCTTTTTTCGTTGTCAACAATAATAGATAATACACCGTTTATTGCCGTCAATTTGCTCGTCGCTCAATTGCGTTCCAACGAACTTTTAGACGATACTAACCAACCGACTTCTAAGCAGCATTGAGCAATCCTGGAAACTAAAGATTACACAATGCAGGCGGATCGGTTGACCTGCATTCTACGGTGATTTTAAACCTTCGATGCAATACTGAATTTCCTTTCGATTCGTTTCGTGCCGTTTACCAACGAAAATGTTTCAAGAACGAATTCGTCCACGTTGATTCGTATAATCGGTAATTGTCACGAAAGGAAACTCTTATTCGCGATGGTATATTTTCTGTCTTTCGCGTTATTTGTTCGTTGGAACGGATATTTGCGACATCGTTATGTGTTCGGCCTAGTCCGCGAGTAGAAAATGAATTCTGCCGTTGCTGCGTGGTAATACGCTTTTTGTGCACCTCGGTCCGCTTTCTAAACCACTCTCCGCTTCGTTATGAATTTACGAACGCTTATTCACGTAACGCGACGTACCCTGTCTTCCCACGGTGAACCTCCATGCAACGAACACGACCGACAACACCGTTATTTGCGAATCGTATCGTTATCGTTCCCCTTGTACGTGATCCACGTCTACGTGGGTGTTTCGAATCCTGCTCGACCGGACTCTGAATCGCCTCGTAATCCCGACTATAAACTGATCGTGAACAGTATCGTCGCGGTAACTTGCAATGTTATTTGTTACCAAGACTTACCACGATTACGCGGTGCAAGTCAATCAGCATCGTTTGTCACGCGGTTGAAGATCTTTTTCTTAAGAATTCTTGTTAGGCCATTATTCAGCCTACGCAATTCTTTAGATATTTGCAGTTCTATCCGGATATAAGTTCACAAATCTTTTTATAATTAACACAATAAAATGCAATACAATTCCGTACATTTATAGATCGAATCGGGCAAACTGCACGAGATTAATTTGTCGGCCATATTGGTTTACACATAACTCCAGTATACATCCTCTTCCTAATAAAAATACTATATCCTTCCTTGAATAAATTCTTGAGAAAGTCTTTTCTAATCCCGATGAATCGTATTTAATTAACGTGCTTCCTCGCCGACGATAGGTTTAAATACCGAGCTGAATTTTAATTCCTGCCGTTTCTAATTACGCTCGTACGCCAATTATCAATGGTCTCGATCGTAAAGGATACCGCGGGCCCGCCATGACGGAAACGATAACTCACTTTGTCGCGGTAAAGAAACTCCGGTCTTATCATCGTCCCGTTGCTTCGCGTTTCGTGGCCAAGTTATCATAAACAGTCGTTACTTTCTCAGGATTTACGAGTGACCCGGCATAGGCGAAGCGTAATACGTCGGTCTTGTTACATAAAACGCCATCGAGTATTGTCTCGGGATCTATCTTTGGCCGGCATCCCTCGAATCACCCGAACGACTTTCACCCAATCCCGTTGCACTTCGGGATAACCGACAAGGATTTCTTTCCACGGGGGGGGGGGGTTCTCGTTGCTGGTAAAGGGATCGCCGACAAACAGGTCTTCGCCGCGGCGCTGGTCGCGTAATTCTCTGCATCTACATCGAGACACGACCGCCCCCTCCCCCCCTCCTCGGGATTTTGGCCCATTTAATCCTTTCACCTCGCGGCGAGATGGGCATCGTCGCGAGAGCAACTCGATCGTGCGCCTTTTCCACGAAACTGTTGCTGCTCGAATCGATACGCCATAGATCGCAGAGAAATCTCGCGGATCAGGTAAGAAACCACGTTGCAGAAGTTTCGTTGGCTAGGACCGCGGAATTCGGTGCCGGTTCCGAGAAACGTGCACCGCTCTCGCGAAAAAGAATTAAGTTATTTCGAGCGCCACGGAGTACGGACAGATACGGACCTACTTCCCTTTTGCGCAACCTTTGCATGATTCACGGATGAATAATGCAGAATTTTCTTACGAAACTGTAGTCTGGTGGCCCTCGGGATGTCGCGAGGATTGGTTTCGTTTCGCGGTCCTTATTGTTATCGCGTGTTTTCCTCTTTTCATTTCGGACGAATCTTCCCACGCCTTCGATCTCTGTTTCTTTTTCTCACGAAACGAGGTCCCCGACCATCCAGGGATTTTGATACGCGAGACTCGATGTTTCCATTTCTCTTCGTCCGTTGTGACCGTGGCATGAAACGTAATGGTTGGTTAGCATAGTCGATTCGCGCCGTATCATTATCGCGTCGTAACGCGTTCGTAGAATGTGTCTTGGCCGCACCGAAAGGAAAGCACGAGCCTCGTAATCGAAGAAATTAATGGGCTGCTAGAAGTTGATGAATTCTGAATGCGGAAGCTACGTTAAATGTTCCTGTCTTTACGTAGCGTACGCTGTTTCGCGTAGGTACCAAATTATAAGTATAGATAAGTGTTTTGAACCCTGCTATGCCCAGTTGAATTATTAAAACACGTGGTCTTTACACGCTTTTACCGCTGGTTTTGTCAATACGAAATTTTGGAATGTGTCGTAATATCTGGATCACGACCTTTGTTTGAAATATTGTAACATCGAAACGTAATTGACAATCCGGGGGGTATATCTGTTCGCGAACATTTACGTAAACGAATTGGCACTTATAGCTGGAAATATCGAAGCGCGGTTCTTCCTGATCCCCGAACGCGTCCGTGAACTAACAAAAATCATATTTTTTTTACCTGCCGTTACGGTATTGTCAAGGTAACAGTTCCCTATCGCGCGTCGAGAACGTTGCATTATTGAACAGAATCGAATGCACGCGGTCGTTCGTTCAGCCTTACGTGTCAGAGATACGTTGCGATATTATTTTTAACGTCGACGACGAGTACATTCTCCAATATTCATCGTTTACTCGAATTCGTGCGAATCCTGACCGTCTCGTTCCGATCGGGATCGGTTTCCCGGGCATTTCCACGACGGAACGTACAGTTTATTTGCATATTGTCTGTGTCGTTACGAGAAACGTAGAAAATTCCTGGCAACTGCATAAATGATCGATCTTGCTAGCTGTTCCGAGAATACCTGTCGCCGATGTCATGCGAGATTACTGACTGATAAAGTCTGATCGATTTCGCCGTGTCATATTAAAAAGCTCGGCAATACTGTTCTTCGAAACGATGAAACACGAACGGTGGGTTAAGTTGCAAGGCACCTGACATTTTCTAGCGCAATTTTTGTCCGTGAAGGTATTACCCGCGTAACTGAAACGAAGCCGAGGCGGATCGTTTCAGTTATCCGGGTTTATTTGCACCGCACCTGGTTCGCGTATCTAGCCACTTATTTGGTCTAAGCACTCGTTTCCTTCTGACAAATCGACTCTCGCGCGGAGCGATAAAGTTTCGCCAAGAAATGCAAACGAGCTGCCAAGGCTCTCCGTACAGGACGATTCTCGAAACTAGGCCAAGCTACAGCTCTTTTTTTAGCGAAGATACAAAAAGTGCAACGGTGCAAGTGCTGTACGCAAGGAGCAACCCCCCCACGTGACCTTTCACGCTCTTTTATATCAGTCTGATTAAAATAGGGACGCTAGATAAATGCGAACATTAGAAAAATATTTCCTGCACGCCAACCAGTATCTTATATTTTGAGGTTGACGACTGAATTGTCGTTTGAACATAAACATACGATTCGTTTCGGAAGAATGTCGCGTCAAAGGGAAATCTAACGTCCCTGTAATTAATTGCAAACGCGACTAACCGAGAATAATTTCCACGTGGAAACGTAAACATAATCTCGATGGAAAGTAAGTTAATTTCTGGGACGCATTATCCCAGAGGACGTGGCGGATATTTGGGCCATGACCAGGTCGCGATCAATATAGCGTCCCGTCGGCGGAGCATCGACGAAAGTCTGCCAGCAACGTCGGGACGACCCTTACGTACACCCCGTGGAATGAATTCATTCCGTACCAACACAAACGCGCCAGATGAGGAGGAGGCTTCCCTTTCTGAGCACACTCCAACGCTCAGGCAGCCTGATGCGCCGATGCATTCGTTATACCGGTGCATGCTTTAATTTAACAAACTTCCAAATCCGACGGTTAAATTATCGCGTGCTGGACAGCGTTTTTCTTTCCATGGTTCACCCCAATACAACCTAACAAATCGAGGGAACGGATATAACGATAGAAAACGACGCAGACTACGTCGAATAGCAATGATCGCGTACACAGATTCGTACAGTGGGATTTACGTCGTGTTTGGACTCGTTTCAATCGGAACAATCTCAACAATCCACTGGTACTATTTTCATAAATGTAAGATCAAAATTACGGAAGATATTTTCATTGTCGCGTGAGATTTCTTCGTCTCGCAGCATCCCTCTCAAGTACCAGAGTCGAGATCAGGTTTTTAAATTTAACCGTATAAAATTTGTTAATTTGTATTCCGTCGATCATCGATATTAAACGCCAATTCCCTTCCCTTTACGGGATGTAATTAAAAAGTCTATTGATTCATTGTCCCGAATTACTAGATGTGTTATTTACCCGTCCTACCAAATATTAAAAGGCCCCCCCTCAGTGAATGTGTTAATACCCCTAGGTACGAATGGTCAAATGAGTTTTTCGATACAGAGGGTTGCAACATCCCCTTCGCGAGGCCTCCACGTACTACGTAGTGCTCAAAGAGTATAAAATCGCGTAGATAACGGGTCAAAATGTGAGCAGGTTTACGCGAAAAACACAACGAACGGTTGTACGAAGCTATTTTTTATAAATACTATGCAACGTGTCTAGTACACGTGAAGTTGATCCTATCGACTCATAGTTCCACAACGCAATATCATAATTTCTGGTCTTGTTTATTCGAGATAAAGAATTTTAAACAGGTCACCCGTATAGCTCGTTTATTTTTAAATATCGAAAAGACTGTTTAAGGCGACAGCTGTTGTTTTTTTAGTTCTGGTTGGAAGCACCAGGGTTATTGGAACGCTATTATCGTAAAACGAATATTATATACTTCGACTCATTTCCTCTATTCGTTTAATTGTACCGAAACAAGCTAAACAACATAACAGACTCTCTCATCAGATCTTTCAATCCAGTGTCAAATTATCTACTCTTCCTACATGTGTACTTCCAATATATGAAATCGATGTTTCGATGTCCAAAGAAATTTACATCCTCGCTATAGCACGAAGGCTACTATACTGCTATTAGCGGTCCACTCTGTACGCAATGCAGGATTGTGTAGACCACTCGTTCGGGTTGTTCGCCGCGTTTTCCAGGTAAATTCGCCCTTCGACCGCGTTTCCTGATATCCGTCAATTTTTCTGGACACGGGCGGCTAGTAATAGGCAAACGACTTGCAAATAATTTCCCGGTACGAGCGTTATCGTCTGCCTTCGATAATTCGCAACAAACCGGCGCTCGATTATCGATCCCATCCGTCGAGCAGCGTCGTTTTTTTTTCTAACGCAGCGATGTTTCTTTTCCAGGCACACATGAAGTTCCCGCCCGATTATCCGTACAGTCCACCGAGCATTCGGTTTAAGACGAAAGTTTGGCATCCGAACGTGTACGAGGTGAGTAAACGCGGGAATTATCGATTCTCCCCTTCATCCCCTTTTTACGCGTCTGTGTTTCGCGTACTCTTTCCCCGCCCCCCTTCGTCCCTTTTCAATCTCTCTCCTGGAACTCTCATCGCATCCCCTCCGCCCTCTTCACTCTCTCTTTCCTTCGTATCCTCCCTTTCGCTTTCTCCGATTCTCCGCGATTTGTCCCTCGCCCTTCGCTCGTAGCATTTCGTCTCGTCGCTCTTTGGGACTCGCGAAACCCGCAGCCTTGCAGTCGTTGTTTCGAGTACACGTGAATCGGGGAACATTCAGCAAATCGTAATTTTGATAATTGACGGTTTCAACGCTGCGGAGAACTCTACTCGGGACGCGATATTAACGTTCGCTTTCCACGATCCTTTAATCGCGTGTTCAAACGATTCTTATTTATTTCGATGCTTACGACGTGACTAAAGTTCTCGCCACTCGACAAAGTCTCCCGTTGCAATTTTCTGAGTTTTATTGGAATAAAGTAACTGGTTTCCGAAGCTTATCGACCATCGACGAGCGCATCTCTCGCGCGCGCTCTTCGTGTGACCCTTCAGCGGCTACCAAAGAGTCAATGACCGTCCAAAGCTCGTCGGACATCCGTGTCCAGTCACTTGTTGTTGGAAGGGATGAGACTAGACGAACGCGGTACGGTTAACGGTAATAACGCGCGTAAATTTTATGCGTCGAGCAGCGTCGCATTAATTACACGCGCCCAACCAGACCATCGAACAGGATCATTGAAAAGAATCGTCGCGTTATCGGATATCTGGACATGTAAATATTTAGTTATTTATTTGGTAAATAAACGGGTTGCCCCTTCTCCAAACATCGTACACTATAGCGAGTATAGTGGACACGGTTTCGCGATATCGAGTTTAATTTCAATTCGATCAATATCGAAACCAAGACGCTCTTTGCCGTCGTGCCAATTTTTTCCCCATCGATGAAAGTTCTGCCCCGTTATATCGTGCAAATATGATAGGCTGTTGTACGCGTGTATGATATTTACCGTGGCGATACATACTTTTCACGCGTCGCGTCTTCTCGCGTTTGCACAGAGACCAATGTGTGTACTCGTTGGAAGTAATATAACGAGGTCGTAAAAAACGCCAAGGAGTCAAGACGGTAATGCCCTTTACCGTGGAATGTCGACGATTCAGGGACGAGGTAGAATCGACGCTCGATTTTCGCCATACTTTTTCTATCAATTCGTGAGTGTTAACTTTCGCGCAGAAACTTGCAGCGGTGGTCGATTTTTGAGCGAGGCAAGGTGGTAGTTGACATAAATTATTAGTAGACTTCGTAAATAGAGTCGTGCCTGTGTAATTGTACCGGAACAGCTGCAACTGTGTCAAGACAAACAAATTGTTATATCTATAGCGTATACGCGGCGAACCAAGGATACTGTATCATTAAAAATACATAATAAGACTATCACTTTATTAACGAATTAGCATTTGAGTTATGGTAACTGGGTTTTCCCTTGGTCGTACCTGCCTCGTTCGCTACCTGACCGCCCGTTATGGCTACAAAGAGTTTGTCGAGGGTCCAGGTTTCCCCGTCCATGGTTGATAATTATACCTGGCTTAAATTACTTTCCTACGACGATGCTCTACGCTTCATTCTTTTCTTATTCGGTCCCATAGAATACACGGAGAAAGTTTGACCATTGAAACCTAGGTCACGATACTTTACAGTATGCAACGTGGTCCTAAACTAGTTTCTAAGAACGCGTTTCAAACACCTCGCTAGATTCGTTCGAGCAAGTATACCTTCGCGCCTCCTCTCTTTTTTCCTTTTCTCGGTAAGATTAATGCACCACGAGCGCATGGCATTGAACAAGAATACATGTAATTCGTTTAACGAGTATGTACCGGGGCAGTTCGCTGAACACGCAGAGTTCCCTGTCGCCCGGATGAACCCTGGATAAACCTGCGCCGCGTACAATTATCGGTCAATCGAGGCGTCCATCTCGTTGAGCGATTCCTTTTTCAGTCGCGTTCGTCTGGGTCAGCTGGCGATTTATTTTCCCCAAAGGTTGTATCTCGTCCGCAGAAATTCGCTGGGAAGAATTACGTGCCCGTCGCCGCACGTAGGATGCGTCACGTAATTTGAGCGTAAACCGCTGGAATCCGTGTAACGTGGCCACGTTCAATGACGACCGAACGACTTTCCAACGAGGTCCCTTTGTCCGCGATCGTCTCGCCACGTGAGTCACGTGCACCAGAGATTTCTTGCTCCACGGGGGATCTTACCGACTCGCTATAAACACGAGACACTGCCAGACAATAATAATTCTACGCTGAAAATTTTCTCTCTTCGGTACGCGGTGGTATTGTTCCCTCGGAACTGTTTGCCCAACAAGTTACAGGTACCCGTCGTTAGAATCTAGATAACCCCTTCGCTACGGGATCCATACGTCGCATAGATTTTGCCCATCGGCTAGAGACAGACATGGAAACGTGGTTCTGTTCAATTCATTCCTATATTACGAATAAAACACGACCTTCTGATATTTCTAAATGTTCACTGTTTTTAAAGCCTTTTACATTTTGTTGGAAAATCGTAGGACGTGCGGTGAAGAGGAAGAGGTCGTCGCCTCAAGATGCGACGAACCGTGAAACGTTTGTGACCGAGAGTACCTACACGCGCGTACACTCGGTTCAAAAATATCGTCCCGTGGTCGGTTTCGACGCACGAAACGCGTTCCGTGAGAAAGGGCGATCCTCCTGGTGGCCTGGCGACCCGCACACATTATCCCACGGACACGTTTCGTAATGGCGGAGCGATATTTTTTAGCCCGACGATCTGAGAGAAGAGATCAATCCCCCACGTGTGTCACAGGTCCGCGCTTCCACGTCGACGGCACGAACCACTGGTGTGAGGTGTTTTCAGCGTCGTTTACGAACGCCTAGGCCGTAAGGTGGAAAACACTCGTTGAGGTCGCGCTCAGGATCTTCGTGGCACGATCTTCGTGCCGTTAACCCTTTCGAGCCGAGCTTTGACTTCACACGACTACCAAGTACCGTCTTCAAACGCCAGCGAACGATCGCCGATCCTTATCGTTTGGATATCTCGTAAATTGCGAAGCGTCGAACAGCTACCAAGTTTCAATTCCGTACTTTTTACACGAGTAGATTATATCCTTTTAATATGATTTCGGAAACACCCTGTATAACGAAACGCAACTCTAGATCCGTTATGCTCGCGGCCACAGAGTAGCGCTTCGTGTCGAATCTCCCCTCTCTTTGCCCTGAAAGGGTTAACGGGATACAGGACCCTGCGAACTCCATGAGAACCGAACAAGACTAGAGAGCCAACGCGCAGGACTCGCGTTTCCGATTCGAAAAATAGTCACGTCCACCGACGAATTCGTGGAAGTTTAATCCGGGACGTACGATTCTTCTTTTCGAAGTTTAATTAGAATACTCGGAACCAGCGACGTAGCGACTTTGAATCGAACTCGAACTAATTCGATCTTTCCGCCATTTTACAAATTCGTTGGAACTTCTCCCTTTTTACTAGGAAGCCAGCAACGAAAGTGTTTGTAGATTGCAGGAGGCGCCACGAGGTTTCGAAATGGTTGCCAAGAAAGCTATGGATTTTCGTAAATGTTCACTGTCGAAAGAACTTCTCGTCGATTGTCGGGGATATATCGCGAACGTCAGGCAGTAGGGAAAATGGCACGAACGCCCACACCTTCTGCAGAAGATATTTAGAAACGTTGATCGTCCACGAGGCTTCCTGTTCGTAGCTGCGAGGAAAGTTTCACCGCGGAACCATACTCGTATGATTCATCGTCGATGAAAGCGTGAAAATGGCCCGATCGCCCCGTCAGGCATTATTCGACGGCCGGAGCTCATCGCTCAGAACGATCGATTCGATAATGATCTTTTTAATTGTCTCGATCCGCTTGGAAAATCTTGGATCGTTCATCGAGCTTCGAGAATCTTAGAAAACCGTTCTCGTTTTATAGTTCTCGCGATACCGTGACTCTCGATCGAGCGACGCTCTATTTTCGAGGCTGACCAGCGCCTCGGCAAGTCTCTCGCCTCTCTTCTCTCTCCGCGTATCCCAGATTTAATACAGGTGTCGCTAATTTTAAAAATCTGCTCTTTGGGACCAGTTCGTTAAAACTGACTTATGAAAAGTGTTATTACTGATATCTGTAATCGCCTTACCTAATATCCTCAGCCAATTAACAGCGGATATAACCGTCGATCGGTTGATTATTATCGAATCAGCTTTAGCATCGATTGCTCTATTTGCTAAACCTTGATTACGTATAGGGGTTGATCGTAAATATCCGTGTCTTTTTATATTTATATTCGAAGCATATAATTAAAATGGGTATTTTAGTGCGTCGCGGCTTCAAAGGCGAAATTTATTTCTGCCAGCTTCGTGGCCGGAGCGTTCGCGCGACACGGCGCACAAAAGATTCAACTTTTTTTTCATCGCGCTTTTACGCGATAAGAAACCGCTCAACCTGTTGCACATCACTGAAAATGAGACGCGTTCGATCCGATCTATCGAGACTTATTTTCATTCTCGCTGTCGTCGCATACTTCTTACGTTATTGGCGCGTTGTCGATGAAACGTTGCACCAAGGCTACCTAACGGTTGCGTCCATCGTGAAATTTCTTTCCCTAGAAAAATACCGATTTCTACTTCTATTCTCGACCAGCTCCGTGTTCCTACGTGGAAATTTCCATAATAATTATCCTCGTCGGAGATGTACTTTCTTGCCTTGGTAGTCATGGCCGCGAATTTTCGGGAATCACAGCAGAGGCTGAGAACCAGAGAAACGCCCCCTCTCTCTCTCTCTGTATGCTGGCCACTCGCCAACGGCACTGCGGTATGCCGTGCTTTTGTCCACAAAGAGCATGCTTACCACACGTATACAGGGTGATTCTAGAAACTGTTCCGCCGTAGCTCCTTTCTAGGCAAACATACCAGCACACATCGGTAAACGTATCCATATTTTCCTAGGACCGGTAGCTTCTCAACGGAATACGTCTATGCGGACAGACACGACTGCACGTTTAAATAGAACTTATTCCTTTGCATTAATCTATTCGTATCGTTATGCCACGCGTGATGGTATTAAGGTATACTTAGCGAAACAGTTTCGCAACAGTGGCACACCCACGCGGGGTTCAAAGAAGCAATCGTGGTACCGTGTTAACACAGCCACACGATCCGGCCTCGTGTGCATTCGAAAACGTGTAAATTTCCCGGCACGTTTGTTTCTATTTTACCGTGGATGTTTGCGCGCAAAAAATTCTATTGATCGCAAAGTCAACCCTCTCCCCAGGGGTGCGCTTCGACGATGGAAACAATGCCGGTGCGTCCCGGAAAACAAGCAACGATAAAAATATATCCGAATACACGCGTTTCTTTGTCGAACCGACCACTCGATTGCTCGATACAATTTTTCTGAATACTTTACCACGGAATACTTTATTTCGACGGATACTTTGTACAATATGGGATAAACTGAAACTGCTACGAAGAATGGTCTTCGAAATCGTTCCGGAAGTCGGTCCTCAACGAGTAGGGATCCAAGTTCCTTGGGTCGACCCAGGCAAACGTGATGCGCAGCTGTTCCATAAGCCTCGGTTTACGATGTTGTGTCGCATAGCGAAGAAATTTTTTTTTAAACCCGGCATGGCGACAAACGCGTTTCTCTAATGGAATCATGGTCGTTGTGCAACTGCAGCGTCTTTACAAGAGGCTCGTGGCTGTAATTTGATACGGAAGAACCGCGGACGTTACTGAAATCGAATGAATCGGACGACAAATTTGAACGTGCTCTGAGGAGCTCGATAACGAAACGAGAGGAAGCGTGTAGGACGCTATTGGGTTTTATGCAGTCGTTTCTTATGCCGATCGATCGGTCCCGGGGTTTAAACGCTTCGGTGAACCGGTACGAACGTTCCACGAAGACGCACGGTGCTAGAAGTCGTCCGTGTAAATGTTAATCGCAATTACGGAGCAGATTAGTAGATGTTTCGAGCGTGTGGACGCGGAAGCGACCGCTGGTTACGGTTCACGATAGAGAAACTGCACGGCTCCTAGCAATGGCCTACGTATCGCGGCGCTGATTGGCGTATTGTTGTCGTACCTGTCGATTAAATCTAATTGCTCGTCGTGCGCCAGCATCCATCGCCCTTTTCAATTAGCGGATAAACCTACGCGCACGGTCGGACGAACCAGAATTTCTTTATTCTCTGTTTAAAATTTTTCAAATCGTTCTAATAAAATTATTTTCGGTTGCGGGGGTCAGTTACAATCATTTTTGGTGAATAAACATACCCCCGAATTCCTACGCACTTTCGAGAAAAAAATTCGATTAGGTGCTGACATTTTTGGGTAAAATTAAATAATTTCAAATCGTTTTAAAAAAATTATTTTCAGTCGCAGGGATCAATTGTAATCATTTTTGGTGAATACACTTACCCCCGAATTCCTACGCACTTTCGAGAAAAAAATTCGATTAGGTGCTACATTTTTTGGCAAAAATTAAATAATTTCAAATTGTTCTAAAAAAATTATTTTCGGTCGCAGGAGTCGATTACAGTCACTTTTGGTGAATAGACATATCCTCAAATTCCTACGCACATTCGAGAAAAAAATTCGAATAGGTATGACATTTTTGGGCGAAATTGAAAAGTTTAAAATTGTTCTAAAAAAATTATTTTCGGTTTCTGGGGTAATTTACAATCATTTTTGGTGAATAGACATACCCCCGAAATCCTACGCATTTTCGAGAAAAAAATTCCTAATCGAAAATGTAATTTATGTTGCCCGAAAATATCACGCGAATCTTCAAAATGTCATAACTTCTGAACGGATTGGAGGATTTTAATGTTCAAAACGGCAAACAACGGGTATTTTAGCGTAGAATATGTAGACATTCTAAAAATAATCAAAAAGTTATTCCTTAACCCCGTAAAATGACAGAAACCCCATAAAAGTGGTCCAATTTTCAAACAGCCATAACTCCTGCAATACTGAATATATTTCAATGAAACTTTTTTCTGAAGTAGAGCTCAGGGATACCTATAAAAAAGTATTAGACAAAATTTCCATAGGACGTCAAACAAATTTATTAAAAATCACAAACGAATTTTGAAGAAAAATCGCAGGGGGTAGATGCCTAAATTTCTTGACGAAAAAAAAATCTTTCAAATCGTTCTAAAAAAATTATTTTCATTTACGGGGGTCAATTGCAATCATTTTTGGTGAATACACATACCCCCGAATTCCTACGCACTTTCGAGATAAAAATTCGATTAGGTGCTGACATTTTTGGGCAAAATTAAATAATTTCAAATCGCTCTACAAAAATTATTTTCGTTTGTGGGGGTCAATTGCAATCATTTTTGGTGAATGGACATACCCCCGAAATCCTACGCACTTTCGAGAAAAAAAATCCTTTATCATTGGATGTAAAGTCTGCACGTATACCTCGTCTGTTTTTTGGACCTTCGACCAAACGTTTGTTTTCCCAGTGGCTAATCTGTTCTCAGGGTCGATTGACGCGGAATCGAATGCTCCTCTGACTGTCAAAGCCTATCTTTGTCATCGAAGCTTCGCCCTTGAGAGTTAGTTTCGTTGTAAAAAGCACGTTTCTTAGTGTGTCCGAGTAAAAGTACGTCTAAACATTGTTCAGCATCTGTCTCTTATTACTCAGAACAAAGTCGAGTGGTCATTACTTGGCAAAGTATTAGTTAGGTTGATACGCATTAAACGTCGTTTCCCCTGTTTTGCCAAACTTTTAAAACATAACCTGTTCGACGCTAGAAACAGAATACAGTGCAATCAGATCAAGACCATCATATTTCACGCGGAAGGGTTCGAGCAAGATTTTGTTCTCGAAATTGGTCCAAGTTAAACGGGTTGGTCAAATGGGCTTTTAATTACACGGCTGCCGGTTGCTCGAGCCAAAGAAACGTAAACAGCGCTGCAGGTACCTTTAACACAGTTCGATGCGTGAAACGAGGGATCTTTTGTTGTCCGGATTATTGCAGCGACTCGATTCGTCTAGCGATTATTAATGATTTTTAATCTGTTGTCATTGTGTGTCGCGTAGAACGGAGATCTCTGCATATCGATCCTTCATCCACCCGTAGACGATCCACAGAGCGGCGAACTACCGTGCGAGAGGTGGAATCCAACACAGAACGTCAGGTGAGTATCCCATCTTGGTACCTATAAGAAATCTCGACCTGCAAAATACACGGGACGTCGAGTATAACGCGGTGCGTGTATATTAAAATATACTTCGAGGCTTGACGTGCGTATTATCAGGTATCCACGAACCGAACCCGCGACGCAAAAACGCTAAACGAGTTCTGGTTTTCGAATAGGACGATCCTCCTGTCGGTGATCTCGCTCCTGAACGAGCCCAATACGTACAGCCCTGCCAACGTGGATGCTTCGGTGATGTATAGGCGTTGGCGTGACTCCAAGGGTCGGGACAAAGAGTATGAAAATATCATAAGGTACGGTAATATCGATCTATCCTGTATCTCGCCTTCCTGTTTTTTTTTCTTTTCTTTAATTATCGTTCGCCTGCGAGTTTTTTTCCATCGTGTGAAATACGACGGATAACGGAACTAAGTAGATTACCATGATGCGTAACAGTAACAGTCTGTGCATTTATTGATTCGATCGACTAATTGATAATATGATAGCATTTGTTCTCATGAAACATAGTCGGTTCCATAGCCAAGTGTAAATTATTTTAAACGAAACTCTCGCTTCGTAAACACCGTGGTCGACGCATAGCGCACTAATTCGTGAGGACGCAAGTTTTAGGTTAGGGTCACGCGGCGTCGAAACGACGTGGTTCGTTTCCATGTTGTTTCGTGTCTTGCAATCGAGAAGAACGAAGGTTGTTTTCAATCGTTAGACAAGGAAAAACATAAAGGCTCGTGCGACCCTAACTTGGAGGAAAGACAATGGGGGATTCGATAGGGTGGAGGTGTAAGTAACGCGTAGTGGTGCGTCCAAGGAACCGTTTTGCTCGTTCGCAGAAAACAGGCACACGCAGCAAAGATAGAGGCCGAGAAGGAAGGAATCGTCGTCCCGGTGACACTAGAGGATTACTGCATAAAGACGAACGCGAGGCCAGCCGAACAGCAACTGGACATGACGGATTTTTACGACGACGAGTACGAATTAGATGACGACGAGGACGATCAATTGAGCGCCAGTGAATACGAGGACGGCGACGACAGTGGCAACGGGGAGTCGTGATCCATTTCCTAAGACGACGGGATAATAAACTCGAATAAAACAAAAAAAAAAAAAAGAAACGCTAATTATTATCAGTTCTGTATAGATTAATAAATTAACGGGCTTCTAAACCGGACGCTCTCTCTGTCTCTCTTCAGACGTGCCACCTATAAATTCAAGTAAGCGCGATTAAATTTACGAGGACGGTCGTCGCGAGTACGTTGTAATTCAGAATCGTATTATTGCGCCATCTATCGTCCGCCGGTCTTGGGGCGAAACGAATTCGTCGAATTATATTTGTTGCCATTGTTCCGCGTTTGGTTAATTTTACGGTAGAATTGGCACGGTCAGATCGCGAATGTCCGAAGAGAATTGTTTTGCGAACTTCTTGTCGGTATTCACGTACGAGGAATATCGAAATTCTAGAGTAAATTGTCGAGAATGCCGAGTTTACAAGCTCTTTAACTTAAGCAATATACGGTATATACATAAGTACTTTGTTAAGAGCACTGTGCTTGTTGTGTTGTGGTTGGCACGTCAATCTTTTTAACTAGGCAAAGGGATGGAAACGAAGGATCAATTGATTCCGGCTCGCTTGGGCGATCAGCGTTCGATAAAAAAATTTAATCGCGATAAAGTACAATGATTGGGCTGGCTCAAGTTATCCATGTATCATATTAACAGTGTTATCGGTGAGCGCATCGATTGATCCTGCGGTTCCAGAACTTCGATAAGGTTTACATTCGAACGAAGTAAAATTTCTCTGTTTCCTGCGAAATTGTTTGTCTTACGGAGCCATAAGTTTGGAAAGAAATTCGATGTATAAGCGAGAGCAAAGAATATATAACAAATCCGCCGAGGATGACCCGTCGGACACACTTCGTAGACACTTTCTTTTTGTATTTAAAACGTGCATACACTATACGCTTAATTTTTTAATATTCTTTTTGCCAACGAAACATGAACCGATTTTTATTGTTGTTTGCGTACGTTTCTGATGATACGATGGGTCGTTCCGATCGCGGCTCTTCAGCAGCTTGTTCAGGCGTAGAACATAATTTTTGCTATTAACGGTACACCTTAAGTTTCGATCATTTGTCATTGACATTGCTAAATCTTTTGAGAAGAGTACCGAGGTACGTTTACGGGACTTGTGCGTGCATCGTGCTACATCCACAAAGTCAGTTTAGCTTGCGACGTTTCTTAAGATCTCTTGATGTTTTAAGTATTATCTTTCACAACGGGGACAAAAGCTTTTGTAGGCGAGGTTCATTAAACGTAAGCTTATTACTTAAGTGAAAGTAATACCAGATGCGGCTAACCTACTCTGTGGTAGTGTATCCGTGCTCGTACGACTGAAATTGTAAATAGTACACAAAACTCGATCTTAAAGACATTAAAACGTGTAAATGGATACGTCTCTGATCTTCGTTCTTCGTTAGCCTGTTTTAATCGAGAGACCAAAATTAAGTATGTTGAAAGGTATAAAATCGGAAGGATATTTAAATTTAAATATTGCCCGAAGGAAGTATATATACTCAGTGCTTGTAGTGGTATAGCAAAAAAGTAAATATCCCCTAGTTCCTTGATATATTAAAGAACCTTTTTCATTTCGTGTCGTCCCTTAGCTACTTAATAATAGACGAGAACTGTGTAAGACACCGACGTAACACTAATAATTTGTATACTTGGTAATTCTTTTCTCCTTTTTTTGTACATACGAATAAAATCTCTTCGTACAAATTATTAATAAAACTAGCGCAATGATATAACACGCTTTTGTCAATAGTTTAAGGTAACAAAAATGGCTGCTTCGTAACCAACAAAATTTACAAGAATGCCTCCTCTCTCTAGGTAAGTAAACGACACTTTCTTTATTCGCAAATCCGTTTATTCGTTAACAAGAATAGCTTCCACTCTCTCCGTATACAAAAATCAATATAAATTAAAAATAAACGCAACGCAATTAACTCTCACGTTCTGTACTCGTAATTTCTTTTCTAGGAATTCCTACTAGTATGTGATGTTTAGGCGTGCACGTGTTCGGTATAAACTTCGAAATGTACACTTTGTAGCCGAATTGTTCGGCCTGTAGCTTTCTGTCGGTATCGATGATCGCCATGCATTTGTACCCCTGCTTCGTTTTAACATTTCGATCGTCGTGCGTTTGATCGGCAGCGTGACTCAGAACCATATATTTCTCCTGATCCATTTGTCCCTTCAAAACGTTGCTCCTCGGGTACGTCAAGTGATGGCAATCGTGCAACGATCCGTAACAGCACGGGCAACAGATGAAAATTGCTCTTCTTTTCACGCATTGTTGCAGAACCAAATCTGTTGCAACGCCACACGCGTGCAGTGACATACCAATGTCAAAATCTCCTTTGAAATAGTCCAAATTGCACTGATAAAATTTTACATTCGTCAGTTTCAACTTTCTCACCCTTTCCTTGGCCCTGTTCAACGACTCCTCTTTGTTCTCCAATAACACGACGGTACAGGATGGCAAAAGATGAGCGACCAAGATACCCAAGTGACCGCTACCGGAACAGAAATCGACTATCACGTCTCCCGCTTTCGCCAATTTCATAACGGGTTTGCACATGTTTTGTATTTGCTCCTGTTTCTTCTTTAAACGCGCTTCTGGCAATGCACCACCTTCCGGGGTGGCGTCGTACGGTACCATGGACCAGTCTAGATTCAATTCCGCAGCGAATGGTTCTAAATCGAGCGTCGTTTTCACGTTCAATGTTTTGAACAACTCCAACGATTGCTCCACGTCGTCCTGTTTCGTAAACACGCGGCTTTTCGGTCTATATCTGTTCGGGTCACTTTTGTACAAGCTTTGATTCACTACGTGAGGAAGAGTATAAACGAAATCGTTCGAGTCCTGGTTCTTTAACAATGGTAAACATTCGAGACAGTCGACTATGATCTGATCCTGGATCATTTTCTTGTACCATTTAGCGGTCAATGGAAGTAACTGCAACGTTTTCTCGCTTGAAAATACAGTCAACAAAATATGTATACACACAAATATAATAATGTCCGCAAGCGTCACGTGCGAGCCCTCCGTGTACGTATGCTCCGGCAAACGGTTTTCGTTGGAAAACTTCTTCGACATCGTGTATTTGTACAGATTGTGCAATCTGACCGGTTGCGACATGTGACGCTCCAGTCTCGCCATGCTGGAAGGCAGTTCGTTTTCTATCGTGTCGTCCGCGTGTAAAAATTTCACGGCCAGAATCAAATCCACCTCGCAGAATTTCGTCCATACGCTTGCCTCGGAGCACGCCGTCAGACACGAGTCTTTGAATCCTAACAATTTCCGACAATAATGGTCCGGATGTTTCGCCACTACCTCCTTAATTATTTGACGCAGAGTCGCGCAAAGTCCCGCGATACAACTAGTCTTATGTATGATAATAATTGGCAACTCGCATGATCTCACGAAAACGGAGACTTTATTCGCATCCATAACTTCGTACACAAAGGTGGAAATGTCTATCGTGTACGCTCGTTCCAGAGACTTTCGTTTGCTTCTCACCAGTTTAATATTAATGTCGGAGTTGCAATATTTCACAGTAAACAGCGTTACTATCGTTTCGATCGGCGCAAAACACAATTCGGCTAACGAATATATTTCCAAGTAAACTTCCATTATTTTTTGAAGCAGAGTACAAATAAAGGAAATAAAAAATAATTGCTTAATATCGGTTATACGCTGGCTCTTAGTTGTCTGGCTACTTTTCTGATTATCCTTTGCCTCAGGACATTTTCTCTACAATAAACACTGATACAAGAACATACGGCTAAAACAAACATGAATGCCTCAAACTTAAAAAATGTTCTTTCTTCTAGCCAAGCTACCCTGTCGCAACTGAAATATATGTATTATTAATAAATATTTATTTGTATGCATACAATAATTGTAAATTAAAGAGAGTCGCTTACCTTCTTGTTATAACTTCTCCACTTTTACATTTTAATGCTTCCTTGTATCGTGCATGAACGCATACATCTATGCTCTTGCTTGCAATTTCAAAAGCAGAACAAGGATGACATTCTGAAATTATTTCATACTCCTCCCCGGACAAGCATGTCGTATTATTCTCATAATTTTCCAAATACAGTTTGCTCGAGCTGTCTGTCCAGTGACTTTCAACAATAAGTACTAACACAGTTAACCTGCAATAGAGAAAAAATGTAATCACAATCAATTACGATATTAATTTGATTCACCAATGTTTATTGACGTTGGCTAATAAACAATGGTTATAAGATAGCATAAAACAAAGCTAACCCTCCCAATAATGTAATGCCAATTAACATTCGTTTCTTTGTACAAAACTCGATCATTTCGATGTGCACTGTTTCATAAAATTCCACGTTTCCTGCCAAGTTACGCGATCCATGTGAGAAATTAGTAAAACCGTTTCGAGCAGGTTAATCATAAGTAAAATCTAAAACACATTCCAAGTGAAAATAATTCTACCTAAATCAGATCTATACTACGTTCAAATAACACGTGTTTGATAGACTAATGACGTTTGCGAGTAAGTGCGCTACACATTCGTGTTCGATCATGGCACACGTGTCTATCAGTTCGTTCCAATCGAAATAAATACGACACCGATGTAGTGTTACCAGACCGAGCACTGGACAGAGATACCAGATGGACCATCGGGGACACCACCCTCCACTTTCTCACACTATGCCAGATCACGCGTACGTGACCTCCTACGTGTTTCGGACAGTCGACAAAGATAAAATGACACATGCCCTCCTTCTCGATTCTCCGAAGTTGCCCGAAGTAATTTCAGACCGTCTCGTGGGAGTCGAGAGAGGAAGGCTCACATCTGGCAACGTATAACCCATTACTGTTGACTACTGCCAGCCTCTCACAGCCTCTGCTGGACTCTGCTGACCATCGCTTATATTTCTGACAACGTATGACGATTACTGCTGACTTCTGCCTGCCTTCGCTGGCCTCTGCTGACCGCTGCTGACCATTCCTCATACTTCTGACAACGTATGACGATTGCAACTTGCTATTAGTTGCCCCTGCTGGTCTCTGCTTGCCACTGCTTGCTACTGCTGGCCTCCGCTGACTTCCGCTGACCACTGCTGACCACCCCTGATGCTTCCGACAACGTATAACGATTACAACTTGCTATTGCTTGCCCCTGCTGGTCTCTGCTTGCCACTGCTGTCCCCTGCTGGCCTCTGCTGACCACTGCTGACCACCCCCGATGCTTCCAACAACGTATAACGATTACTACTTGCTACTGCTTGCCCCTGCTGGTCTCTGCTGGTCTCTGCTTGCCACTGCTGCCCTCTGCATTCCTCCACTGACCTCCGCTGACCACTGCTGACCACCCCTGATGCTTCCGACAACGTACAACGATTGCTACTTGTTACTGCTTGCCCCTGAAGACCTCTACTGTCCCCTGCTGTCCCCTGCTGACCCCTGCTTGCCCCTGCTGTCCCCTGCTGACCCCTGCTTGCCCCTGCAGGCCTCTGCTGTCCCCTGCTTGCCCCTGCAGGCCTCTGCTGTCCCCTACTGACCCCTGCTGACCACCCCTGATACTTCTGACATGATGTATAAGTGTTCAAGCTTTGTATAATGTAAATCTATGGCAATAAATGATATAATTTAACAGAATTCTATGTCTTATCATCATTTTTACCTTTCTTTTCCTCTGCAAATCATTGCCTTAGTTTTAAGAGACCGTTTTCCCGGTTAAAATTGGATTCCCAAAGTGTCCAGCTCTCGTACTTGCTGCCAAAATCAAAAATTAACTTTTAAACTGTTTCGTCAAAAAGTCCTGAAACAATTGGAAAGTCCTGAAACAACGAAAAAGCCCTGAAACTTTGAAATTTTTGAAAAATTGGAATGTCCTGAAACAGCTAGAAAGTCCTGAAACAACGAAAAAGCCCTGAAACTTTGAAATTTTTGAAAAATTGGAAAGTCCTGAAACAGCTAGAAAGCCCTGAAACAGTAGGAAAGTCCTGAAACAACGAAAAAGCCCTGAAACTTTGAAATTTTTGAAAAATTGGAATGTCCTGAAACAGCTAGAAAGTCCTGAAACAACGAAAAAGCCCTGAAACTTTGAAATTTTTGAAAAATTGGAAAGTCCTGAAACAGCTAGAAAGCCCTGAAACAGTAGGAAAGTCCTGAAACAACGAAAAAGCCCTGAAACTTTGAAATTTTTGAAAAATTGGAATGTCCTGAAACAGCTAGAAAGCCCTGAAACAGTAGGAAAGTCCTGAAACAACGAAAAAGCCCTGAAACTTTGAAATTTTTGGAAAATTGGAAAGTCCTGAAACAGTTGGAAAGCCCTGAAACAGCTGGGAAGTCCTGGAATTTCTTGGAAACGCCGAAAATTCTTGGAAACTTTGAATTTTTAGCAAAGTTTTGAGTTTCAGGACTTCCTAGTGGGTTCTGGGAAACCAAGGAGTTCCAGGGAGTCTTATAACTAAGGTAAATGACTTGGAGAGGTAAGGAAAGGTAAAAAATGATGAGAACACATAGAATTCTTTGTAATTATATCATTTATTGTCAAAGATTTACATTATACAATGTTTTAATACATATATCATGGCAGAAGTTGTTAACAAGGGTCAGCAGTGGTCAGCAGGGGTCAGCAGGGGACAGTAGGGGAGAGCAGGGGACAGCAGAGGCAAGCAGAGACCAGCAGGGGCAGGCAGTAACAAGTAGTAATCGTTATACGTTGTTGGAAGCATCGGTGGTGGTCAGCAGTGGTCAGCAGGGGTCAGGAGGGGTCAGCAGGGGACAGCAGGGGACAGCAGAGGCTTGCAGAGGCAAGTAGAGACCAGTAGGGGCAGGCAGTAGCAAGTAGTAATCGTTATACGTTGTTGGAAGCATCGGTGGTGGTCAGCAGTGGTCAGCAGGGGACAGCAGGGGACAGCAGAGGCTTGCAGAGGCAAGCAGAGACCAGTAGGGGCAGGCAGTAGCAAGTAGTAATCGTTATACGTTGTTGGAAGCATCGGGGGTGGTCAGCAGTGGTCAGCAGAGGTCAGTGGAGGCCAGCAGAGGGCAGCAGTGGCAAGCAGAGACCAGCAGAGACCAGAAGGGGCAAGGAGTAGCAAGTAGTAATCGTTATACGTTGTTGGAAGCATCGAGGGTGGTCAGCAGTGGTCAGCAGTGGCAAGCAGAGACCAGCAGGGGCAAGCAATAGCAAGTTGTAATCGTTATACGTTGTCAGAAGCATCAGGGGTGGTCAGCAGTGGCCAGCAGAGGTCAGTGGAGGCCAGCAGAGACCAGCAGGGGCAAGCAGTAGCAAGTTGTAATCGTTATACGTTGCCAGAAGTATGAAAAGTGGTCAGCAGCGGTCCTCAGAGTCCAGCGAAGGCAGGCAGAAGTCAGTAGTAATCGTCATACGTTGTCAGAAATATAAGCGATGGTCAGCAGAAGCCAGCAGAGGGTGAGAGAAGCTGGCAGTAGCCAGCAGTAATGGGTATACGTTACCAGATGTATCAGAAGTGATATCTGAAATGATATACATATGTCCGCTGATACATAGGAATAATAAAATTCCTTTTGTTTCAATAATTAAATTAGAAGGTAGAGGAGAATGTAAATGGGAAGCATGGAAAATATATATTTTGATTTTAATTGTTTATTAATATAAATATAAGGTACAGTTTAGAGATTACATAATTCTGATTTGTACAATAGCATGGAACGAAATATATTTCGTCAACGATGGGAAGTGATCGGGAGGTACACAGAATATAAAAATATGTTTTATTTTTCACACAGCTTTACACGAGTAGTAATTGCCAACAGGCAACGAGATTAAATATAATGAACGATTTAGATATCACTTTAACATCTTGGGGACCGCGGTTTTCTAAATAATCTCGCTCGACGAGCCAATGCACGAGAGAGACGCGATCAGTTCATAAGTACAAAGCGTTATATTAAAAGCGATAGCGATTATTGCGGGGGGAAAACGAATTTCCCGGTCGCAGCATTTGTGAATCGAGTATTATCGTTGTGTTTGCTTTTCATCTGTCATTTAGATAATATACGCGACAGAAGGCACGTGCAAAGAAGTCATGAATTATTTTTTATTCGTCCGTCCTGAAAATACTGATTTACTGCTGTTTGAAAATATATAACTTCTTCTTTGGAACGGCTGGCTCGTAAGCTACACACGAAAGGCATATAGTGTATGTATATCGAAGAAAGTCGAACCCTGTACATATATCTGATATGCTTTTGAAATAGATGAATGCCATTAAATAGAAAAATAATGTTACAAGGTTACTCGATATTGCAGGAAGAAGAAAATCTGGCGGGTCGATTATTTTGCTTAAGCTTTCACGGTAAAATGGCTAGTGTTACGTCTGAATCTGATTATACATAATTTAATACGAACAATAGTAAAGTATCATTATTGTCATGCCCCGCTGTGACTAATTCTTCAGCGGTAACGTCGACTCGCCCAACACTGAGAACAATAGTAATCATTTTCCGCCGAACCATAGAACCGACATTGCTCGTTACGACATTCTTTAACAATAGCCTGAAAAATATTTCAAATAATTACCTCCCTTAACTCGTAATGAACGATGTATCAACACGTACCCCGAGACTACCGCTGCTATCATTCCATCGTTCTGGCCCCAATTTTTCGGACGATGCTTGGTCATTGTAGAAGGTAGATCTGTAAGGAACAATCGCTTGAAACCACTCATTAGCAATAATGAGTAAAACTACGCTGTGCTGTAAAAGAAATACCTCGAAAGATAAAGAGTACGATCTTTATTTGGATTAATAGGTAACAATTTGCTAACGCTTGCGTGACTTCCGCCGTCGCTAGCGGCATAAAATTTGGATTTACCAGCACCATAATTCATTTCACTACCAGTCTCGTCGACCTTATGATCCTGCAGGTACCTATACAATATTACATAATCAATAAAATATTATTTTCAAAAGCTGAAACGGGAACAAATGTATTTAAAATGCCGTGAAACCTTGCGTGAGCACATTGAAGATAATTTTGAAGCATCTGATCCACGTACTGATGACGTCTACTTCTGATTCTTACACATAATAAACCTTCCGTGGAAAGTCCGCCCGCCGTGGGTGGCGGGCTTTTTGGTCTCTTCGCCATCGACCACAGTCTTTTACTAACGGACCTGCCGATCGATCCAAATTGTTTTGCAACGCCTAACAATTGCTTCGCCGTTTTGGACAGCGAGCCGTCAGTATCGGATAGCCTCTCCATTTCCTCCGACGTAAAATTTTGGTATTCACAGTCCAAATACTCTCGTAATAAAATTTCCATCTAAACACGAACACACGTGATTATATTTGAACAGATGGTAGAATTGTGTTCCAAATTGCTGAGCTAGGTACCGTGTCTTGCTGACAGGGCAACAAGTCTCGAGATCCTTCTTGCCAGTCCCAGTCTGGACCGGGATCTACCGCGAATAAAACTGGTAATAATTGACCTGTGTCTGGGTCTACCAGAGGTATGCTAACACCTTCGCTGGAACCATCTCCAAAATCGCTTGCTCCGTCGACAATGACGAGAGGCGAAAAGTGTGCCGAATGATATGCCAGAATCAATGGTGTTCTATGACAATAAGATGGAAGTACTTCTTGCGGCAAATATACTCCACCGAACGGAATCGGAGCTAAAGCTACACCCTCCGCATCCTTTAACATAGTTTCAGCTATAACTAATATAGGCCTTTTTAAAGCATGGGCTAAAGCTAATACGTGTACCTGTAAAAATGTAGTCGTTATTAATATTTCGAAGAATCTTCTAAAACAAAGTATCGAAATTTTACGAACTTCTTCGAGACTTTGATAGGACGTAGCAGTTTGATTTCTAAAGATAGGAGAGGCCATATCTACAATGGTTTGCCATTCCGTCAACCATTCCGCGTCCGTATAGGATAATCCTGCCGCTGCGTTTAAACCCATTTGTCGCCATTTCCAACGTCTAAACAATGCGTGTCTGTACTCCCCTTTGGCTAAAGTATTATGCAATGCTTCTCTTAATGTAAGAAGCCTGTCGTGAAAGCCCCACATGCCCAGGGAAGCTGCATGTAAAAGGCAGTTCCCATCCCCTGATGTTGCCAAAGGCCATAGAACTCTGTTGCTTCCATGTTTACCTCCACACCACCAATTCAAACGACCAGCAGCTTCCAGAGAGGTCAAACACCCACCCTCTATCAGATCTTTCTCCAAAAATTGGCGAAATGAATCTGAATATAATTTTTGAATAAATCATTAGAATGAAACAGAGTAAATGCTTTCACGGTCGGTGTAGCGAATTACCTGGATATACAGTTAGGTCAGGAAGAGAAAATGTGAACTCTGGAGTATCTAATGACCCTATAGTAGCTAACTGAGAACGGGCATAAGAGACAATAGCTGCATTTTCTGTTGCTCTAGATATACCTCTGGCCAATTTTTTTGTAGCCCCACCTCCATTTTCCAATGCATTACTAGAAGTTGACTCTTTCTCCAAACCATCGTACGGCGATAGTCCTAGGTTCATTACCTTGCCTTATGGTACCTGTAATACAACAGCTTTGCTCAAATTTACTGTTCTGTAATTAGCAAATGATCGGCAAGATGTTAAAATGATTGTACAAGAGTTGGACAAAATGTAATCTGATTTTGTGCTACACAACATATTACTAAAAGCAACAGGAATGCAGGGCTTTGGTGGTTGCAATACAGAAATATACAACAGTTAACAAAAATAGGACAAGGTTTAGTAACACGGGTGCTTTAATTAAAAGAACGAGTATTAATTGATTATATATCGTCTAACGTATTCAGTCGCTAATATAAATTCAATGATATAATCAATTCGAAAACGGCGATGCGTTTCGATTCGCGGAATTACGAAATATCGAAAGTGAATAAATCTAGGCAATATGCGATATTGCATGTACGCAGCGTATCTACATATGCATATGCACCGTATATGTTGACTGTACGTGCATAAAATTACTTAAAAAAAAAAAAAAATGCAAACCTTGGCCCGTGTATCGAATTAGCGCAACGGAACGTAACGACAGAGTATCATCAAATGGTATTCTAATCGGTCTACGACGCACGAACTGTTTGTACGCTTTCTCATATTTCGTAGCACGGCGCCCTTACCGAACCTCTCCTCAGAGAGATGCCCGCGACGTAATAAAAATTACCGAGAAACTGTTTACACGGGCTACGGACATAAACACAACATAACCTAAGGCACAGCAGCCTCGAAACTGCAACTGGTAGGCGGTAGAGGCGAGGGAGCGAATTATTATTGTTACGTGTGAAACTTTAAACCGGTCACATGTCAAACCGCGGGGACGTAAGTAGGTACACTGCTGTTTTTTTTACGCAGTAGCGTGCCTGCCCACTAACGGACAGGTTGACGCGACCACAGTAACACGATCAATTTTCAAATTCAACAGAATCATTCGAGTTATCGTCTCTCTCATAATATCGCGCCGCGACGTTCGCTAGAAACGCGTTTAACCTTGAAAGCACGCGTCGCTTGTGCATACCTATCTACCCACGCGAAATATATCGCATTTATACATGATGTTCCAAACTATAGGTAGAGAAACCGATGCATACAAGACCTGGGATCTCTGAACAAAATGTGCTCGCCTTGTTTGTAAGCCACACCACGAGTAGCGCCAAGTTTGGCTTATTACGTCTAAGCAAACACTCTGTGTTATTTAATATAGTCTATGACTTGAGAACAATACAAATTTGAAATGCCTCGGTTTTATCGAGCTTTCCTAACATGATTAGCACATACGGATTGCACTAATGATATGACCAATTATGGCCCTGTACCTTGTAGAATGTACACCCCCTGTTAGCAAGCTCTGCTGCTGCTACTGCTGTTTCTGACTGTAACGATTATCGTTCATCTTTTAATAATTATACATTACTTGATTACTTGATACGCATGGCACAGTTGTCTGTATTGTAACACAAAGCTGTGTATCATATATAGACCGTAGAGCAAGGTATACGAATAGCTATGCATCGATCGTTTTTTGTTGAAAGAATGCGATGACTCTGCAACCGAAAGAACCGCCTTGTGTGCAAATGTAGCGCCACAGGTTGTACGGTTTTGTTGGCGCAGTGAGGTACATCTACCTCGTACGCAAGACGCATATCGTGCCTATGGAATAGGTGTAGGCGTGCACGAGTGTGCGTGCGTGTTCTGGCTCGTGTCCTACCGTTTCGAACCTCAAAAATTGCTGGTTCTCGCCGGAAGAGTTATTGGAGAGTTTTTCGCGGGTGAAAAGATTCTGCCAACAGTAGCGGTAACATTATCGAGGAGAACGATGATGAACGATCACGGTGTATGCCTGGTACTTATTCTGTCGGTCAATCTGTTGATTCTATTGGGCCACGTAGCCGGTACTAAAGTGCTGCAAATTCGTGGCATACCTAACACGGAAAGTTCGTTGTACTCGCCGGACCGCGACTTCCAGTGCCTCGACGGGAGCCTGTTGATACCGTTTACGCGCGTAAACGATAATTATTGCGATTGTGCCGACGGCAGCGACGAGCCCGGTACGCCCGCTTGCAGCAATGGCTCATTTTACTGCGAAAACACCGGTCACAAGTCCCATTATATACCCACCACCTGGATAAACGATGGCGTATGCGACTGTTGCGACGGCAGCGACGAGTATCGTTCGAACAAGGAGTGTCCAAATAATTGCAACGAGCTCGGCAGAGAAGCCAGAATAAAACAGCAGAAAGCGGATGATCTGGTCAGAGAAGGTAACAAAATAAAGGCAGAGTTGATCGCCAAGGGCAAACAACTGAAGAACGACTATCAGAGTCGCCTGGTGGCGCTCAGAGCCGATTACGAAGAAGCAGAGCTCGTGAAGAAGGAGAAGGAACTGTTAAAGACTCAAGCGGAGGAACGAGAAACAGCTGCTCTGGAGAAGTACAAACCAGCCGAACCAGAGCAACCTGCTGTGGAAGAAGGAGAGGAGGAGGAAGAATTGCAAGAATCGGAAGCAGAAGACTATTTTAAACTTTTGGATTCTGATAATAGCAATACCGTAACGATCATGGAACTCAGAACCAGGGTAACGTTCGACAAAGACAAGGATGGAGTTGTGACAGAGGAAGAGGCACTGTATTTCTTGAACAACCAGAAGGAAGTTAATCTCAGAGAGTTTATCGACACTGTCTGGGCAAACATCAAACCTTTCTTAATGTTGGAGCAAGGTAAAGCTTAGCAGAAACAAGTAGATCACTGTTTTTATTCCAGATTGTTTATTTCGATTAACACGTTGTTTTAGGTATGTTCAAACGGGGTGAATCTAACGAGGACTTAGAAGAGGCACACGAACCCGCGGAAGAGCTAGCGGAGCACGATAAAGAGGAAGACGAGGGTGGCGAGCGAGAGGAGGCAACGGGCGAGGAGGAGGGAAAAGTCGAGGAACCTGTCGTTCAGTACGACGAAGAGACCCAAGCCCTGGTCGACGAAGCCACGAGCGCTCGAGAGAATTTCCAGGCGGCGGAGAGATCCGTGAACGATTTGCTATTAGAGATTAGGAAGCTCGAAGAGAAATTGGATCGCGACTACGGCCCCGATCAGGAATTCGCGCTTCTGGACGGGGAATGCTTCGATTACACGGACTTGGAGTACGTCTACACGCTGTGCATGTTCGATAAAACGACGCAGAGATCCAAGTCCGGTGGCAACGACATCACCTTGGGCCATTGGTACGACTGGGCCGGTCCTAAGGACCAAAAGTACTCCAAGATGAAGTACCAAAGGGGGCTCACCTGTTGGAACGGCCCGGCGCGTTCCACGGTCATTGATCTAAGTTGTGGCAAAGAAAACAAACTGATCTCGGTGACCGAGCCCAGCCGATGCGAGTACAGCATGGAATTCTCTACACCAGCTCTGTGCAATCTTAGCACGGAGTCCGTTGATGCACACGACGAATTGTAAATCTCGTCACGCGAGACACACGAGACAGTGTATGATATCAAAAGATAAACCGTAAATGTTGCAAGGATCAATAACGGCAGCCGTACATTCATCCAACGTCAGGGCTTGTTTCCACTTATTCGTTTGTAATGAACAAGATACTTAAGAGAAGTCGAAGATTCCAGTTCGTTTCACGTTGCCAGAGTTTCGTCAAATTTGTTCAATATAATCCCGGTGATCGCATTATATTTGCAGACTATCGGTGTAATTTCTATATCTTGTTCATTTCAAGCTTTCTAATACTTTCCGCGTGCCACTGCTGCACCTCGTTCGATCGTAACGCAATGCACGACAAAGAAATTTCACACGGTAGACATTTAATTCTTAAGATAAAATTGTAAGATTTCGCGAGCGCTTAACACACGTTACGGTTAATTTAAGGAGTTGTATGGTCGAGATTAACGTCATGTTTGTTTTACCGTCGACGATAAGCACAACCGATAAAGCCTCGGCGAGAGCCTGGCCCATACCTTGCGCGTTACATAAAGACAGAGTTTCCATCGGACGACGTACTGCGATCGGTTATTCGTCCTTGGAGTAAACAAGCAAATGGAATTCGCCGCTGATAACACGTTGGCAACAGTTAGCGACGAACTCGTCGTTTGCTTCGAAACAGTAGGGAAGATCGTTGAAAGACAATTTAATATCCGTGATACGTGCATTAAAAATCGTTGTTACGCCGTCATTGCCGATATTGGTGTCACCGTTATATACATTCCTGATCTTTTTGTACCAAGCAAATTTTTATGAAGCAATCTCGAACGACACGATCGATCTACGTGATCCTACGCGTGTTGATAGAAATCCTGTTGAAGGAAGCATTTCTTTTTTTCGAATATTTAAATACCGTCTGCGTGCGCGCACATATGTGTATGTGTGTGTAACGTAGAAGACGTTTGTATTAATACTGTCGATCATCAATCAGCGAAGGTTATTTTGTAACTGTTTAAAGATGCGCCGGGTGTACTGGTGTGTTGGTATGCGGGTTCAATAAAGAGAAAGAAAAATCTGTTGTCGAACTGTAATTCACGATGGCAGCTTTATTTACATTAATAACGGGCGATTTGCTCTTCCTGTATTACGTGTGATACAGGACATACATACATATGTATATATATATATATATATATATTTGTATATATATATATATCTTCTCAATTATGCGAGTTCTTACAACGTTATAGCGACGGTTAACTCGGTTCTCTATTTATCTCTTTTAATCTAACGATCTACACGGTATCTTTTGGAGTTCTGAGACGTTTACAATCAACTAGAGAACTAAAAAAAAAAGTAAAGGTGGGGGAGGGATAGAGGTGATATTACGTTTCTGAGCTGCTTATTCAGCATTACATCCAGTCGATTACATTCTCATTACTTCGTTAAGGCACTTAAAAGACTGAAAAGAAGTATCTCGTCTGCCACGAGGTTAACGCGTGACAGAGACGACACGCTCTATAGTCTTTTTCCACCCTATGATGATCCTGCTTTCTCCCTTCAACTAACAACAACGAAGAGCTCCACAATTCGTTCGATCTCAACATGGAATGTATCGCCTCGAACATTCGTGTTGAAAAATCAAAAGAGCTCGGCTTTTTCGTGGTTGAAAATGTCGGATGCTTCACGGACGTAAGCGAGTATCCCTTTGTGTTCGTTATTTACGCGTTCGCTTTGTATCAAAGGTTCGATGATAATGTTACAAAAGGGCACCCGGCTTAGATTAGGCTGCCTCCGACGTTTTCGAGCGTAACCGACTCGTACGTATCGTGTATATTCGTGAAAATAAACAAGAAACGTTTTACGTAGTTTTCGAACAATGGATAGTGGAGTTTCTCTGTCGATTTCGCGTGTCGCGAACGTCGATGAACAGGAAGTAGCGAATCGGCAACGGAAAGTCGACGCTTTCCAAAGATAACCTCAAAGGTCTCTAGATATGATCGATTTCGAACAACGTTTTTTTTAATTTGTAACGTACCCTGTGTTCGTTTCATGGACATCGAACGATATAATTCGTGCCTCTTTCTTTGATAATTTCTCTCGTCCACGGTCGTGTTTAACTCTGCAAACGGGGGTCCACTTTGTATATTTACACAATGGAATGAAACACATTTACACGCGCCCCTAAACTACTGTACAACAAGTTTCACGAAACGCCTACGCTCCTACGCTAGAAGAATTCATGTAAGCGCGACGACAACGCTCGCAAACTGTTTTTATCTAATACTGGATCCGGATAAGATCCGGTGATCTCTCGTTCTACGCGACTTTTGTTACAAACAAAAAGAAACAAATACGGCAATGGAAGAAATTAAATAAAATTACGATTCTCGATAACTAATTACAACGTAACGGTTTATAACCGGTTACGAACTCAAAAACCTTCTCGCAATATCGATATCCTTCTCACGCTTTTTATCTTACGACGATGAAACGAACAAATTTCGCGTGAAAAAAATATTATAAAAAAGTTTCAGAAAATTACGTTATTGTCTCCTCTTGACCAGACGAACAGTTTCGATCTTTGTGTCTTCATCACCCCCAGCTTGTTCTCATCTATAAATAAAATGTATATAAAATAGTTCGCTGAATAAAGGCGTTGTGTCGTTTCGGTGTTTAAACAGAAGATCGATATTTTCGTACAATTTCGTCCCGTTTTCTTTCGGTTTCTTCCTCTCAAATTCGATCGTTCATAAGCGTGTCTCGATAACCGAAAGGATCGGTTAAAACGAGCGTGTGTGGCGGTTTGTTTTGCGTATAATTGACGCGCATGCGCGAGCGCGTACCTCGCTCAACGTACAGCTCACTTCCCAAGTTTCTCGAACATGATCAGCTTCTCCTTGAAGCTCTTAGTGTCGGTGGACACCTCCGATATATTCCCGTTAAGCATATTCTGCAGGTCTTCGTCGTTTTTGCTGACGAGGAGATTGTCGAAGATCATCTTGTTATCTTCCTGCTTGGCGACCGGCGAAGTGGGCTGCGAGCCGGTCATCTGCTGCTTCTTTTTCGGATAAATCACAGAGCTTCGTTGGTTGTTCCCATTGTCGGTCATTCTGGTAACTATCGTGATGGCTAGAAGCTGGTGGATGTCGATGTTCTCCTTCGACTCGGACGACTGTCGCCAATAGAACTTGTCCGGCGAGATCAGCGACTTCGAGTCCTCGGATCCGTCGGCAACAGAGATTTCTTCCGAGTCGGTCGACAGTATATTCTTGTTGGTCCAAGAGTCCTGCGAAAAGAAAAATGCACCTTTATTTCTCGCGTGTCTTGGAATAACTCTTTCTAATTTTAATACATTATAATCTAATTAAATGATTTTATTCAACATATTTAATAAATTTTTTTTTTTTAATTTAATTAATTGTATAACACTCTAAAGGAACTCACGTTCTTTTCGCGTTTGTCCATAACACCGTCCGCGAGTTCCTCTTGCTTCCTGTCCTGGTCCAAGTCTCTCTCCAAACTGTCAAGGGTCTCCGTACTCTCGGAGGATTTGTTCCTTCTCTCAGAGTCCAGGGTGTCCGTGCTGCCAAGTTCCGAGCTCTCGGAGGATTTTTGCAGCCTGGACGACTTCCTGACCGGCATCGGTCTCTTCTCCTCCTCTTGATCGTCCGCGGGCACGATGTCCACGAAACTGGTGCTCGGTATTCTCTTGGGTGTCCTCCTGATCCTTCTGTTCTCCAATCGGTCGTCCAGCTCCAAATTGTCCGAGCTCTCGAAGGACATCCTCTTGGACGATCTCCTGCAGCATTTACCCAAGCTGTCTCTGTCCTCCTCCGTGTCCTTCGTTTCGCCGATCTCGATCCTCTCGAAGCTCTCCGACGATTTCGAGATGCTCTTCGACAATCGCCTCCCCCTGGACAGGTTGATGTCCGAGATGCTGCTACGTTTCTGCAGCTCTTGCACGATGGTGTCCGTGTTGGCCTGAGCTTGCTCCAGGGCCTCGAAGTTCTCCGAGGACTTGGAGATATTTTTGGACGTTCTGCGCCCGCGGAACTCGAAGCTGCTTCTTCTACGCTCGATGGACTCGTCGCTGGTCAACGCCTCGATGGCCTCCAGGCTGTCGGAGGATTTCGATACGCGATCCGACGACTTCGAGATCGGGTTGAGCAACCTTCGTACGACTGGCTTCGATTCCTCGTACTCCATCAGCTTGTCGAAGCCCTCGGTGGACTTGGAGAACCAGCAGGACGTCACCTCGAGGCTGTCCGGAGATTTCGACAATCGGTTGGAGGATCTCCTGCGAGGTAACTTCGACTCCAGCTCCTCGAACATTTCCGAACTCTTGGTCGTCCGATTCGAGGATTTCCTGACGATTGGCCTAGCCTCCTGATCCTCGTTCGTCTCCACGCTCGTCCTCGACGCGTTCATGGCGTCCAGGCTGTCCGGAGATAAGGAGGCCACGCTGCTCGACGGTTTCCTCGGCAGTTTCGACTCCAGCTCCTCGAAGATGTCCGACGTGCGCGATAACCGACTCGACGATTTCCTCGCGACTGTTATATTCTTAGGCTCTGTAGGCGACGACGCGGCGCTGCTCACGGTGACCGGATGTGGTTCCAAACTATCCAACGAGTCCTCCGCGATGGTCGTAATCGTCGACACGGACGTGTTCGCCGTCTGCGAAGTTGTGCGTCTCGGTGGCCTCCGGTTCTTTGGCCTCACCGAGATTCGGTGATGGGCCGCTGTATGGTTCAAGCTAGCGCTCTCTAATTCCGCTGTTTGGCAAACGAAAACTACCTTCAATCAGTCTATTAGTTGTTCTTGCCTTTTAAAACAAAATGGACTCGGTGACGACACACTTTAAAATTAGTCCTCTTATTCTTACTAGAGATATCGATCTTTATGAACGTGCCATTTTCTTATTATATGTAGACTAATGACTAGACCGCGGATCTTTATGCAAATTCACATTTTTATTAATTGAATTAATGAAACGGAAGCTTTGTAGATGATTGTCTCAAACCCCTAAATATGCTAATGACATTTGTCTTGTTGCAAGTTCGTTCGATCGACGAACATCGCGTTAAAAGATGTCGACGCGGTACTCACGTAAGTCTTCTTTGGCCACAGGTATAACTCGATCGATCGCGTCCTTCGACGACGTTGAGTTCTGGCAAAAGAAACAAGGCACAATTAACGTTGACCCAGTTTATTAAAAATCCAGTCTTTTTTCACCGGATCGAACCGGTTCGAACTATTTTAGATCGGTGTTACGTTGCCAACGAGCCCTATTCGATTCACGGGGGGGGACATCGAAACGAATTATTTCGCGACATTGTTTCTGGTCTTTCGGGCCGCGCGTCCAAAGCGCCGACCATAACGGTATTAACCGCTATCGGGGCGAGCGAGTGCAGCCAGTTAACCGCGGCCGTTCGGAACCGGTTGCAGGTGCCGTCTCGAAAGACACTTCTTCACCGAGAAAAGGTTTCGTTTGTGCTACCGGTGCTCATTATCGTTCAAAACGTAACCAGGCAACAAACAGCCCCAGTTACACCGTTGCAATGCTCCGTCAAACAAATACGATCAATCTTGCACAATGATTAACATCGATGATCGCTCGAATGTAGGAAAGGGGACGGATTTAACGGTCTTACGACTATTTTTATACAATTGAAATACTGTATACTGTGTCTCGTTCGGTGGTCGATCGATTACCTCGATCTTCTCGGTCTCCTCGATCCGTGGAGCAGCCTCTTTGATGACCGGCGGGATCCTCTGTCTCGCTTCCGGCTTGAAGCGTGGTCGATCCTCGATCCTGCACGGAGGCCTAACGGACCCCATCGACCGATCCACCGCCTTATCCTATCATTTGACGGACACATCGAATCGAACAGTGGTCGTGAACAACCGATAGCGGGTCGCGGGTCGATTAAAAGCGAACGATTCTATCTCGTATCTATTAGCGTCAAAGTTGCGGGATCTGATCGATTACGGTACGTACGGGTTGCTCTTTCTCAGCCTGAAGGATCATCCGTCTGTTCTCTGGCTTCGGCCTCGACCGATCCTCCATTTTACGCGACGATCTTATCGATCCGATCTTGTCCACGCTGGCCTTGCCCTTTCGTCCAGATTCACGTAATAATTCACTTTATTACAGCATTGGGGGGATGGTTCGCGAGTCCGTGAGCATTCTCTCCCATTATCGCAAGGTGAGTACGCGTTTCGGTCGTAAAGGTAACTTTTTTTAACCCTTTGCACACCGAATTATACTTGAATTTTGTTTCCAGCAGCTTCCAAACGCTTTTAAGTGTTTTATTTGAAATTTACGTTAGCTAAAAAGTAGGGCAAATTTAAACAAATTCAATTAAATATCTGTTTTATTTACATTATTGTTCAAGTGTATATCTCCTTGGTTTGGACTTGAAAAAATGTCGACAAAGGAGCTCCTGAGATAAAAATTGTGTGCAAAGGGTTAAACGTGGCTTAACCAGTATTTCAGTATTAAATCCCAACGCGGATAATCCCACAAGACCAAAGCGACAAATTGCACGCGTGAAAATGCTCACGAACTCGCGAACAGAACGATAAATCGAGCGTGATTACGCGACGATCGAGGATTGTCGAATCCCTGGTGATCGATTACCTCGATCGCGTCGTCCTTCGCCTCTCTTCTGATCGCGATCTTCTGCCCGGTTTCCGGCTTGGGTTTCGAGCGATCCTCGAGCTTGTACATCCGCCTGATCGGCGCCGGGATCTTGTACTCGACCTGCTCCTTGCAACCGTAGACGCCGATGCTGATCTTCGCCGCGGTCTGAACGCTCGGGAAGCTCTTGCATCGCGTCGTGTCCTGCTTGGTCCGGTCGATCAATCGTCTCCTCTCCACCGGGTTCAGGTTCAGCTGCTCGATTATCGCGCGTATGTTCGACGAGATGCTGCTCTCGCGGTGAGACACCACCATGATTCTCGTATCCTCTTCCCCTCGATCTCGAAACACACGCTACACCGACGATCGATCCGCTCTCCCTTCGATGCAGGGATTTTCCAACGGTCGCGAGATCAACGTCATAGGGCACCGGGAACTCGAATTACCGGTCGCGAACCTCCTGCAAGCGTTTCACAGAGAATTCAACCAACGAATCCCACGGTCTGGGACTTTAAGAAGTCTGGAAATTATTCTGCCGGACACCGATTCGTCAAAGAAACAGCCAATAGCTCGTAACGAGATTAAAACCAGCTTTCGTGGCTTCGAATCTCGTAACTCCTCTTACCACGGTATTCTATTACGATTTATTAAAAACCAGGAGCCCATGACTGCGAAAGAAATGGTTTGCACGGGTCAGAGGCTATCTCAAAGGTTCGATCGACGAACAATCGCGCTCGCTCCCTAATTGCTGATCTCGCTTGCTCGGTTTTCGCGGTTAACGCGTGTCGTTTTTCTCAGGATTTCACGGCAGTGGCAGATCTTCGAGATCCCGAGCGCTTCTCACGCGACCTTCCATCCTTTCGACGAAATCGCGGCCTCGAGCAACTGTCACGGGCACAATGCTGCGGAATCTGTATCGCTTTGGCAAGGAAACCACGTTCTTTCGCGTCGTTTCGTCGAAACGATTGATAAGATGCACTTTCCCTCCGCGAATCGACAACAAACTGGAGGACCGTTCGTTTGATGTTAACGCTGGAGCCAGCGATCGTTTCTCAAGCAACAACCAGGCCAAAGACGTGCCCACGTCGATCGCCCACGATGTTTACTCAATACCTCTCCGCAAATCCTTCGCGATCAAGAGATGCGAGTGTGCCCCTTAGGAGCAAACTCGGTCGCGAACCGTGCGTGGACGTTCAACCAGCTACGAGGAGGGATCCTCGAGACCAAAGAATGATCAGGCTTCGCCGAACGGTAGCCTATTAATCGGTTTTTTACCGACTAAAAGTTACAGGAATATTCCGACGCTCGGCTCCGAGTGCGCGCGCAACACCTTCGATCATTGCAAAATCCCTGGGCGCTGTTTCTGCAGTCGGTCACACCTATGCTACCACCTGTACGCGATCTGTCCGCTTGCATTCCAACCGGATACGTACGTAGGATACCCGGCGGAAATTGCGGAACATAATAATTTTCCACGAGAGAAGAGAAAGTGACGTCGACGCGCCGCGGAGGAGAAGAAAACTCGAACGGGATTGCGCAACCGGCGACGTCTCGACCAGCCGAACGGGATCAGGCTCGATCGGAAAATTATTCACCGGATACCGAATATGAATACCCGTTCGTTTATTCATTTATTTACCGGTAATCGACCCATGATAAGAAACTGCGTGCAACGTCGGTTGCACCGAATAAAGAGATTAAGCAGGTCCGTGGCGTTCGTGAATCAGTCGACGGAACGAATCGACAAAGCATGTTGCCTTTTTCGCAAATCGGATGAATCAGCCTCGTTTTCGTGGCCACGTTTACCTTGCTACCCACACACACACGTATCGAAGCCAAACATTCGTCATTACGGCTTTATCGATCAAACTTACAGTTTACACGTATCCTAGACACGAATACCCGTGCCACGTGTACCGGAAACGTTATACGCTGAAACCCATTTCTACGCCAAACGATCTCATTAAGAGATAAACGAATACAGAATCAATACGCAAATGGAAAAGAACAGGCAAAGTTTGCAGATTTTATGAACCTTACAGCGTGTACAGTATAACGTCGATTAAAAATCGATTTACACATCCGTGGTAAGTAAAGATGGCCGAGGAGGGCAGAAGATCACAGAGCAGGGAACAGTTTGCGATCGAAGATCACGCACAGAGTTGGAATCAACGATACGTCGCGACGTTTAACGCGAAGCGGCTAAAAAACAGTTAACAGGCTGTGGTCGCGATTAGATCTCGGTCCCTGGACGTATCGGTGGCCCACATCTCCTCGCGAAGATCCGATCAAGATCGATTTCCACGTTGGCCACGATCTACGGGGGCAAAGTCCGCCTGTCGTCCGTTTCCCTGGCAGCTGGCCAGTCGATTCGTTGTATCTTATTGTGCCATCATACTCAATTTGCTTTATTGCTCGGTGTTTCTCGCGTTCACCGTTAGTTTTGTTCACGCGACACGAATCCCCCGCAGGTTCAACGTTTCCCTTATTCCACGCTTCTGTACCAGGGATTATTAGTTCGATACCGTTTTACTTTGTACGCTGGATATCGATTTTCACGCGCACCGATCCGAACGAGTTAATTCGCGCCGTCCGGTTTACGATCGCGCCGGATCGGGCACTTTCACGGGCATGGAAAGCAAAGCAAATTGTGCAAATTACAAGACAGAAACCGAAACCGTGATCGTTACGACGATCCTGTTGTTACGATCTCGTTGGCGATGAATTCCCTTTTGCGCGTGTTACGAATGTCTTCGAGTTCTGTTTCGTTTTCAGTTACACGGCCCTGGGTAAACGACGCCGATCGAACTATGGTTCCGTCGGCGACGAGGCACGAGCGGAGTTGCGTGTCAGCAGGATGTTGGAAATCTGGCACGCCATACCGACCGGCGTGCTCGCGTTTCCGTGGCATTGTCGTAAAACACGGACAGAGGAAGAAAAAAATACGCGGAAAGAGAGAGGCGGGGAGGACGAAAATGATCCACGGGTCGCGTGAAAATGCATCCACCGCGACGGATCGGGAACGATGTTTTCACCGAGATTGCTTCGTCGCTGTTCCCCTTCGAAACTGTTACCCGATTTGAAAATGGAACCGAGATCTCAACTCTCAGAAAACGCGGACAGCACAAACAGAAATTATATAATTCAATGATAGTTGATACAAATAAGAAATTGTATAATTCAACTTTGCAATCTGATATTGCGCAACCGTACTCGCCGTATTTGCTAAATGCGTTCTCTTTTTTATTTATATACTTTCGCTTACGCGATCGCAATAAGAGGGCTAACTCGTTTACCAATGAAGAAAAAAATAAATCTCGAAAGCCGCTCGGGCAGAATATTTGTAAGTTTAGTTGTTTAGTAAGTTTAGTTTACACGACCAGTTTTCACTGAGAACTGAAACTGGAAGCGTGGTGTAGGAACCAATTAAACAACCGACACTGGCTTTTAATACCTTGTACGAACCGATCGAAGCTAATTGCAGACCCATCGCTGTCGTTTCGTGCACGAGGAATTGCACGTAAATCTTTTAACGCAAAGATACTCGTGGCGGAGTTATTGGACCACAACGCAGGAATGAAACGGAAGTGCGCAACGTCGCGAGAACGGTACGAAAGAAATGGGTTAAATTCACGGGCGTCGGTGCATATATCGCGAGAACACCGCGATTACGTTTTCTTCTCTTTCATCTGCAACCTCGGTCACGCCGCTAACGCGTCCTCAAGAACTCGTTTCGAGCGAAAGAGAACTCGTTTCGCGAAGCGACACACAACGCCGTACGATTTGAGGTTCGCCTAGTTCTCACGGTGAACGTTTCGTCAGATCGCAGCGGCTAATTGCGCGGCCCAAGACCGGATTTTATCGGCGCGATAAACATCGCCGAATCTCGTTCTCGTTATCCTCTTTTTACGCGAGACTTTGTCGAATCTCGTGGAAGAAACGGGAAATCGACTTCGTTTTCGAGCTGTTCTCTTTCGATCGATTTCGATCGCGCGGAGCACAAAGAAAGCGAATCGAAAGGAAAAGCCGGACGATGGATTTCTTTCGCAGGACGATCGATCGCGACGATGTAACGCGAGACACGTTGTTGTTCCGCCGGATGAAAAATCCAATCTGATCGGTATTGGGTTTCAACCTCGAGCCGAGGCAACGATCGTCTCGTTTTTCCGAGTCGCATCGATGACTTTTCAACGATTCCTTGCCTTTGTTTCAGAGGCGA